GTAGAGAAAGGTAAGAATATTTGAAAAGACGCCTCCGGACGACTCCGAGAGAGGGACGTCAGGGAAAATAGTAGAAGAGCCACGCTTTCCCGGATTCAGTTCCAAGACGGAAAACGGGGGAGAAAAGGAGAGAGGAAGAGATTAAGGCGTTCCTGGACGACTCCGAGAGGTAACGCCGGAAAACCAGTAAAAGTACCACGATTTCCTTGGCCACTTTCCGAAGGGGAAAATCGGGGGAGAGAAGGGAAAGTTTAGGGTAACGTCAGAAATGAAAGAAGAAAGTCTGGCTGTCGTGGAGATATTTCCTTTCCAACCCCCCTCCCTCTGTATTTACTTCAAACCATACTCACGTTCGCAGATGTCCCCCGCAGATCCCGGGATCCTTTCCTTTAGCCGGCTTTACCTCGCCTTTGCTCCCTCTGGTCGGGCTTCTGGTGACGGTTGATTACCGCCCGCAAAGAGGAGGCAGGGAGAGGAAGAAGGATCCCCGGGCTAAGGTTGCCCAGTGGCGCCCGATCCCTTCTATCTCCCCTCTCACCTTTACAGGAGAACCAAGTGTCCCTTCGTGGTCGCCAACTGTTAACGGAAATTCAAGGGTCCTCTTGGGCAAATGAAGACACCGACCAGAGCAAGTCAGAGCAAAACAGCAGCCAGTAGGCTCGGTCTTTATTTAGAAAGACTGTCGCGACAGGACTCCCACCGCCCACAAGGTGAAGCAAAATGGAAGCCCCGAACAAAGGGAGACCCTAACTTTTATTAATTGCTAATCCCCTAAGCTACACCCTCAGAATTACATCACATTTACATCATGATTATATTAAAAATAGGAGGAGTTGGGGAGGGGCGGCACAGGTAACCCGAGTGTCCTGACACCTGGCCGGAGCCCCCTTCCCCCTCCCCGCATGAGTCATATACAGAATCAAAGGAAGAGGGCGAAGTTTCCTGCCCCCTGAGGAGAGTCCGATCACAGTCTTTTGTGTGTGTCTGCGCGGAATACACGAAGATATGCAGTTCATTGTGTCTTTGATAGCCTCCTGTCTGAGCCCATCACTGATGGCTATCAAGGTGGTCACGTCTAGTAGGAAGGAACACAGAGTACGTGACTGCTCGGTTAAGGGATTATGGCCGCTTGATTTCGGACCACCCCCCTTTGATAGTCTTTGTAATATCCAGCAGAATAAAAGTGGTCCGGTGAAAATCCGAAGTACGGCTGATTTTTAGTGAATTTATGAAGAATATTGTCTTTGAAGTTCAAAGCACTTTCGCCTTCAGGAAGCGGCTTGCTACATTTTGATTAGATCAGTCACGGTCAATTGAACTCGGAAACCTTGTATTGAGAGCTGTCAAAGGAAAGGGGGAAAACGGTAGTAGCCTGCAGTACCTGCGTGGCCGCCGCAAGGGGCGCTGTTCGGTAATGTTGATTGGCTGAGGCGGGCGCCGATTGACAGCGGATTTTCGGTCGGCCGGTCTACTCACAATAAAAATAGGGCCGTGCGGAGCGCTATGGCGAGAAGCTGTCAAACTAGCGCTTCCTTATTTACGGAAGGCTTTAAGGGATGGCCCTCTAAAGGGGACATCTCCAGGGTCGGGGGGGGGGAGATGTGTGCGTGTGTGAGTGTGGTGCTTGTGTAACACGTGTCGGTGAGTTGGGGGGGGGGTTTTCCGGCGACAGGGAGGAGTAGGTGTGTACCTGGAGGAGAATGCTGCAAGGGTGAGGGAGAATTAAAGGAGACACAAGGAATTCATAATCCACATTGACGAGGTATGGATAGGCCCTCAGATTCTAGCCCCTGGAGATACCCCGTGGAGCACAATACAATATCCTGTTCTCACAGTGGTCAACCAATTGCCTATGGAAAGCCTGTAAACAGGACCTGAGCACAATAACACATCTTGCCCTCCTTGTGCTCCCCAGCAACTGGCATTCAGAACTTGTGTGCCATTTCCAATACTGGAGGCAGTAAGCAGCCATCATGACCAGTAGGCATTTATAGCTTTAGCCTCCATGAATTTGTCTAAACACCATTTTAAAGCTATCAAAGTTGGTGACTGTTACTATATCTTGTGGTAGCAAATTCCATTGTTTAACTATGTGTGTATGAAGAACTACTTCCTTTTGAATGGCCTTAATCTTTCAAAATTCAGGTTCATTGGATGGTTGCAGGTCAAAAAAAATCTCGATCCACTTTATCCACACCATGCATAATTCCCTATGTTTTTTTCATGTCCCCACTTACTTGCTTTTTTCTACAGTAAAAAATCCTCAGTGTTGTGACCTTTCCTCTCAGGGGAATTGTTGTAGCCAAATGATCATTTTGGTTGCCCCTTTCTGAACTTTTTCCAGCTCTACAATATATATATATAAAATTAGGTGTGGCAACAGAACACTTTATTTCAAGAACAGTAATACGATAAATTTATCTGTCATTATGATATTGACAGTTTTGTTTTTAATCCCTTTCCTAATGATCCCTAACATAGAATTCACCTTTTCCACAGCTGTTACACACTGGGTTGACGAGCTATCCACCACAACTCTAAGATCTCTTGGTCAGTCACCGTCAGTTCAGACCCCATTAACGTTTATGTGAAGCTAGTTTTTTTATGCCAATGTACATCATTTTATACCTACTTACAATGAATCACATTTGTAATTTTACTTTTATTCACCCATTGTGGAGAGATCCTTTTGGAGCTCCTTGCAATCTTTTTTGTTGTGGTTGTTGTTATCACCTCGAACCCTTTTTTTCAAACCACCATGAATATCAGCAAACCTGCCCATATCACAGCTCACCGCTAACTTCAGCTGATTTATGAACAAGTTAAAAAGCACAGGTCCCAATCCTGATCTGTGGAAACTCCATTTCTTACATTCACCACCCACCGCCATTATGAGAATTTGCAATTTATTCCTTCTCTCTGCTTCCTGTTATTTAACCAGTTACTGATCCATAAAGGGATCTATTCTCTTATCCCAAATCTTTGATGAAGGACATCCTCAAATGATTTTGGAAAGTGTAAGTACACAATATTAACTCACTCACTGCTATGAATATGCTTATTTACACTCTCAAAGAATTCTAAAGGGTTAATTAGACAGGACTCACCTTTACAGAATCCATGCTTGTTCTTCTTCTACAAGGTTTGCTTTAGAAGCTTAAGGAGATTGTTCCGTCAGCAAAAGCATTTCTGATTGCTGGATGGAATTATTTCCTCTCTCAGATTTGGGGATACACATGGGGGGTGGGGAGTTCTGTTGAACTAGTGGGAATCATTGTACTGCCTTCCACTAGCACAATGGGTTAACTGAATAACGCAATTTCACAATCAAATTCCTTAACTCTTGGGTGGATGTTATCCTTCAGATCAGATGGAACTATACTATCCCTCAGTGAGGAGTTAATTATCATAAGCATCTAGGCTCTGAGATTGTCTGGCCTTTCTAGAACCAGCCAATAAGAATGTGAGTCAAGCAAGCTGGCACAAACAGTATTGTGTTCACATCTTTTGATGTCAGTAAAACAGCCTATAAAATCTGACTTGAAGAGTCAGCTATTGACAGCTGCTCAGCTACTGACAATGGTTACTGAAATATACTTGGAGTCGAGAGTGGATTTCATGCTCTTTATTCAGCTCATAGTGGTGAGGAGAAATGGAAACTTCCTCCAGAATGTCTGCTTTATATACATTAGTTACACAATGGCCCCCACTTGATTGGCTAATTCTGGGATTCTACTGTAGGCCAATGAGGTTGCGGATTCACTTCCACCTGGAGCTGGATTGGGTGGCTCCTGTGGACCAATCAGACTGCTGCATTCTGGATCCTATTGTTCTAGGACCAATCAGACTGCTGCATTCTGAATCCTATTGTTCTAGGACCAATCAGACTGCTGCATTTTGAATCCTATTCAACTCAGTACAGTTACCTATGTGCTATATATATATAAATGTGAGGCCTTCCTGATGTTGTAGGAGTACAACTTTCATCATATCTGATCACTGGCCATACTAGCAGAGGTGGAGTTGTAGTCCAACATCTGGAGAGCACCACATTGGCTACCCTTGAACTAGTGGAAATAACTCGGAACACAGAATAGGGGTGTGTGATTTCCTCTTGTCAACAATTTGATATGAAATCCATTGCTGAGTTTTCCTTCCTTCATTTCTATTGGTTGGACCACACTGGCTATTTCTTTAAAGTGGAAATGTGTATAGAATATTGAAAGTTTCTGAATTCTTATCCCCTACATGACCCATTTACAGTGCAAACACATATATGTCACCTCAGATGTAAGTCATATTGATTTCACTCCAGGTAAGTGATTACAGTATAGGATTGCAGCCTTAAGTGCATTGTTAGGAAAATATTGATAGGTCAGAGGACCCCTCCCAATTCTCCCCTCCTTATTTTTCAAAGCTTCTGACATTTTAATTAGTTTCCAGAGTCAAACAACCACAACAGTATTGAATAACATTAGAATGTGCTGTTGTTTTAAACCAGTTTTTGTATTTATACATGCATCTCTCTCTCTCTCTCTCTCTCTGTATATATATATGTGTGTGTGTGTGTGTGTGTGTGTGTGTGTGTGTGTGTGTGTATGCAATAATGCAATTGCTTTAACTGTTTTTATGTCGTTGTATTCTAAACTGATTTGGGGTTGCCTTATGAGAAGTGATTAATAAATGAAATAAATGAATAAAGATGTGACTTGAAGAGGCTTAAGGAAAGAACTTCTCTCCCATCACATCTGTCACGTGTACACATAGGTGTGTACACAGAAATATGCAATATATTTTTAAGTAATCAAAATATGACTTGCGAGAAGCTGGAAATATTTATCAAGGGAAAGTTGGAAACGTTGATCCATGCTCCCTTATTAGCACTGCCGTCTTGGAAAGTAGGCATTTAATGTAAAAGCCGGTGTTTTATTTGCCAAGCCTCACTTCCCTAGGGGTGCGGCTCAACTGTCAGATCAATTCTTCCTCAGTTCATCCTCCCGTATAAGCTCCCTGGCGAGCCTGGCAGTTTCTGCAAGGAGGAGGACTAACCCATCTGCCTGCACAGGAAGGGCCAGGAGCAGAATCGGCCAGGGAGCTGGCGGCGGCTGTGCCCCTGGACAGGGCTATCTCCCATTGGTTGGTCGTGTTGTTATGGAAACGGGGGACGCTGCTGCTGCGGTGGTGCGTAGGAGCCATTGCCGAATTCCTCTAATCAGGTACCGTCTGCCTATCTAGCCCTTGCAGTTCTTGGGGCAATAGAGTCCCTTCGGAGTTTCAAGACCAGGAAACGAGAGTTTTCAAGTGAGACTCATCTCTGAGTAATCATAATGCATTAGAATGTCCTGCAAAAGAGGCGGTCCTAATGATTAGAAATGACACCACAAGTTACTAGGGCAGTGCTGGGAAGTGACTAAGGCTGCAATGCTAAACACTTTTACTAGGGAGTAAATCCCACTGGGCACAATGCAGACTTACTTCCAAGTAAACATATGCTGCAAAAGCCATAGTTTGTGCTTCATAGCCCTAATTAGCAAAGTGCCTTGATGATGATTCTCCAGGCTGGGCAGTAGTGTTACGTAGTGACCTGATATTTTGGCGTTTTTGTTTTGGCAGCACTATGACCAGCAGGAAGAAAGAATTAGCTTTGCAGGTCAGTAAGTGAGCTTAATGTTTCAAATGTGGCATTTCATTCTGTTAAGAGTTTGGTATTTCCGGCTTGTTTGGAAGAGAGGGTGGTTCGGGCGCAATGCTGTATTATATTCTGCCAGTGAAACCTTCCTACAATGGCATAGATTTAAAATAGAAAGCAGTAGTTCTAAATGGATTTACCAGTCTCCCAGGGCAACAAGAAGCAGTAATGCAATTGCTTTCATCATTTGATGAATCAGAAAGGAAATGTAAGAGCCGATTTAAACGAATCCCTACAGTTCACTTTTCCAGGGACTAGTCACTGACACAGGGTGTTATATTAATCAGAATGAGGTAAAATAAGAACCAAAGACTGAAGGGTGAGCTGTATGATAATTGGAGCAGACTCAATTTTTAAATCTTCAAATACAACTTAAAATACAAATCAAATATTCTAAGAAAGACACTAAACCAGGTTTAGCCCTTCATTTGTAAGCACAGCTTCTCTGTTAACTTTAGATTCAAGTAGGCAGCAGTGTTGGTCTGACACAGTTGAAATAAATTAAAAAATTGTCCAGTAGCACTTTAGAGACCCACTAAGTTTGTTCTGGGTATAAGCTTTTGTGTGCATGCACACTCCTTGAGATACACTGTTAACTTTATCTTCATTAAGACCTAGAATAAAAAGAATGAATTGTCCTTTCATATTGGCTATATTGATTTGGATGTCTCCAAAGTCAACAACAACAAAAAATAGCATGGGTATCAAAACACAGTATTAGTCCAAATATACATGCATGTGTGTTTTCATTTTTATCCTAGGTTTTAATGAGGATCAGGTTGGCCAAGGGAATGTGCTTGCTTACATTTGGAAGGGATGTGATACCAGTTCTAGGGTTTGTGAGATGCAATTAGGAGAGGCACATGTTGGAATAGGCCTCCTTGCTATTGCCCATTCGTTTGCCTGCTTCCTCTGGGCCCAGTCTACAAAATATCCAGAAGGAGATCTCAAAGTAAGTGGAAGTTGCTGCACCGTGACCTCTGTTGTCAACTGCTTGCATGCACAGAGAGAACAGGTGGATGGGTAGGCAGAAAGGAAGCTCTGAGTGCCAGCAATGGGCATCCCTGCAAGAATGTAAGCATCAGTATGTGCCCAATAATGTCAACCTCTAATGTTGGCTCTGAGGGGCTGCCTGAGGAAATAATATCACAAGTGATGTGATCTGTCCAGCCTGCACAACAAATACTTTGTTAGAAATGCATGGATTAATATTCTATGTTTCATGAATCTTTTATCATAAAGTTGTTATGAGGCATATTTATTTACAAGTAGTCCCATTGGCATCAGTGTCCTTCCTTCTCCTCTAGGCTGTGTGAGAAAGTATCTTAGATAATTTGCAAACTTCCATTTGAATACAAATTATACTGGTAGTATGCAGCTGGTTGCCAGAAAAGGAATGAGTTTGCATCTTGAGCGCAGTTAGACACTACCCTATAACTGAAACATACTGGTGTAGTTTAGTCATCTGGTGTCTGGAGACAAGCATGTATGATCTCAGTGGCACTTTGGACGTAAGAACATGAATATATGAATATTAATACATATCCTATCTTTCATTCATAAAGCATGGTTAAAGAACCATATAAAAAAAGATGGGAATGTGTTTGCAATTCCTTTATTATAAATTGCTCCGTATGGAATATAATCTCTATAAATCCTGCCATCAAGTGGCCAGAAGAAGAAATTGATTATTATTTCAATCCTGTTAACTACTTACATTAGAGTAGACATATTGATTTCACTGGAACGGCTCCCATGTGGCTCTAAGTCAGCTACTTATAGGCTGACCTCAAAGTGCTTTGCCATAAACAAAGTGCAGCCATCTGTTAATTAAATGTTTTGAGGTCTGATATGCTGGGCTATACAACAGAAGCAGGAACATATTTACTCTGAAATGAGTTGCTTGAGAATTATTTCCTGGGATGCCTGCAATCACGCAATGAGATTCTATGCATGTTTCTTTTCAGATAAAAGTTAAATGGGTTTAAACAGTGCTTTTTCTGGGCGTATGCAGGGGTATGTATACCCCTAAACATTTTGTGAATCTTTGTACTTTTGCCCATTTACTGTATTTATTTCCCCCAAATTGAACTATAAAATGGTGATTTTCTTGAGTCAAAATGAGAGTTTAAATAGATCTGCATCATTCATGTCTTACAAGCAGACTTCCATTTACCAAAATATTAATATCCACATTGGGCCATGTGTTGGTAGCATAATGCTATCTTAAAATTAGATTCATAGAGTTGGGAAAGACTTCAGAAGTCATCTAACTGCCCTGAACTCCTGGCCTACCTGGCGCCAAGTCAGTATGTAAAGTCGTCAGTCCACATGTCCAAAGTCCAAACCGAAGGCACCATCCTTCAGAGATCCTGAAGCATCCAAGCTGAGGGCCAACAACATGAGCAGACACAGCCTCCTAGCTCTGCTGCCCCTTTTATACTTTGCATGCTGACTGCAGCATCTGGGCTTCAGTCATGTGACCCTCAGCTGTTCCAAGACTATTCTAGCTGAGGAAACAGACACATCCTCCCAGAGGTAGTGAGCCCCACATGGCCAGCCAGGGAGCTGAGCTGTGGCTCCTTGCCTGCCTCAGCCTCCCAGAGTGCTCCACCCACTGCTCTCTATGCTTCAGAGCCTGCCATGCTCCTGGAGGAAGGGGCCCCTCTGGCTCTGGGTCCAGCTGTTCTGTTCCTGTGCACTGACCCCCCATCCCCTCGCCATCCTCTGTGACCCTGTGAGTACTTGCTACACCAACCTCTCCCATAGCTGTCAACGTTTTCCTTTTTTAAAGGGAAATTCCCTTATTCCAAATAGGATTCCTCGCAAGAAAAGGGAAAAGTTGACAGCTATGACCTCTCCTTCGCCATCCCCTGCTTGCCTGTGTGTCCCAGTCCTAGCCACAGCCCTCATCAGGATCCTCTTCCTCCTCCCCATTGTCCTGCCAGTTCCTTACACTAATCAACCCACAGGTGAAACAGGAAATCCCGTGTTACAGCATCCTTGATAAGTAGTCATCTAGCTTCTGCTTAGAAACCTATAATTGAGAGGTCACCACTTCCTAAAGTTTTACTGTGCTATTGGATGTTTTTCCTAATATTTAGCCAAAATCATTTGACTTGTAATTTGAATGTGTTTATTTGAGTCCTCCTTTCTGCAGCAACAGAAAACAAATGCACAAACAAATTGCACCATCTTATGTGCCATGTTTGAGCATTGTGCTGTCTTTTATTTTCCTCTCTCTATACATTTTGCTAAAGAAAGTATTTTCATGAAACTGACTTGTGACTTTGACTTTCTGACAAAGTCTGACAAAGTTGCCCCCTTGCTAATTTACCAAATCTCCTTTCAGGTAGCTCTTAAAGGCTATTCTGCTTTATTGAAAGCTTTCTCAGTTATATTTCATTTACACACAGATGGTTGTTAATAATCAGGAACTTTGGGAAGAAATGCTGGGTTCCAAAGGTTTGATTGGTAAGACCTTAGCTGTAAACATGGCGTGGCTCTCTGTTGCTGTTCATAAATACTAGTACTAGTATACTGTGGCCTCTGATCACCAACCCTCTGCCATTCTCCCATTAATCCCCTAGAACTTCTCTTTTCACCTCCTGCAGCTACTAAGCTTGATTTGCACCTTCCCAACCCCATTTTCTGAAGCTTCTTCTGTTCTATTCTACAGTCCCACTTTACATCCTTCTTTTCAGCTTACCACTCATGCGCACGCCTCCATTCTCTTTTGCAACCCCCTTACACATAACACTCCCATGGTAACCTCTTGTATCTTCTTCCTCCCATACATTGCAAGTACTAAGCATCCTTTTCACCTTCCACACTGAAGCCACCATCCCCTCCTGTTCTTCAGGTTCTTTCTTGCCCCTGCTTTCATCTGCAACCCTATTCCCATTGCTCCTTCCTTTTTTCACAGCCCCCATTTTCACCTTCACCACTTTTTCTTTCCCTCCTCCTCTTTTCCCGCCAACAACCCGCACTTCCATGCTTCCTCCTCTCTTATTTTGCTGTCTCCCCTTTGTCCATATATCTCATTATTATCCCTTTTCTCCCGTTTGCACGGTCCCTTGCAAACAGACCATCCTCATTTTTAAGCCTCCTCCTTCCTCCTAATCTGCAGCCCCCTTTCCATGCACAGCCTGTGATGCTATATGTTACCATATCTTTAAGATGAGCAGAATCTAAGAGCAAACCTGTCAGTTAGCTTGACTTCATTTGAGAAGGTTCAGTTCAATTGATGGACGGTTCTGTTTTAAATCACTACACAGAAAATGACATATAATACTAGGATTTAGATACATTATATGAAAGTACTATGAAAGGCCTCTGAACCTTCTCAAACACAAAGCAGCTGAATAAAGTAAGAGGGAAAAGTTTGTATACAGCAAGAAGTGAAGAACTATGAAAGGAAAAGTTATTTTAAACGACAGATGTTTGAGTAGAGCAAGCAGAGGGTGACAGTGGGAGGAAGATTGTGACTTTAAAAAATGGCAGAGGTTTGAGTAGAGCAAATGGGGGGCAAACACCGAGAAAAAAGTGGTAGTTTAAAACAGGTTTTCAGTACAGCAAGAAGGGAGTTTGGTAAGGTTCTGTTGTGTTAGCTTTTTGATGTTAACTTCTGTGTAGTATTCATCTCTGTGATTTCTCTCTTCTCACACTTAAAAAACCCCAAACACTTCCCTTCTGAATACTACTTTTTGTTTTCAGTGTCCTTCTAGATCCCATGTCACAGCCTCTGTTGTTGTGCAACCCTCCTTCTTTCTTGCTCCCGTCCCCAACTCTGACTCCATGCAAATCCAGGATTGTAATAAGGCATTACATGTAATAAGTCATTACAATAAGGGCTGCATGATGACAGCCTTACATTTATTTTTATATTGAGAGATAGATATAAATACTGACAGTGTTTATAGGGCAGGTTAGAAAAGGAATGAGTGTTCCTGTTGTTGATGTGCCACCTTTCACCCAAACCTGTTTCTTCCAAATGTTTTGGACTACAACTCCCATCACCCCCAGCTAGCATGGCCAGTGATCAGGGATACACAGGTAGTGATAGTTAACTAATTTCATTTGCATGTGCTGAACTAAACTTTGTAGGTTCTGAAATGCCATGATTTGCTAAGTTAGCTTAATCTCTTTGTAGTGGTAGATGTTTATCAGGGCTGGTGTGGACCATGTAAAGCAGTAGTAAACCTCTTCAGGAAAATCAGGAATGAATTTGGTGATGACCTCCTTCGTTTTGCTGTGGTAAGAGACGGCTTCAAATTTATATAGTAGGTGTAGCTACTGTGGTGCGTTCCTGACATTGTCAGACTCCAACTCCCATCAACCCCCATTAGCATAGCCAGTGCTCAGGGATGGTGGGAAAATCATATGGATGGATCCATTAAGAATCGTTGGCAAATATAAATGCCTATGAGGCAAGCAGATAAAACAGGCAATTCATCTTGCTTCAGTGGGCTAAATAAAGCTGCAATTCTATACACTAAGGTAGGGAACAGTTTTTCAGTCCTGGGGCTGCATTTCCTTATGCCTAATCTTCCAGGCGTAGTAGGTCCAGCAGTCGGCAGAGCAAGACTACAATGGGTGGGAGCAAAGCTGGCAGCGGACAGAGATACTCCACACTCTCCCTCACAAAACACAGCCTCCCCTTCCTGTGAGCTCCTCTCCCCTGCTCTGGCTAATAAGGAAACATTGTGGTTAGAGATCTCTGAAACCCATTGTCATAACACAAGTCTTCAGGCATTCATTATTGCTTGAAGAGGGACCATGGGTAGAGCAGAGATATGGGGATCCAACTTTAACCCTGCCACTCTGCTCAAGCCCTGATCTTCCAAGGAGCCTTCCCAAACAGATATACAAGGCTCTCTGCTGTAGCTGTTTGCAGAGGCCAGAGAAATCACAGGGCTATGGGGGCAGAGCTAAATGTGCATCTGAACAGGTGTTTATCCAATCAGGTATAGGGAACCGAGGGCCCTCCAGATATTGTTGGACTCCAGTTCCCATCATTCCTGTCAGTGTGACAAATGGTCAGGGATGATGTGTGTTGCAGTCCAGCAATAACTGGGAAGCACCAGGTTCTAGAGCAATTCTGCTCCTGTTGTTTTTCTGGTCTACCCAAAGGGTGCTTCTGTAGTTGTGAACATTTGCTCTATTATTATTATTATTATTATTATTATTATTACTGCTACTATTATTTTACTTATTAAATTTGTATACAATACTGCCCTTCTTACACAGATCTCAGGGCGGTTCACAACATAAATGCTCTTAGTAATTTGTCTGTTTGTTTACTTTTTATTTAGGCTGAAGTAGATTCAGTTGATGCCCTAGAGAAATATCGTGGAAAATGTGAACCTACGTTTCTATTTTATGCTGTAAGTTGGTACATTTGAAACCCGAGATGTCTTTTAAACCTGTTTGACTTTAAACTTGCTCCACTATGCTCTGGTGTGTATTATGTATTAAACATGTGTTTTTGCTCGTATCAATTAATTTGAACTTGCTGGCAGCTGGAGATATATGTTGTTGCTGGGAATCGTATTTTTATATTTCAGATATTACCCTAGTTTGTATTTCCCCTCATTCTCTATGCATACGGTAACCTAAAATACTTTCCACAGTAGTTGTAACTTACGTAGCTTATATAAATGTATATAACCATAAGATTAAACAAGACAGAGATTAGGATGCTATAAATATTAAGAATGTAATTAGTAGTGTCTGAATAAATTAGGCATCTTAGGGCAAAGGGGGGAAAGCCTTCAAGAGAGATTAGCACACTTAGCAATTATCCACTCCTCCATTTGTTGGTGCAAATAGCAACCAGGTTTTCTGCAGTTTGCCATTCCTTCTGATTCATTGCTAAAGAGTGGGGCAAAGCAAAACTGCTCTGATCCTTGCCTACAATGCAGAAGTATGGACGAGCCCGAGACTGGTTGGCCTTGTGGTACTTCTCTGCTAGGTGGCTGCTATGCACAGGAAACTCTGTCAGAAGAACATTGCTCAGAGTATGTAGCTCCCGGGAAGTTGAGGGAACACATAGGACCTGCAAAACAATTTGTGGTGTGGCGTGTTCCCCTTTCAAGATTACAACTACTCCATTTCTCTTCTTCATCCCAGTGTTCTTATCACTCTGCAGTTGGACAGCATTCCATGGCCAATTATCACAATTGGCCCACTCTGCAGGGTTCCCCCCAAAATAGTTCTTGTACTTCTTCAGACAGTTTAACGAGTCTCCTTCCTGTGTGGGAGTGTTGTTCCTTTGGTTATGTAAGCAATGCCACTCACAACCTAAGCACCGGAAGTGGAAGGGGATGATATGCTTGCTTCCTGTGGAACGGGTCGTACTACAAATTAATAGGATGAGTCAGCTAAAACATTTGCCCCAAGTAGTGTGGAAGTGAAATAACTTGACTTTAATGGATTGGGGGCAATAAATTATCACTGGGTAAATTATTTTATGGTGCAATAATATACATGTATACTCAGAAGTAAGTCCCACTGATTTCAATGAGGCTTACTTCTAGGTAAGTGGGTTTAGGATTGCAGCCAAAATCAATCTTAGGAGTTTGGCAACCAGTTAAGGAATTAAATTTGCATACATTTGCATGTGCCTAAAAACATTGTTTCTGAAGGAAGAAGCATCTCCTCGTTGTTTTTTTGACATTGCAGAGATAAGGGGAATACCTCTTTTAAGATAGTGCTTGACTTCAGTTTTTACAAGTGTTTATATTAAAAATAATTATTCTTTCTAATCTGCCTCATTACTTGGGACCACTTTCTAGCCAGTTAAAACAAGGTTCTGTTTATTGATCAAACTAATGAAATGGTTCAGCCTTGCAACCCTGCCTGTGAGGCCTCCCATGCTTCAATCCTCTCCTTCTTCTTGTTCTGTGATTCTGGGTCTTCAACTAACAACAGGAGAGGTTTGAAATCAGCCCATGCTTAAAATCGAAAGTATATTTTGCTGTCTTTATAGCAGCATAGCATTTGTTGGCAGGATAAGAAGACCCAGACTCCGCCATTGGTAATATTAATGCTTGTGTTGACACAAATTACGTTTGTAAACTATATTGGCAATTATTTTCTATTTTCTGTCAGGGGGGTGAGTTGGTAGCAGTTGTAAGAGGAGCAAATGCACCATTGCTTCAGAAAACAATTCAGGAGCAGCTAGAAGCAGAAAAGAAGGTCTTGGATCATGGAGCAGATAGAGTGGTGGTAATCTAACCTCTTCGATTTCGTTTAAATTTCTTTTAAGTTGCGTCTTTGATTAGAGTTGTGGGCAGGGGGTTGTGGGCCATCTAGTTTAAAGCCCTGCTTAATGCAAGAAATCCAGAGCAAAGCAAGTGGCTGTCTGCCCTCTGCTTGAACACCTCTAACAAGGGAGAGACCACCACTCCTCAAGGTTGACTATTGTTGAACTGTTTGTACTGTTAAGAGGTTTCTCCTAATGTTTGCTGCCTCTTAGCTGGTCCATCAGCTGTTGTTATCAGCTGATGTTCCTAGGTCCTTGTTTCCAAATTCTGTGTAGAATTCCACAGATAGTGAACCATGACTGGGACGTAACTCTGCTTCCATTATTATCTCAGTTTTAATGTTGCCTAGTGTGTGTCTACTTGAAGGGAAAGAAACTGAATAAAAAAGTGAGAGTAGTCATGTCCTTCAAATAGATACCCAGTTTCCACTTGCTGGAGAATGGAGATTCTGAAAGGAGTTACCCTATGGCCTGGAGCCTGGCACTCAATCCTCTTTCGTCAAGTGTTTTGCTTTTTGGTGTTGAGCAGGGGAAAGGGGAAGGTTTTGATTCCCTGGTGGGGTCCAGCACTGGGGCTGTAGTCCCTGAGAGTCCTAGCTCAAGAATATTGAGTTCAGAGTTCCATTTCTTATGGTCTTGACATCTGATGGGAAGGTGTTCCACAGGGACCCCTCCCCCTCTAAGTACAGTGGTACCTCGGATTAAGAACTTAATTTGTTCTGGAGGTCCGTTCTTAACCTGAAACTGTTCTTAACCTGATGCACCACTTTAGCTAATGGGGCCTCCTGCTGCCGCCGCGCGATTTCTGTTCTCATCCTGAAGCAAAGTTCTTAAACCGAGGTACTATTTCTGGGTTAGCAGAGTCTGTAACCTGAAGTGTCTGTAACCCGAGGTACCACTGTATGTGTCCAAGTCACTGTTGATCATCTGGGATAGCTCTGTATGCATAAACGTTATGGGTTTCAGAGGCTGCAGGAATCTCTGGCACCTGTGGAGAATGTTATGCATCTCTTCCTTTGAGCATCCTCTACTAACAGTGAGAGCATGTGCAGCTTCTTCCCTCAGCTCCTTAGTATTCATGAATTCAACAACACATTCATTATCCATCAGATTGTAACCATTTGTTAATAAAAACCAGCTCCAGAGATAAAAACCGTAAAAAAAATACTAATAGATCACATTTTGGAAAAATGGACAAAACACACCACCAACGAAACAAAACAACAACAACCCTATTACTAAAAATAACCATTGTCTATTACATAACACTAGTCTTCATTAAAATGTACCGTATTTTTCGCCCCATAGGACGCACCGGCCCATAGGACGCACCTAGTTTTTTGGGGGGGAAATAAAGGGGGGGAAATTATTTTCCCCCCCAGGTGCGCTGCGCTAAGCCCGAAGCTTGGGGCGTGCGGAGCTCAGCGCGCCCCAAGCTTCTGGGTGCTGGCAAGGTCTCCGCTAGCCGTGGGAGAGCCGCGCGGCTCTCCCAGGGCTAGCGGAGCACTGCGCTAATCCCGAAGCTTGGGGCGTGCGGAGCTCAGCGCACCCCAAGCTTCTGGGTGCTGGCAAGCTCTCCGCTAGCCCTGGGAGAGCTGGGTCTCCCACGGCTAGTGGATAGCTTCCTGAAGCCTGGAGAGCGAGAGGGGTCGGTGCACACCGACCCCCCTCGCTCTCCAGGCTTCAGCGAAAGCCTGCATTCGCCCCATAGGACGCACACACATTTCCCCTTCATTTTTGGAGGGGGAAAAGTGTGTCTTATAGTGCGAAAAATATGGTAGTTTTTCTAAAATAGTCTGCAACCAACACCCTCGTATGCTTTGATACTAGATCCAGGATGAAGCGATTCCTACAGAAGTGAGTACTGCCATTGAGGGAGAGGAAGCAGAAGATGGGGAAGAAGAGGAGGAGGAGGAAGCAGCAGCAGCAGCAGCAGCAGGTATTTGGCTGTACTCAGTGGCATATAGGTAATACCATTTATATAGTTAAAAAATTATCCTTGCACAAGAAGGTAAGCAATCTCAGATTGGATTTTTGCCACTGCTCTACTTTAGATTTTGTCACTGATATTACTCATCCCAGAAGCAGCATCTTCTGGGTTTATGTAGATAAGTGAGGCTTGTGTTGTCAAATTTCTTGGCAGAGCTGTGAATGCTGAGTTGCAGTAAAGTCTAAGGGACTAGGCTCCATTGCTTAGGAAATGTCACTTTTTCTCCTCCCAGTATGCTTGAGAAAACCATTCTTATGATATATTTTGGGCTATCATAGTACTAGGCTTTGATGGTTTAAAAAAAACCCCAGAAAAATTGAAAGAGTGTTTAATTTTACGGTTTTATACTGATCCAAAAGGCCGAAGCAATTTCACAGTGTAAATATCAAGCAGATATCCCTCCTTTGATGTTCTTCCAGGGCCTGCTTTCTTCTTATGCTAATTTCCTCTCATGCTTTCTTCCTAGATTAATTCACCAATTGATGCTTTCTGGAACTGGCTTTCTCACTATCATTTGGAGCTGAATGAGTAATGTTACAGACAAGTTTTCTCTAATATAAGTGTAAAAAATTAAATGGCTACATATTGCCATAAGCAACAGCAATGTGTTTCAGGTAGTCTATGAAAAGAATTACAGATGTTTAGGAAAGCCTTGTTACAAATCTGACTATCAGGTCAATACTATTCAAGACAGCATATATGGACAGTAGGAGAGCTTTGCTGGGCTTATCTCATTCAATATCAGATCAAAGGCTTATTTAACCCTGCATCCTGTTCCCCATATGTGTCTATGGAAAGCTCAAAAGCTGAGTAAGAGCACAATAGCTTTCTGCTGCAGTTGTTCCCCTAGAATGGGCACTCTGAGCTATGATGTCTCTGATCCTACAGGCAATATGCAAACATCATAATCTGTAGCCACTGATAGATTTATCTTCCATCATGATGATGATGCGTGCCACACAGGTTTGTCATGTACCTAGTGTGGTGTCCTCAGGTGCACTGGGGAAGACTATCCTGTTGTCATGTACAATTGTCGGTCTAGTCAGCTTTTGTACATGGGCACATCATCTTGTCCTGTGCCAGAGGCAGCAAAATGTCTTGGGTCAGCCCTGACTCTGACTGACACCCTGGATCAAAGGCTTTCCATACAGAACAGAGCTGATATAACAGTTTTGCAAACCCTTTGGATATATGTGAATGAGCTAAACTGTAAACTTGCCGAAGAAACTGTAAACTTTCACAACAGAAATGTTATGATTGATCTTGCACAGTGTTGGTTTTGTCACTGGAATCAATTTTCTAAGCTTAGTAGGGACTCAAAGATTTATCAACATGTGAATTTACAGTGGCTGTGTTGAATTCTGATATGTTGGCTCATGCAAGACTTGCCGGATTGGAAGTGTGACTTTTTGTGAGACAGGCAAACCACCTAACGCACGTTTGCTTCTTGTGGTTATTATTATCAGTGACTTCTGCATTTTCTGGCAATGCTTTTCTCTTTGAGAATACTTGCACCTGATTACTGTTTTAATAAAGAAATTCAAGTAATTACAGATTTGTTTTTCTTTTCCACATCCACAATTTAGAGCTCTGCTATCTGGCCTTAACAGAAAGTCATGAGATGCTTCATGGCAAAGAAACAATGAGGATTCCTTTGTGCAAAGGAGGTCCACCACTAGGCAGGGAGCGGGTGACACTGGTCTAAACCACTGAGCCTCCTGGGCTTGCCGATTGGAAGGTCTGCTGTTCGAATCTGCACAGAGGGGTGAGCTCTTGTTGCTCTGTCCCAGCTTCTGCCAACCTAGCAGTTCGAAAGCATACCAGTGCGAGTAGAAAAATAGGTACCACTGTGGTGAGAAGGTTTCCGTGCACTCTGGCACTTGTCATGGTGTCCTGTTGCCCCAGAAGTGGTTTAGTCATGCAGGCCACATGACTTGGAAAGCTGTCTGCGGACAAACACCGGCTCCCTCGGCCTGAAGTGAGATGAGCACCACACTCCATAGTCACCTTTGACTGGATTTAACCATCTAAGGGTCCTTTACTTTTACTCTTACCATAGAGGTCTCCAAATGGGAGAGAACAGCAGTCTAAGCAGGATGCGCCATCATAACTGACATTGCATAATCCTACTACCAAATAAGACTCTGTGAGTTCAATGGGATTTAATTCCAGTTAATTGACCCCTAGTTAGTGCAGGTGGCGCTGTGGTCTAAACCACTGAGCCTAGGGCTTGCTGATTGGAAGGTCGGCGGTTCAAATCCCTGCGATGGGGTGAGCTCCCATTGCTCAGTCCCAGTTCCTGCCAACCTAGCAGTTCGAAAGCACATCAAAGTGCAAGTAGATAAATAGGTACTGCTCCGGCGGGAAGGTAAACGCTGTTTCCATGTGCTGCTCTGATTTCGCCAGAAGTGACTTAAGTCATGCTGGCCACATGACCTGGAAAAACTGTCTGCGGACAAACGTCAGCTCCCTCAGTCAGTAAAGCAAGATGAGTGCTGCAACCCCAGAGTTGTTCACGACTGGACTTAACTGTCAGGGGTCCTTTATCTTTTCTTTTTTTTTTAGTACCTTTACCTTAGCTGATACCATGCACACTCCTTAGAATGTAACATACTAAGGTGTATTTCAGTATCTTAATTGGTGTCTTGTACATGCCTACCATAAAAGGTGTTGAGAAGAAAACGCCACTCCAGAAAGCACAGAATGGAGCAACATCACCAGCCACATGGTCAGTGTCCATAACAATGTGAGCATTCAGCTGCTGTATCTTGACATTCCTGCCCCAGGACCAGCTGCCTGGGATGCCTGAATATCAGCTAGCTGCATGGGAGGCTATTTGAGAAGGAGGGGAAGTGGATGGAAGCACATTCCTAGATCAGGCCTGACTTAGAGGCAGGAAGGAATGGAGCTTTAGCTCTTGCACAAAACTCCCAGCTTGAGTTGCCTCATTGCTGAAGCATCAGTGCTGTTCTAAACTGTAACCAATGACAAATCCCTCCCATCAGCATACAAATCAGTATGGCTAATTTGACCCAGCAACACCCCCCCCCCACCAGCCTGCAACCAACCAACCATGCCCTGGGCCCTCTGGTCTCTCACTTGGTCAGCAAAAATAAGCTCCGGTCATATGCTATGCAAAAGAATGGAAGTTTGTAGACTTGATCAGGGTGGAGGACTGTGACAAAACTAAAATTCCTTCCTGTTTTCTGCTCCCTTAATCTCTGGGGGCATTAGCCGCTACGGATAGGCTGCCTGATAACTGAGTTAAATTAATGGTCCATCCAGCTTGGCATTGTTTACATTGACTGGTGATAGTGGCTCTTCTGGGTTTCAGATGGGTCTGTTTTTCAGTCCTGCCTGGAGATGGCCAGGATTGAATCTAGGACCTTCTACATGCAAAGCAAATGCTCTACCACTGACCTTCAGCACGTCTGCAACTGTTACCTATTGGCAACTATTAGCCCCCTGTCATCCCATCATAAATGACGTAAAATACTCTTATTTGTTTTTAGGTGATGAGCAGGAGTTGCCGTTAGAGGAGGCATATCTATTATGTATCTAAATGCATATGCAAATGAGCTGTCAATTAGGGAAATCCTTTTTATCTAATTTACTCAGATTATAGTGAAGTATGGAAGTGAGAGCTGGACCATAAAGAAGGCTGATCTCCGAAGAATTGATGCTTTTGAATTATGGTGCTGGAGAAGACTCTTGAGAGTCCCATGGACTGCAAGAAGATCAAACGCATCCATTCTTAAGGAAATCAGCCCTGAGTGCTCACTGGAAGGACAGATCGTGAAGCTGAGGCTCCAGTACTTTGGCCACCTCATGAGAAGAGAAGACTCCCTGGAGAAGACACTGATGCTGGGAAAGATGGAGGGCACAAGGAGAAGGGGGCGACAGAGGACGAGATGGTTGGATAGTGTTTTCGAGGTTACCAGCATGAGTTTGACCAAACTGCGGGAGGTAGTGGAGGACAGAGATGCCTGGCGTGCTCTGGTCCATGGGGTCACGAAGAGTCGGACACGACTAAACGACTAAACAACAACAACAACAACAAAGCAGGCTAAAGCCCCACCCACCCCCGCATTTATCTAACGGATCCAACGTCGCCGCTCTATCAGAACCTATTGAATGAGGAACTGTTAATAATGCACTATTACATGAACTGCCCCCGCCCCCCGCTCCATTTAATATTTGAGGTTGTTGAACCTCGGAGCAGCAGCTTAAAACGCGTCCCGCGCCGAAACCTTAAATCGTATTGGATTAAAAACCACAACAGCCAGCAGCCGCGAATATACGCTCTCGGATGCATCTCTCTTCGGCGCCAGAAGGGGGCGCTGCGGGATCGAAGGCCCGCTTGGCCCGAGCTTGGGCGTCCCCTTTAAAGCAGACGCCGGGCGGAGAAGCTGCGCTTGGGCCGGGCGGAAGTAAGTGGTGGCGGCGGCGGCGGCGGCGGCGGGTGCGGAATGGCTGGCGTTTCGAGGGTGCTCCCGAAGATGTGGGCTGGTGAGCTTTGTTCCTTTGCCTCGCTGGCTCAGGAGTCGAGGGGGTCGAGGGCGGGCGCCTCCCAGTTTCCCGGCATCAGGCGGCTTGGCTGGCCTTGTGTGGGGCGCAGCCCTTGCTCGACGGGGCCATAAGAGGCAGACTCGCCCCGCAACCCCGTCCCTGGGCATGGCGATGCCTGCCGCTTCTAACATGGCCCGATCCTGCTCTGTGCTGCGGCGTCCTAGAGGACGGCGCCTGGGTTTTGTGGGGCGGGGAAGGGAATCCCCGGAAACTCCTCCTCTGCCAGCCTGTGGGGTGGCTGCTGTGGGGCTTTGCTCCCAGAACTGGCCCCTTCGGGTGGGTGACTGAACATGCCTCCGTGGGGCTCTCGGGTGCTTTGCCCCCCACCCACCCACTTTGGAACTTCATTGTGATTGTGTTGAAAAGCGGCCAAGCTCTCACACTGACTGCTGCAAATGACACAACCTCAGGCTTCCTTAGGAGGAGGCTTGGGTGGTTGTACGCCAATAGCAGGGATTGAGAACCTGTGGCTGTTTCTGGACTCTCCCAACTCCTGTCAGCCCCAGTCAGGTGGCTGATACTGGTTGGGGATTGTTATGTACTGAGTTGAATAGGATCCAAACTGCAGCAGTCTGATTGGTCCTAGAACAATAGGATCCAAAAGGCAGCAGTCAGATTGGTCCTAGAACAATAGGATTCAGAATGCAGCAGTCTGATTGGTCCTTGAACAATGCAGCAGTATGATTGGTTGGCAGGAACTACCCAATCATGCTCCAGATAGAAGTGAATCCACAACCTGATTGGCTTACAGTAGAATTCCAGAATTAGCCAATCATGCGCAGCCCATTGTGTAAATAATGTATATAAAGCAGATACTTTGAGGGGACATTCATTCATTCCTCCTCACCACTATGAGCTGAATAAAGAGCATGAAATCACTTTGCGACTCTGAGTCAGGGATGATAGGATCTGTAGTCGGGAAAACATCTGGACAGCCGACGTTCCTGATTTAATGGCAGGCTTCTGAGCCGTCATTGAACCTGGAAGTGAATGATGAGGCGAGGAAGTCATATGTTTCAATGCGAGGTCCCCGAGTTTCCCTTGTAGGCACCTTCTAGCTTGTGGGGGATGTAGGGCAGCAGCTGGGATAGCTCAGTCGGTGGTAAGGTAAGAGACTCTTAATCTCAGGGCTGTGGGTTGGAGCCCCACATTGGGTGAAATATTCCTGCATTGCAGGGGGTTGGACTAGATGAACCTTATGGTCCCTTCTAACTCTGATTCTATGATCTAATGGTGGCGGTCTGTTGACAGCTGTCGGAGAGAAATGGTTAGAGTGTGTGGGGGGGGGAATAATATTTCTAAAAGAATTTATACTCTGCCTTTTGGCCCTAACAAGGACCTCCAAAATGGCTTGCAATTTAAACGGTACGAGTTGTAATCCAGACACAGAGAGGAGATTAGTATGGTTTGTGTTAGTCTGCACAGCTGACATCTTGGTGTCAGTGCATGCCTGTAGCTACTGTTACTTTTCATATTTTTTATCTTGTACAAAAGTGAAGCAGTTGTGTGGAAATCTCACCCTCCTGTTTAAGTAGGAGTTCTTAGCCGTGACTTTTCACTTGTAGTCTGCGTATTGCCACTGCTGCAGGTTTTCTCTGATTATTTCCATGTATCCCTATTGTAAATGTGGCATGTGAACCATTCTATATCAGTTACAGGTGTTTGGGCTCTGGAAGCAGATGTACTTTAAACTTCCCTCCTCCTATCAAGTGGCTGCTTTCTGACAGCTGGGAACAGGAAAGATGGAAGATGAACTGAAGATGGAGAGTCAAAACCTTGACCAAGATCAAGGTCCCTTTGTGGCGGATGAATCAAGTCAGCAGCCATTGTGCCAGGAAACCTCTTCCCCCAAGCTGTCTGTGACTGAACTGAGTAGAGAGTTGGACTCCAAGAGTGAGCTGGTAAGACATTGCTGCCTGTCTTTTGTCTAAAGAATTAATTGTTGCTGTCCTTCATTATACATTGTTATGTGCTACTGTTTACTTTTGTAGTGTTAGCTAATCGGGATTTTAAAAAATACGTTGCAGGTGCTAGTTTCAAGTTCATGGCATAACAACCTCTTTACAAGTGCACAAAATATTTTTATGGGAGTTTTATTTCTTCAGATTTTTGGATTGGATCATACATTAATATATTGATTGTTTGGTTCATGTAGTTGCAGTGGGTTGGTTCCAGAGAAGTGTAGTCAGGACTCCACTTGGGAAACAGGGCTTTCCTGCCTCCTCAGACTCCTTGTGCTTCCCCAAAAAACCACTCTTGGAGTTAGAGGGACTCTGGAATAGTATGGGATGTGGTGCTGGAAATGAATACACTTTCAGAAGCTTGCCAGAAACTTGTGTCAGAAGCTTGCTTAAGAGATACACCCACACACCCACACAATTTGTATCTCCTCTAACTATAGGGAAAAGAGGCATTGGTTTGTGGCCAGAGTGCTTTTTTAGCATCAGAAATCAAGCTTATAGTGCTTTACTTCACACACTGAAAAGTATTAGACAAACTGCGGGGTGACTGGAAGTCATCTACTGTACTGTGTCATCTATTATCTGTTCGAAGATGCTGTGTCTAGTATGTTTTGGGCTGCTTTTGCAGCTGAATGGGTAGATTTGTTACATCATATGGGTTGTTCTGTTGTCTTATTTTGATGTGGATGAAGATGGCTGCGTGCTGGAAGATTAACACTCCCCCCCCCCATATAAGTCCCAGACAATCCTAAAATGAAAGGGGAAAAGTGGGGCCTGTAATGTTAATTAAAATGTTCTTAAAGCAAATAGGAATCGTTTGGGGGGTGGGGGAAGTTTTCAGATACAGTCTTCCTTCAGTCATAACAGTTCCCAAAGTGGCTTTCAGTGAACCAAAGCTAAAAACAGTTCTCAAAATAATAAATTGCTTAAAGTACCAGAAGGTGGCACTGGATGTATGCATTATTATACCTTATTGCACTCCCAGATATTACGACTCAGGAGTAGGGACCCTCTGGCCTGCAGGCCAAACTTGGCCCATAAGGCTGCTTCTCCCAAACCACACCCACTTGCCCCACACCTGGTATCATGTGACAGATAGCTATGCAACTGTCAGAGCACAATCGGGAGCCTTATAAAGCTCTCCTGATTGTTCAGTGGCAAAGGAAAGCAGGTTTTGATTCTACTGTCCATTAGCTGATGGACTCTAGAGCCAAAGCTTCCTGGATCAGCTGCACATGGTGCTTTGAAGTCCTGACTTCAGAATTTCAAAGCATCCAGTCACTTGACATCATTGTGACCTAAAGTGTTTGACAGCTGGGCATTCTTGCAGGGTCTGTGACCCCTGTTCTAGCTGCTCTCTTTACCCCTTCATACCGCACTTGATGTAGTTCTTAGGGGCATTCAGATGCAGACTGTTGGAAGTGCTTATACAACAGCTAAACAGATTTTGACAATTTGAGCAATGGAGACTGCAATTCCAATTCCTAAAGTGCCATCCTGCTGCAGCAGAGGGGAAAGACGGACATGGTCATCCTTTTTCTGGTTCTCACCTTCAGGCTTTGATGTTTTCATTACCAGAAAGTCCTGGGTTTTATGTTGTGTTTATGATCTATGCATTTTTTGTTGCACATATCTGGTATTTACATGGTTTACACTTTTGTTCAGCCCTAGATCATTACATTGATCAAATTCCCAATTTTTCATAGTGTGTGTGTACAGTAGCTCCCAATTGAAATTTTCCTTTTGAAAGCACCGATTTTCAGAAAAGAGCACCCAGGGAAGGGTGATTAGGAGCATGAAGCATTTCACTGTCAAAAGTGGTCAGCCAACATCTTCATGACGAAGCTTAAAAATGTTTCTTTTTTTGATATAGATAGATGACAAGGAGTTTGATATTCCTCAGGTTGATACTCCCCCAACACTGGAAAGTATTTTAAATGAGGTGAGTTGAGCAGGGTAGTACAAAACCCTTATTTGCACACTGTGCTGGAAGAGCAAAATGCAAATGTGCAATTGCTCACAGACCAATTTATCATAACTTTGACACTGCTCTTAAACTACCATGGAAAATGGGACCAAGCTCCTCTAAAAATTGGCAAAGCTGTTTAATTGGCATTGTGTGTTCTTTTCTCTCTGTGTGTGCCTTTCTGAACCCACCAGTAGGATCTTATTCAGCAGTCTTTGAGCAAAGTCTGTCTTTCATCCCTGTCTAATACCATGCCTAACTGGCACCTGGCAAACCCAGGCAGTACTGCTGTAAGTTACATTAGTGCATTGCAAGGCTGGATATAGCATGGTTGGCCAGCTATGTTATTTCTGTCTCTTTTATAGACTGATGATGAAGAAGAGCCGTTTGTTCTTGAGGATCCTTCCCTTCTAAATATCGATAACATTGACACTCACTCATATGATACTTCATCTGTAGCGAGCTCTGACAGTGGCGATAGAACACACCTGAAAAGGTAACTGTTTGTGGGCAAATGTCTTGATCCTTGTGATAGATGCCATCACTGACAGTCTCCAGAAACTCACTGCATAGGATTGGTAAGCAAGAGTTGGCAACTTGCGCCCCACCATGGGAGAGGAGGTATGGCAGTTGCATGAGGGGGTGTAGGAAATGGCATAAGTGCCCTCCTCTCCTGTGCCACTCATGTCCTCACAGCTCCACCCCACTGGTGGCCTTCTGAGCTGACGTATCTGTGGTGTTGCACTGTTACACGTGTCATGGTAGCATTTGCATGACTGTAGTGTATCTAGTGTTCTGCTGGCACAGTGGGACTTTAGCCCCTCATCTAGCAGTTTCTCACTACAGCACTGGGCTCTTAACTACACGTAGAGTTCTGAGAGATTGTCCTTACTTTACGAAGGAAGAAGAAGCTTCGTGATTCTTTCTCCATCCATGGCTCTGTGATACGGCTGTCCCTTCTGAAAGGAATCTCTGCTCAGATAGTTTCTGCAGCGGTAAGTAGCTTTTCTCCACTGAGGCAGATGAACAACATGGGCAGTACACAAGTCGGAAGAGACAATAGTTAGGTGGTACACTTACGATATTCATGCAGCGGGTAGAAAAGGATAAACATGAAGTTTGTTTTCCTAGTCTACAACTAACGGGGGTCTAGGGATTTGGATATGCGGTCAAGCACACTTCCACTGCCTCGTGTTCTGTTTCTATTATTTATTTCTATATATTTTATTTATTTCATAGCATTTATACACTGCTTGATTTGTTAAAAAAAAAACAACAACCCTCAAAGCGTTCTAGTGTTGTATCTGGCTCTGGTAAACTCACAAGTGTTAGTTTGAGAATCCTGAAAAAACTGATTCTCTGGGTGATTTTAGGACTGGGTGTGAGCTCCTTTTAACTCCATACTGGTGATGGTCACACATAATGGTAAACCCAGGAGGAGGATGCTTCTAGCCCCTGCATTTTGTAGCTTTGGGGTATTTTCCATCTGTGGGAAAAGCAAAATCCACTCTGGAGTGAGCAGAACCCTTTTTTGCGCAGTTATAACCTGATGAATTCCCATATGGAATGTGGGGGGTGTTTGAGTCATAGCGTCAGCTTCTTAATGACAAGTGTAGGCTTAAGTTTGAACCAGATGACCCCCAAGACCCTTCCAACTTACAATTCTATGATTCTGTTATTTCAAATGGCAAACTGGGAAGCCTCACATGATTATATCTGACATGCAGATTATTTTGTGTTTCACTCTTATGATTATTGATGCTAGTTGCGTAATATATCTTTCTCTTTTAGGCCAAAGTGGATGCTGGCTTACCCACTGCAATTGTAAGTTTATGAATAACTATACAATGCTTGTTTCATTTTTGATGTTCTTAAAGCCTTGCTCCTAGATACAGTATTTTTGCAGACCCTGTTTCTTTCCAAAACTATTCCATTTGTATTACTGTATAGAATGAATGAATAGATATGAATAATCCATGTAACAAAATAAAGGACCCAAAGCAGTGCACACAATCTGGTACTCCAGTAACCCTTGCAGTAGCTGTGATAAGCAACATTTGGATGTAAAGCTAAGCTATGGATTGCCAGGCTTGAGCTCCTTAGCCATGAGAAAGAAATGGGAAACTCTTGCTTTTAATTAATGAGTTTGGTATTACCTGGTCAATCTGGAGTTAGCCTTAACCATAGTTGACTGAAACAACCCAACTTAAAATTCATTGTTGTGCTTTAATGAATGTTTGCACAAGCCTTGCAGCTTGCCAGATGGAACAGCCCCCCTCTCCTTCCCCTGTGTCCTGTTCTGGAGGTTCTGACACCTCCAGAGCCAATTTCAGGCACACAAAGAAAGCGAGGAGGGAAGTCCTGTCACACAAATGGAAGTCCTTATGCAGGGCTTCTGCTATAATGGGGCTCATTAGGTTATTCCAACCCATGGTTTATGAAGTTGGCATGTTTCAATAAGCTATAGTTAAGATTAATCACAGTTTAGGATTTGGCTGTAATGCTAAACTGTGATTACATTAAAGTGAAAATATCCTTTCTTTTCCCTCATAGAGGCACTGGAGGAGGAAAGGGGAATAAATGAGCCCAGGTTTTGTGCACAGGCCAATGAGTAGGCTTAATGAAAAATCAGGAAGTCTAACTGCCACCTAATGTATATGATGATAATGATGATGATAATCCCAGTCAGTCACCTGTTCCAATTATAAAGGCCACTTGGATCAGTTCTTTTTGTGAAATAATCTTTAATCATTTGGTCAGCAAGTGTTTCTGATATGGCTTCTTCTGAGTCCTTTATAGAAACCTATTCCATGGGTGCATAACCTTTTAGGGTTAATTTCTAGTTTCAGTTTTGCTTGCTTAACACATGGATAATCTGATTGCTGCTTTTGGGAAATTTCTTATTGTCTGCCTTGTTTTCAAGTGTCTTAATACTTTCCCTTGGCTTTGCTTTGTTTAGGCAGCATCAAGTCTCATAGCAGTGGGAACATCCCATGGACTGGCACTGATATTTGGTAAGCAAGGGTACCTGTTGAACTACTTAAACTTCAGAAAATCACTTTGAATTTGATTTCTGTGGCATATTGTATGTATTTTGTTACTGTATTTTGTTACATAAGTAGTACCAATATGTCTGGTCATCTGATTCAGTAAGCTTAGCAGGACATGCTACATGTAAGTAATGTGATGTATTTTAAAATGATGTTGACTTGCAGGCTTTCTGGATTAAAAAAGATTATGTTCAAATAAGGTACAGGTTTGTTTTTTTACACGGTTCACTATATGGTATTTGAAGGAAGTGTTGTCTGGATATGCTGTTTTGGCCTCATGTTACACAGAAATGAATAGGCATTTCGCCTGTTGCTCCCCACCAGCAGAAACTGATTTGTGATAGCCTCTTGCTGAACAGAAACATTTTATTGGATATTTTTCCTCCCTATTGACTTCTGGCTTTTCTTTCTCTCTCAACTTTTTTCCTCATGGACTGAGAAGGCAAAGGTATAGTACCGCTGCATTGTGCATGTAACTTGCATGAACAGGTCCACATTTTAAAACTGCCACAACTATGCTCTGAATTCTGATATGATAGCTTAAATTTATATTTAATGAAGGTATTTGTATACCGCTTACTGAAGGTCTGGGCAATATGTTCACAATGTAATTTTAGGGCATAGGGTGCAGGAGTTCATATAAAACTCTGAAGCTATTTCCTGTACTGGGAAACTCCTCTGAAGAAAAGACAAATATTTTATCTGTAGCTTTTAGTACATCATAGCTTTGATTACCACTCTGGCAAGAGGTGCTGGTCTCCAACCAGAACATATTCAATAACCGTCTATAGAGTTACGGGGAAAAGAAAGTACACCCTCTTTGAATTCTGTGGTATTATCAGGACACAGTACCAATCACCTCCTCCTTAGCAGGTCTTAAAATTGGGTAAATACAACCTCAGATGAACACATGACATATTACTCCATGTCATGGTTTATTTAAGAAAAATAAAGCCAAAATGGGGAAGCCGTGTGTGGAAGAACTAAGAACACCTTATGATTCAACAGCTTGTAGAACCACCTTTAGCAGCAATAACTTGAAGTAATTGTTTTCTGTGTGGCTTTATCGGCTTCTCACATCATAGTGGAGGAATTTTGGTCTGCTCTTCTTTACAACGTTGCTTCAGTTCATTGAGGTTTGCTGGCATTTGTTTGAGGAAACTGGCTGCCTGCCACCTCTGACGGTGTTACTGCTTTTCCCACCTGCCTTTCCCTCTTCTTTCACCATCCATCTCGTGGACACTCTTCTCTCCAGAGGCTTTGGCAAGGTGGGGGTGATCCTGAACCTCACAGCTAATTAAAATGATGAGGTTGGGACGTCCTTATGGTTAAGCAAATTCAGCCAATTAACTTGTGTTCTGAAAGTCTGTAGTAGGGATGGGTGAGGGCATCGCCCCCCCCCCCGGTACATCTAACTGGGTTGATTCCTGGGTGAGTGCCAGAAACAACTAGGAGGGTGTGCATGTGCCTAACCCAGCCTCCTGGTGAGAGATGGATGACTAGTGAAGGGTGACCTGGTAAGAGCACGGAAATCATTCATGGGTACATTCGCAGGATGGTGGGTGGGTGGCAATGTGATATTGAGCTCTCCCTTTCTGTGGTGGTACACCATTTATGGAATGCCCTCCCTAATGAGGTGCACCTGCCTCCATCATTAATTTTCAGAAGGAATTTGAAAACATTTTGGTTTACTTAGGCGTTAGGTGGCTGAAGGATACCTCTTCCTGGTAACTCTGAAGTGACTGGATAAAATAATGTTTTTAACTCTAACTGTTCTTAGAAATTGTGGGTGTGTTTGCTGCCCTGGCTCTTTCATTCATTCATATAAATGAATGAATGAATAAAAACATCAATAATAATAATAATAATTAATAATACTTGAAGCAGAGATATAATGTGTGGGAAATGATGATTTGATTTTTAGTAAATACAATTAACTTAATTCATTTATAAAAAAAAATTATATACAATTTCCTCACAAAACATTAGGGGTGTGTACAGCAACATAAAAAACTTAAAAGCAGTACAGAGCAATCATTAAAGTGACTGGCTACCCAAGGAAATTTTAAACTGCATAGGCCTGTCAGCATGTGTTTGGCCCCTACTTCCTGGATTTATTTTTTAATGTGAGGTGTTTTACTGTGTTGCAACAGTGTAAATGAATCCGGGTTTTGTTAAATGCTGTTTGTTCTTAATAATTACAAATAATAGGTAATAACATATCCTTCCACTACAGACTTTATGCATTCACAAGGTTGCAAAACATCCTGTTCACCACCTATTGTTGTATTGACATCCTTCAAAGATCAGGCTATTAATTTTTTATTTTTCAAAAGAGTTTGAAGCCATATACCTAGTTTTTACTTCCCCCAATCCATTTTTAAAGTAGCTGCTGTTGTATTAAAAAAGAAAGTTTGACAACATTTAACATGCATATAAGTTTAAAATACTTGGGTATAAACCCAAGTTTGATCACATTAGTATCATGGACTGAAAATGGATAAGAAACTTCACTCAAGTAGCCTTGGGGCACTTACAATTTTTGAATAGAGAGTCTAACCAGTTTCTAGAGAGCTGCTGAACTAAAATAAGGAAGCTGTGTTTCCGCTCCCTTCCCATTTGAATAGCTGTCTATGCCATATCACAAACTAGGTGTGAGATGAGGATTGCTGCAATCTTTAGTTTGGTGATCTTCATTCTCATATATTTGTGTGTATGTAATCTTGCTTCCAAACGGGCGTGGGGTTGAGTTGGAACTGCTTATCTTGACCTAATAGGATTTTGTATTTTTCATTTTAAAAAATGTATTTTACATAATCTGTGATGGTGGTAGTGGCAACAGCAGACATTGTCCACTGGCAGCCTGCTACCATGTTTGTGACCTTGAAAGGAAAACATGGAGGCCATAGCAAAATAATTTTCTGTTCTATTCTTCCCCTCAAGCTTTTAATTGAGGCATAGCTTTTATTTTACTCTCCATTTTTTTTTTATTCTTTAGCCTTTTTGTATTAAATTTCTAAAATATAATCTTTCTCTTGAAGTGTTTTGTTATGTTATCTCTTGACTTTATTATTGATCTGCTTCTGTCTCCTTTCTTCTTGCTGCTATAAATAGTGCTATTTTCTTTTTCTTTGTTATGTGGCTTATTCTTCCCTTTATAGCACTGGCCATGTTGCTCCTGAGTTGTGTGGGCCTCATTGGGTGTCATAGCTCTTCACTGTTAGAATTTTAAATTCTGTCTTTAAAATCACACAAGTGGTTGCTCCTCATTTTTCACTCTCCACAAAAGCTTTCTTCACCACCTCCTCCTGGTGAATTGTAAGCATGTTACGCCCAATTTAGGTGTCACAAGTAATTATGCAAACCCAGAAAGGAAGGATGAGGGTGAGAGACCACAGTTTGTTGCTAGTTCTCTGTATCATGGGTTGAATGATTGAAAATGTGATGTCTGAAATGAGCCAATTCATGATGTGTAGAATTACTCTTGATTCTGGGGTTGATGTGCTGATCTTTGGTGTTGATGTACCCATATGTTAACTAGGCATCTTTGTGTTTAGATCCTAACCAGGCTCTTCGGCTTTGTTTGGGCAGTACCGCAGTTGGAGCACAGTATGGGGCTATATCTGCTCTTAGCATCAACAACGATTGTTCAAGACTTCTGTGTGGTTTTGCAAAAGGACAGGTAAGGTTGATATATGGCACAATACTGTGCATGCTTACTCAGAAGTAAGTCCAGCTGTGGTCTGTGTACCCCAAGGTAGATGTGCAAACCCAGGGGTTACGTTTCAGTGAAATCGGGTAAAGTGTGGAACACCCTCTAACACCCTTTAAATGTCCTCTCTGCTGTTCTCTTTTCAATCCATACCAAAAACACTGTATCCAAAAATATCCACAACTAGAATTGAAGCTCTGGGGCTGACAGGAGGCTGGAGGCTGCATGCGAAATCTGCTGCACCACCCCGGACATCAACTATTAGGCCAGCCTTTCTCAACCTGTGGGTTCCCAGATGCTGTTGAACTACAACTCCCATCACCCCTAGCTAGCAAGGCCAGAGCTCAGGGATGGTGGGAGTTGTAGTCCAACAACATCTGGGGACCCACAGGTTGAGAACTGCTGTTTTAGGCAGAGAGGCTAAGCAGTGTAAACAAAGCCCCGTTGCACCTTCAGTCTCTTTGGGCTTCCTCTGCTTCACTGTCATCCTCTTCGGGCTCCAGGAGGGTCTCCTCATGAGCTATGAGGACTCTCTAGTTCTCTCCTGCCATTTCTGGGTTTGAACTGAATTATTTTATTATCTCCCAGCACCATGTCGCGAATTCTTCATGGCGCTTTAGCAGAAATGCTCAGAGTTCCAGGTTCTTCAGTGCAGTATATTTATTGTGAGCTTATACAAATATCTACAGGCTATAATACATGAGCAGTTCATACAGTCAGAGTACCTGGCTGCACCTTAAGGCAAATAGGAAGACCTCTAACTCTCTGACCACACTCCTCTACACCACCACCTTACTGCTGGATAGGTTTCCCTTTTAAGCCGATGACAGCCAATCAACTGTCAGCACCTACTGCTGAGTCATTCTGACCCAGCACTTTGTCCACCCGCATGTATGTGGTTGTGCGTAAGTGAGGGGACGCCTGTAATCAATGGCTACTGGTTGTGATGGCTTTGTTCCACCTCCGTTGTCCAAGGCAGTGTCTCTGAATTCCAGTTGCTGGGGATCGCAAGTGAGGAGACTGCTATTGCACTCGGGTTCTGCTCACAGGCTTCCTATGGGTATCTGGTTGGCCACTATTGGAACTGAATGCTCAACTCAATGGGGCCTTTGGCCTGATCTAGCTGGGCTCTTCTTATTTGGTTCTGGAGAGCAATGATTTTCTATTTACACATTTTGTTATCTCCATAGATCTTTCTACTGTGGCTTATTGTGACCCCAAATGTGATACAGATTAGCAAGCAGTACATGTATCCCACACAGTACTTCTTTGTACTCTGTGAGGCCTTATTTTAATGCAAGAAAATTCAGCTTTTGTTTAAGTCTAGCTTTGATTTTCTCAATAAAAATGTCATATGAGAGAAAACATCATCCATTTTATTTGTTTATTTTGTAAACTCTATATTTCAATTCCTAGCGAAACTTTCAAATGATAGATAGATAGATAGATAGATAGATAGAGTGAGTCATGTTCATTATTTGGAAATTGGGAGTGAGCAATCTTGGCAGTCTTGCTCAGTCATGTTGGCTAAGCTGGTGGGAGGAAGCTTCTGCTTTTAAACTGATGGACAAGTCATAGTGCAGTTTGGATGTGATGTGGCAATTAAGAAAACTTTGTGGCCTTCCCCACCCTTTTGCTCCACCCCCCTTGGCTCGTACAGCCCTCCCTTTTCCTGTTGTTACCAACAGTAGTTTACAATCATGCCTGACCAGTTTAACCCTAATTTCTCTTAACCATAATTAGCTTTCAAACCAGAGTTTGAAACCAGGATTAGACCCCATTTCAAAATGTGCTTAGCAGTAATTTTTGTTAATCATTCCAGCTCAACTTTGCAGTCAGGATAGTTACTGCTAGCCAGGAGAGAGGGCTGAGGAGGGGAGGACATAGGAGCCAACTCCTAAGGGCCGAAGGGACTTCACCCTCTCAAAATTTTTTTGAGGGGGCTGCCCCCCCAGTTGATAGACATTGCCATTCAAATGGTGTGCAAGCACCGTGTCATGTGATCGATTATGCAGGGTGCTGCTTACTTGACCCCCCCCATATTTTATTCAAGTTGGCACCCCTGGGGGAGGAGGAGTCTGCTCCCAGTTCCCAAACCATGGCAGTGGGGAAGCGTGATGTCTGAATTAGACCTTTGTTCTCTAAAACTTTATAAAATGTGAAGTACACTCTGTGCTTGGAAAACTAGGACAAAATAACTGAATAACGCTTGATTACACAACAAGATGGTTGGCAAATATTTAATAGATGTCTTCATGCTTTGGTAATCCAGGCTTGTATTAGAGAAAATTAATGGTCTTTTACTTATAGATTACAATGTGGGATCTGGCTAGTGGAAAGCTTTTGAGATCAATAACAGATGCTCATCCTCCAGGAACAGCAATTTTGCACATTAAGGTAAGAAATATTAATTCTGCTTTGTGAGCTGTGTTGGCTGCACTGAAATTGTGTTAGATCTTTCTGACGATAATAAATTGTGCACACTTAATACAGCACCAGTATTTCTTACCTCAAAATTTGAATTGCATAGGAAAGAGAAGTATATTAAAAATATCCCACCCACTTCTGAAAGGCCACAGATAGTTAAAGATCAAAGGCCTGGTTATAGAAGAAAGCTTTTGCCTGGTGCATAACAATATATAATGATGGTGCCAGGCGAGAGCATTCTACAAACAGTGAGGCACATGAAGAAGGGCCTCAGATGAAGATTGGAATGTCCGGGTTTGATTCATAGGGCCAGAGGCAATTCTTGAGGAACCGTGGTCCTGATCCCTTTAAGACTTTATAGGTCAAAACCAGCACTCTGAATTGGGCCTGGAAACTAATTAGCAGCCAGTACAATCAGGCCAGGTTTGGCGTTATATGCTCAAACTGTCTTGCCTCAGGAAGCAACCTGGCTGCTAAATTCTGCACCAGCTGAACTTTCCAAATTGTCTTCAGAGGCAGCCCCACATATAGCACATTACAATAATCTGACCTGCAGGTTACCAGAGCATAGACAACAGAGGTTGGGGTGTCCCTGTCCAGATAGCAGTGAAGCTGGACCACCAGCAGAAGCTGATAGAAGGCGCACTGCGCCACTGAGGCCACCTGAGCCTCCAGCGACAGCAGTTGTTGCAGAAAAAGCCCTAAGCTGTGTAACCGCTTCTTCTGAGGGAATATGACCCCATTAAGAGCAGGCCACCTCCCATCCATCTGGTCTAGGGTAGCGTCCATTCACAAGTGAGGTAATGTTAATGAAAGAAAGTTTTAAAAGTTGCTGAGAAGATACACGTGTGGGGGAAAAGTAATGTTCTGTTCAGTTTACAGATGATCCAACGCTAGCGATTTGCAACGACAGTGGAGGCTCAGTATTCGAACTCTCTTTCAGGTAAGAATCTGTGGGTTTATTGTCAGATGACAGCATTGTTGGAAATAGACCCTTTATAATGAAATCTTTTCTAAGAACTTGAAGTGCAGCGTTTCAAACACCAGGTTGTGCTCAAGATTTCAAGTTGAACAGACTGAGGAAAAACACTAGAGGCTTTAGAGGCCTAATTCTCTCTTGAGTATCCCTTGAGTATCCTGGTCAGTATCATTTGTGCTGGATTTGCAAATGTAGTTGTTAAAAGCCATTCCTGGAATTACATGCAACACTTTTGAAAGCTAAATTGTATATGCATTTTCCTATACACACAAGTCACCGTTTTAAATTGTTGCTGTTTGTTTATGTCCTTTTACTTTATTCTCAGGAGAGTCATGGGTGTGAGAACATGTGAGTCACGCTGCTTGTTCAGTGGTTCCAAGGGAGAAGTCTGCTGCATTGAGCCTTTACATGCAAAGACTGAACTGAGAGACCATCCCATCACCCAGTACTCCCTGCTTGCAATGGCTTCCTTAACAAAGGTGACTTCTACACAAGACATCCTGTTTTAAAATGGAAGAAAGATTGCTGAATGCAGAATGTTTATTACTTACTTTCATTTCTACCTGCAGATTCTTGTCATTGGCTTGAAACCGTCTTTGAAAGTGTGGATGACTTTCCCATACGGTCGTGTGAGTAATTTTGACAAATTCATGTCTGTTCAAAGTGCTCTGGTGGAGCATGAGGGTTACTGGGGCCAACCCTACCATGAAGCAGAGGGAGGAAACTGCCTTGGGTAATGCCCCTCACACTCTGTTTCTCCTGATCCTGCCCCATTCCACCTAGCCATTACCCTCTGTTGAAGGACAGAGCTGTGTGTCCCACATGACTTGTCCTGCACCCCCAAAATTAGCCTGCCTCCTTCGCATGCAGTGGAGAATGTTCCTTTCTTGAATCAACTTCTGGTCTAGGCTGCTTCTGTATATGTGACTAGAGAGCACGATGCCATCTTGTCCTTTGCCTAAGGCAGAAAATTGTCCTAGGCCAGGCCTGAGGATTATCTGGGGAGAACCTTAGTTTGGATGTCTAACACAGCCTTCCATTGTCTTGTAAGAACTTTATACAACACACACTGCACCGATGGAGTAATTCTTTGCCAAATGAGGCATACCCAAGACCATTGAAATCAGTAGGCTTCAGTGCACCCACCTCTGCAAGGACTGGAGATGCTAATGTTGTACATTTCAAGCTGATTGCATCTTTATAAAGCTTTGGAAAGTAAAGTATTTTTTATATATATTTAGTAAAGAGCATGATTATAGCATTGTTGAAATAGCAAGTCTTTTTGTAAATTGAGTTTAAATTAGACCAGTATATTCACCTTTCAGACCAGTACTTCTCCCCCCTTTACAGCCAGTACTTTTTCTTTCTTTTACTTGGTGCTAAGAATCTAGTATATTTTCATCTTCAGATGGACCCCTCCAGTGTTCCATTGCTAGCATGGCATTTTGTTGCTGTGCAGACATCTGTGAATCCCGTGCTTGCCTTCTGCCGAGGAGATGTTGTCCATTTCCTTCTGGTAAGGTTCATTTTATCAATCAGCTTTGGAGAGTTGCTTTCTAAATACATTTTCCCTCAGAGTAGTTGGTCATTAACTTACAGAAGCTCAGACTGTAGGATGGCAACAGTTGTGTTGTAGATGAGTTTCTTGGCTTACTAGTCTGCTGAAAAAGCCAAAGTATCTAATTGTTCAGTTTGACTTTCACTTGAGTGTATGTTGGGATTAGTGGGAATCACTCTTCTTTATTTATTTCCTGAATTATTTGTATACCATAATTTCATTAAAAAATATATTAGAGTTGTTCTCAACAAATATAATACAGTAAAACACACACAAGCTGATCACCAGCTGACTATCATGAAAAATGTTGGCAAATTTAAAAAGTTTTCTGCAGGTTTTAGACGAAAACACAGCTGAAGGTAGCACAATTGTAAGCAGCCCAATTGCTTGATGGACCAATGGTCTGACTCTGTATAATGCAGATTATTATGTTCCTATGAATTACCTTATTTCATCACCAGGTTAAGAGAGATGAATCTGGAGCAATACATGTTACAAAGCAGAAGCAGCTACATCTCCACTATGACCTCATTAATTTTACAGTAAGTTGTTATGTTTTATTTTCTAGTAGGAAATGTGAAGAATTTTGTTGCTAAAAAAGAAAGAGGCATTTCTTCCATTTAATAGGCTCTTAACTCTTCAGAAGATGAACCTTATCTGGGTAATGATGGTGAGGGGTGTCAGATGTTTATGTAGCTGTCTCCCTTCTGGCCTCTGTTGGCAGAGAGGAGCACCACCATTTAGGGGGCTGTGCTGTGGCTGAGGCTGCAATGTCACTCAGCCAAGCTACTTCCAATTGTTGTCTCGCCTTTTTTTAGCAGGATCCAGGGGCTCAAGGATCCTCCTAGCAAATAATAACCCCCCCACACACACACAGTCTGACATGACCAATGCAAGCTGGTAAGGTGTTGGTTGCAGAAATGGCTCCTCTGCTCCCCACCTCCATTTAAGACTGCTCTGTTATTTGCTAGTGAATTTCAGCTTACTTGAAATACATTGTTGCCACTTTAATAGTTCTCATTGTGTTGTCTCTTGAGCCGCAATCTTAATTTCTTCTGATTTGCCTTGGTTTGATTCTAGTAAAAAACTCGTCAACATTAACTATTATTGGAAGGGTGTTTAAGACTGAATAACCTGAAGGTTTTTAAAGTATAAACGTATAACCTACAAATAGGCATTTTTAAAAAAAACTTCATTCTAGTTTTGTGCCTTGGGGGTGGTTCAAGTTTTGCTCCCAATGGTTGTGGAGACCATCATATTAAGAAAGAGTTTGTCATATAATTGTGGGGATTTGTACATCACACTTGAGATTTTCCACTTTAAAATGTATGTTTCTAGTCTGGCGGTTAAATATTCCCAGGAAAATTACATGGCATTCCTTTCTTACTTATTTGTACTGAGACCCCAACTTCTAAAGTTAGTCATGTTGCCACCAGCTGTATAATTCAGATGCTATGGCTTTATAAGATTTACTTAAGAAGAAGAAAAGTTTGGATTTGATATCCCGCTTTATCACTACCTAAAGGAGTCTCAAAGCAGCTGACATTCTCCTTTCCCTTCCTCCCCCACAACAAACACTCTGTGAAGTGAGTGGGGCTGAGAGACTTCAAAGAAGTGTGACTAGCCCAAGGTCACCCAGCAGCTGTATGTGGAGGAGCGGGGAAGCGAACCCGGTTCACCAGATTACGAGTCTATCGATCTTAAGCACGACACCACACTGGCTCTCTTAGTGCCCAATAATATCCCCTGTCCTTTTGTGTTATTAATTGTTGGTACCTGTCACCTTTGCTTGATTTCTAGTGGATAAATTCACGCACAGTGGTGCTTCTGGATAGTGTGGAGAAACTGCATGTGATAGATCGTCAGACGCAGGAGGAACTTGAGACTGTGGAGATCTCAGAAGTCCAGTTGGTGTACAACAGCAGCCATTTCAAATCATTGGCTACAGGAGGCAATGTCAGCCAAGCACTGGTACGGCCAAATGAGACATGTACTTAATGAACATGTTGGTTTGTTAGGAATTCCTATCTAACATCTGGTGTGTCCTGAATCTGCAGCTAAATAACTTCTCTCTCTCTTCCCCACCTCCACCGTTTCTTCTTATAGTTTCAGTTTTTGTACAATTGGGTTTTGTATTCTTCCTTTATGGCATAACTGCTTGAATTTTAGCATGTACTGCAGTATGGCCTTGCAGGTAGCAATAGAGAGAAAAACCATTCTACAATGATGAGAGCAGACATACAGAAAGGACCTTCCTCTCCTTCCAACTATATACACTTCAACACATCCAAAAGATACCTTGAAACTCTGCCATCACTTTGCTGCACACAGAAATTGTTTGTTTGCTTACATAGCAATCAGTGTCTCATATCCAGATTTTAAAACTTGACCATAGTTTTGTTCTGTCTCTTGCCTATTTGGTAAATTTCAGCAGAAATTAGCTTATGTTTCAAGTTTCTGCATTGCAAACTACACGTCTGAAATATATTCAACCTATTTGGTAAATATTATCTGCCTTGTTGACCCATAACACATCATTAAAACTCTTAGTGGATCACAGATGAATGTTAAATGACTACTAAATGCTCTACTTTGAATTTGTCACCTGCTACTACACAAAGGAGAGAGAGAAACGACTGAACAATTAAGTTTGTCTGGCTGCACTTATTTTTTTCCACTGCCCTATATTCCACATATATTTTCTTACTAATGAAAACACCACTACTGTACTCTCGTACTAAATAAAAACACTCCATGTTTTTTAGGCGCTGGTGGGGGAGAAAGCTTGTTACCAGTCAATCAGCAACTGTGGTGGTCAAATATTTTATTTAGGTACAAAGGTAAGTCTGACCAGGTTCTTCTAAAACTATTTTATTATTTATTAGGCCTCTTTTTCTGCCTCTTAATAGATCGATTAAATTATTATTACCTCAGTATAGAATTATTTGTCATTTGTTTTAGTACTTGTAAAGCACTTGTAAAGCAGAAGGGTGGCATATATAAATGTAATAAATAGAATAAAGCTATCAATGGCTCCTAGTCATGATGGCTATATATACTACCTCCAGCATCAGAGATGGCATGAGAGGTTTTTTGTCTTCAGATGTTGCTTGTGGTCTTTTCATTTTGCATTTTGTTAGCCGCTGTGGAAAACAGGATGCTGGATTAGATAGCCCTTTGATCTTAAGTTGCAGGATTCATGTTTCTTCAGCACCTAGAATAAATGTTGCCTAAGCATCCTGCGAGCTAGTATGGGAATTCATAGTTACTACCAACGAATGCTTAAGTAGACAACTGCATTTACTTGCGCTTTTACTTTCCTCTACTTTCAGTCTGTCCATGTGATGACACTGAGAAGCTGGAGAGAGGTAAGTGAAGAGAAAGGCCCTAGTGTTATTAAGACTGCAACCTTAAATTCACTTACATAGGACTAAGCTTTTCTGAAGTAAGTTTGGCTTATAACTGAGTAGACATGTATAGGATGACACTGTAGAGAGCTTAGGTTCATGACTTGGTGACAGGAGGAATGAGCTGCCTTCAAGACAAACCTTTGCAGAGTAAATATACACATTATGGACAGAAAACATTGATGTCCTGTTAATTGAACGCAATATTTTCACCAATAAAGCATTGCTAATCTAGACTGCGCTGTCTTATTTATTTATTTAATTATTCATGATGCACTGAAAGATTACCTCAGTACTATTGATGCTGTATGTGTATCAGCAATGAGGGAAACTTACAAAAATCTGAAGAAATTGCTAAAGGGAGTTAGTGTATCATGTTCCTTCCATCAGCAAACCCCATAGTTTGTTTTGTTCCAAACTGACAAGTGGATGGCAAATAAAATGGACTGGCTTATTATTTTAACTGCCATTAATTATTACCCAGCTCCATGTTATTCAAAGGGCAGTTGTTTTGATGTTATGATGTTAACCATTTTTCAGTGCTGCCTGTTTACAGAATGGATTTGTGGAGTACTATTTTTGAGTGGCTGATCGATCTGAGACACGTGTATGTGTGGGTCGTGCACATTGCATTTTTGAGGGGAAGGGGTTGGAGCAAGCATTCTGTGTTGGAGCAAGCATCCTAGAAATGTCTTAAAACACAAACAGAACAACTAGAATTCCTGAAATAAATCCTTAATTGGAGATTGCCTTTGGTCACAATCTATAACAGTTGTTGCTATTGTGTATCTGACTTCAGAGAATAGATCACCTTCTGAAACAAGACTGCCTTAATGAAGCACTGGCTCTTGCTTGGTCCTTTCATGAAGGGAAAGCCAAGGCTGTTGTAGGTAAGTTTGATTTAGTTATTTTACCACCTAAGTAAATGCTTCAACAAAAGCCCCCCCCCCCAATTGCTTACCTTCTAGCAGCTGATCTTAAGAGGTATATTACCTCTGAACATGGAACTTTCAGCTTTCTGTCCTGGCTAAAAGCCATTGTTGGTACACCTGCCTTTCATAAATTTGTCTAACCCCATGCTAAAAATAATCCTGCCTGTGTTTTAATTCTACAGTATATGTGGTGGTGGTTATACACTTTAAAGTTGTGTTTTGAGACATTTAATTTTTAAAAAATTGCCTACTCTGAGTTATAATAAGTGAGGAGCTGTTTCATTTGCAGTATGACCTGGAAAAGACTTGGTATTCTATTTTGTTTTTAAACAGGGTTATCTGGAGATGAACAGAAACGAAAGGCTGTTGTTGCAGACAGAGTGAGTTTTTCCTCTTCTCATCTTTTCCCCCCTTCAAATGTAGAGCTACATTCTGTCTTTTTTTTTCTGTACGATTTCGCTTTTGTTTTCCCAACAAACAGCTTAGTTAGGGTGTGTGTGTTGGTGTATGTCTGAATGTATAAAAGCAATGAGAATTAAAGGTCAGACCTGCCATCAGTGCATATTGTTCTCTTACATGATAAGTGATGCTGATCCTTTTTTTTTTGCCATATCATTTTTATTAATTTTACAATAATGCTTTCCATTACAATCTCTCCTCCAATTTGGCTTTTTAGGGCCATGACTTCCTTCAAACCTTCCTTATGATTTTCTATCTTTCATTTCAAATTTCTGCATTTTCACTACTTAACCATTGCTTTCAAATCAAAAACATCAAAGCATCATATTTTCTTATTCTTCTCTGCAGTGATTTTTATACCTTTCCTTACAAAGCTTCTCACAATCCTACCAACGTGTTTGATTGACTACAATTGTCTTTCAAATAATTTACAAATTTAGTCCAGTCATTGATGAACTTCTGGTCCCGCTGCTCTTGGATTCTTCCCGTCATTTTGGCCAGTTCCGCATACTCCATTAACTTCAATTGCCAGTCTTCCTTTGTCAGTAATTCCTCTTGTTTCCACTTCTGTGATGCTCATCATTATTAACAAACACCAGAGTATATAGTTACACCTCCACAATGATTAAACATTGACACTGTACATTAACTGATATTGGGTCTAAACTTTGTGGGAGGTCCAGGTAGCCTTTGTGGTTCGAGGCTTCTTTAGCAGCTGTGACTGATACCACAGCTATGGCTGTTCCTGAACCGGCAGAGCCTTGACCACAGTAGTTCAGTCTTTCCTGACTTCAAGCTTGGATTCCTGGCAATTTCACCCTATGTGGGGCTTCTCTTGCACTTGATCTGGAAGCTGCAGTTAGTGCAGAATGCTGTAGCATGACTGCTGACAAGAATGAGACACCTCTGCACTGGCTGCTGATTCACCAAGTTCAAGGCCATTCCTATTAGATTCAAAGGATTGTGGATAGGAAACCCAGCATCTGTGAGAGAACTTTGGCAGCTGGACAGCCCACCCCCAATTTGCCCCTGTATCCCTTTCTGAACTCATTCCTAGAGCCATAGATCAGTGGTAGAACATGTGCACTGCATGCAGAAGATCCCACATCCAGTCTCTGGCATCTTCAGGTAGGGCTGGGAAAGTTCTCTCTCCTTCCATCGTCAAGCACCTTCCTTTCATATGAAGCATGACGGGCGCTCCTTACCTCTGTAATCTTTCTGTTTCACAGATGGTTGAAATTCTTATCCATTTTGCTGATCGAACGATGAAGAAATGTCCTGATCAGGGTAAAATCCAGGTGATGGAGCAGCACTTTCAGGTACAATGCTTTTGCGGCGATTTCTCTTTTCTATTTCCACTTAAAATTCAGAGGTTCAAACAGTTATGAATTGTTTCAAGAGAAATGGCAGCACCTATATAAAAATAATATTTCCTTGTATAGGCTGCTATCATGCTGCTCTTGGGCATCTTGTGGTAGATGCAGGGTTGATTCTTCTGCGTCAGAAAAAAATTCAAGTCTTGAGGATAATGTGCAAGCAATATAGTGACTTCCTAATTTTGTGATCTCCCTGTATCAGTGCAAGTTTAATCTTTTCTGGATAACAGCTACAGAGCAGTAATAGGAGATCAAGTAGTACTTGCGGATTGTTAGTGACACTTTCTGTGTGGTTTTTTTCGCAGGATATGGTGCCTGTCATTGTTGATTACTGCCTTCTGCTTCAGCGGATGTAAGTGAGAGCATGAGAAACTTGCTTATTGAATTCAATAGATTTGCCATACATACTGCACCAGGACTGCCACCTATAGCTGTTCCTTGCCTTAATGACAAACAGCAGGTGTCCCAGAAGAAAAGTGGAATATGAGAGCTGACAATGATGGAACAATTGAGCCATGGGGGAAGGTTTTCTCTAAATTTCCTGTCTGAATGATCTTGAATTATAGCACTGCATTCGCAATTGCTTATTTGTAAAATGGCGGTTTCTAAATGGATTTTCCTTTTACGGCCTCACCTTTTAAAGTTTTTGGTCTGAATGACAGATGTTTCAGGAATTTCATCTTTTTAAATTCTATAACTTCTGGACTCATATGCAGATCAGAATGCAATTATCCTCTTGGATTTCACATTGATCTGAATTTTACAAAGCAGTTCTTACTTTAAAAAAAAGTACCAAAATGTTTATTTTAAGATAAGGTATGTTACTAAATTACATTTTGTGAAAAAAATACATATTTATAGACTAATATGTATTTGAAACATGGGACAGAACAGATTTACTGTCTGAACACATGCAAAACTGATACTGGCAGAAATAGATTGACCAGTCCCCCATCCGTAATATGAATGCAGGAAGTGTTTTCAATGCTGTGTATGCTGTAGAAGTCAACCATTACTAGCTAAAATAAGTTTTTAATTTTTGATAATTACTTATTCACTTGTCATCCTCATTCTAGGGATCTGTTGTTTAGCCAGATGTATGACAAGATGAGTGAAAATTCTGTGGCGAAGGGTGTCTTTCTGGAGTGTCTTGAGCCATACATTTTAAGTGATAAATTGATGGGAATTACAGCTCAAATTATGAAAGATTTACTGCTTCACTTCCAAGATAAGAATTTAATGGCAAACATGGAGGCTTGCATTGTACATATGGATATCACCAGCCTAGACATACAGCAGGTGATAATTGGTAACCTTCATATTTTGACATGGATGTAATCTCATTCTGCTGCTGTTTAAGTATGAATGTTTTCAATAGTTAACGAACAAGATGTTTAAAACGTTTTGTGTTGCATTGTGCTACAGAGATGCCCCTGGGCTCTGTAAAACTCTAAAAAGCATTTTAGAACCAGACAAGATCTCTTAGGGTAATCTAGATTAATCCAGCTATAATTATGTGGATTAATACCAGTTTCAAACTTGGGGTAAATCATGGGTGGGGAATCTCTGGTTTGCAAGCCAAATAAGGCTTTACTAGGCCTCCCCATTTGGCCTGCAAAGCCATTTTTAGGAGTCCATGCCCACTCGCCCTTTTCTTGTCATGTATGATGTCACCAGGTGTCTCATGGGTAAGGGCGGGGCTTCAAAGGAAAAATTGGGCGCTTAAAGTGAGCTCCCAATTGTTCTTTTGGTGAAGCACTTCCACCACCCATTAACCACTCCTCCTGCAGGGCCTCTAAGACAGAGCTATTCCGTCTGGCCTTCAATTTGAATTAGCCTGATCTGCTAATTTTCCCTTTCCTTTTCCCATTCCTCTTCTATGAAGAAACCCTTTCTGGGACCCCACATTTAAATTCTTATTCACACACCTCCTTGCTGGCCCTAGTAGAACCAACTTGGCCAGTTAGCCCTGGTGATTATTCAATGTCTACTGACTGGGTTCCCCCCCCCCAAAAAAATGACCCCTGAATTCTTGAATTTTATTGATATTGATGCTGCATTTTATGTTGTATTCTATGCTGTTTTATGCTGCTTTTAAGTCACATTTTAAACAATGATTTATATTTGCTGTTAGCCGCCCTGAGACCGGTTTTTAAACCGGGAAGGGCGGGGTATAAATAAATATTATTATTATTATTATGAGCAGTGGCTCGTTCAAGGAGGGGGAATTGTTCTCCCTTCCAGTGCTGCTTGAACCTTAAAGAACTGGAGGTTCAAAGTGTAGCACAGGACTGTTTGAAAGCATTTCCAAAGCAGCTCCATACCGCAGTTTAAGAAGCAGCATGGTTCTATTTGTAAAAGGGCTTTAAACATCCCTTTGAAAAGCCGGGAATTCCAAAACCAGCATGTGGACGTTGGAAAGCCCTTTGCTACAAATTACCTCCCTTCCCCCTCATTTAAGGAAATCAGTTTCAGCTTTTTGTATATGTATTGCTCTACATTATCTTCTGAGTCCACATGCTGCTTACTATCTGTTATAGTGTTGAATAAATCTTCAAGTCTCAAGGCATATTTTTTTGTTCCTAGGTGGTCCTCATGTGCTGGGAGAATCGTTTGTATGATGCCATGATCTATGTCTACAACAGTGGCATGAATGACTATATTACACCAATGGAGGTAGGAAGTTTGGAGCCTTGTACTAAGTATCTTTTATGCTTATCATCAGTTTTCCAAAAGACGCTTAACTACCATCAGCCCCAGCCAAGGTGGCTGATGGTTAGGAATTCAGGGAGTTGGAATTCAACATGGTCTGGAGGCCATCACATTGGTTTTCTTTACTCTTTACTCTTCAGCTTTTGACTGGAGCAGTCCAGTTTTTATTCTTCTTTAACTGCAGTTCTTATTTATTCTGAACATTGTGCATGTTTACGGAGAAGCCACACACACATTCCCTGGGTGACACTGGCCACAGCCATTTTCTTTGAAGCTGGGAGCAATAAGTCTCATGGTTCTTATCAAGCATCACTAAACATGGAGCTGGTTTAAGAAATTTCAAGGACTTGCTCTTCAGCCAGTGGTTGTTTTTTTCAGACCAAATAAATAACTATGCAACATTTGACAATAAACAAGTCAGTAGCAAGCTGTTTACTAAGGATGTAGCCAACATGGACTGCTCATAAGATGTCTGGAAAATAATCACTATTTTATTTTTCTTCCAATAAAGTGCAAGCAAGCAATAACAGAACTGAAACAGGTTTTAAATTATCAGAGGCTCTTATACAAAGAACTTTGTGATATCATCACTGATGTTGAGGCTAAGGGTGCATTGTAATAAACTGGTCATATGCAGTAGCCTTCCAGAAAGAACTCATGGATATGTGATTTTCATATGGTTCTGCCTTCCCAACATCATATGTTGAACATTGTGATTATCTCGTGTTACTTTCTGGAGATAGAATTCAATTAAATAAGAGCACTGGTAGGGTACTGTGTAACCCTGCAGATGTCATTGGACTACAGCTCCCATCAACCCTGGCCACTGGCCATAATAGTGGAGGTTGATGGGAGTTGGAATCCTACAGCTTCTGGAGGACTACATGTTTCCCATCTCTGGGGACCTCTTCTTATTGCATACCTGTTTTCATTGCAGGAAGAGAAAGTGCGTCAGCTAGACTATACTGTTTATTTAAACCACTGGATTAAAATCTCTCCTTTTCCCAGGGAGAGATACTTCATTTAAATAAACAGAGAGCATTATTTTACTTGTTAGATCCCAACATGGTGGGTGAGTGGAGAGGCATTGCATGCACTCAGAATTTTATTTTGTAGTTTGAGATTGCTTCCTAGAAAATAACAAGTAAACAGGCCGCTGGGGAAACTGTAAATATGGGTGCCTTAAATATGTTTCTTCTCTCTATTAAATTCCTTGTTTGATGAATCATTCAAACCTGTGTGGACACAGATTATATCATGGCAGGTCTAGGACTACTGGAAAGATGGTGCCACTATGGACTGCATGGTGGAAAAGGTCAACATTTAGCTGTTGTCATGGAGAATTAGAGAGAAGATCATGTAGTGACACATTCATAATGTCAACTACCAGCTACATAATTGCACTGACATTTTGTTAAGGACAGGACAAATCCCTTGTATCCCCAAAATGTAATAACATAATTTCTAAGCTTGTTTGTTTGTTTTTTTGGTCCAGGTAAAAAAATAAGCAGCACGTTGGTTTGTTTATTATAACGTACCTTAAGTATTCATCACCTATTACTTTTCATTTGCATGAGCAACCATGATGCTGTTTCAGTCTTCTTGTAGGGAAATAAGTATATTATTTCAGTGGCGGTAGCAGTGGTTATTAAGCAACTGCCTGAGTGTACTGATTGATACCAGTTTTCTGCCTGAAAATTTTAGTGCTGAAAATGTTCTAAAGGATGGTGGTAACTACTGCAGTATTAGGACATCTGCATGAGCCAGTTTTGCCACTATAGCTGGCTGAATAACTGTTATTGGCAGCGTAGCTAAAGGCCACTTTGTACAATTTACATTTCCCACCCAACGTAATTTATACACTGGAAATGTCATCAATTCCATGAGTAATTCATCACCAATGGGAAACATCTATTTATCAGTTGTGCCATATCTTCTGTGTTCAGGATTCAATCCCCAGCATCTCCAAGTAAGGCTGGGAGAGACCCTGGTCTGAAATACTGGAGAAAGTGGCTGCCAGTCTCTGTAGGCAGTACTGAGCTAGATGGGCCAATGATCTCACTTGTTATAAGGCAGCCTCCTATGCAAAGGAATTAATATTAAGATGGGTAGAAGGAAATCTGCAGTTCCGTAAAGAGTGTGTTGGATTTGCTACCTCCCAGGTGATATATTTTTATAGTCTTTCCCTTTCTTGCATCTACACTGGTTCCGGTACTGGCCCTTGCATTTAATTGCAACCAGTAATCCCCTGGATGTTTGAATGCACAGAGGCAGCAATCTAGTATAGGCCAGATTCTTATCAGATCCTAGGCTTCTGGACCAAATTTGACAGGTGGGCTGCCCACCTGTCCATCACTAGGCAATACAGTGACATCAGGCAATTGTGTGCTTTGAAGTCCTGAAGTTGGGACGTCAAAGCATCATGCAGGGTTTGCAAAGAGCCCTGTGTGGTGCTTTAAAATGTGTGAGGCTTTGGCTCCCAACTGTGTTTTGGCAACCATACCTCTACCTGTCTCACAGGTGACATCACATATGACATTAGTTCTGGGGCAGGTGGGAGTGGTTTGGGGGGGAAATGGCCCTCCAGGCCAAATTTAAATTCTTGGTTGACCAAGTTTGGCCAATGGGCTGGATATTCCCCTCTGCAGTATAGATGAAGAAAACCCCCTTCTCTATTACTCTTATTGGATAGGAAATCAAATTATTTTTTAGCCTTGAAAGGAAACCAGCCAATCCCATACTGGTCTCCCATGAGAACTTCGGTGTCACCTACTTACCACATACTGCTCCCTCATTTTCTTAGTGGACAGATGAGCTGCTGTTGTGGCATTGAAAGAGACTGGAGAAGGCAGCAGGCGAGTGTTTAAGTACACTTTCCCACATAGTAAAGCTTTACCTCATGTGGTATGGGCCTGGGGCACACTCCCTTTGTATTATGCTGCCGTTCCAAAACAATTTGCAGCTATTTAAACCAAACTGCCCCGGGCAAAACTTCCCATTCAACTACAGTTGCACCCTTTGACTACTTGGCAATTTTCCCTTTTTGAAATCTCTCCTTTTTTGAAGTCTTTTTACTACTGCCAAATCCACTATTAATATGTTGAACAAAAATGAAGAGCAACAAAGGAGACATCTGCTAACCTTGTTTGTGTTCTCTTCATTCCTCCCACCCCCAGAAATTGTTCAAGGTCATTGCTCATCCTCTTAGTGCTGGAAAGTCTCTCTCAGGTACTCTGTGTTTGATAAGTATTTATTGTTTAAATTTACATTTTGGGCACTTTTTGAAAGTTTGGTTTGTGATATCTGAATGTGAGGGATTGCTATAGCCTACCCTACCCACCTCCAGTCATCCTAGTCTCAGCTCACTTCATTGGCTTGTTCCCTTGGAGAGATCTGCTTTATGACTGATAAACTTCCTCTCTGGAAATGACTTTCATGTTAAAACTCACATGAATCCAGCCTATACCTTAACGTATATGCTGATCCTACTCAGCTTCTGTGTACCCAAATGAGCTACAAACCCTGGAGGGACACTGCCAGTGGTGTGGCTTGGTATAAAGCAGCTCACTATGTTCCATAGCTCAGATGAAGGGGGACTTATGCATTCTTCTAGCTGACGCCAATATCCTATAAGAGGATAGGAATACACCGCCAAGACCCTGAACCTTCTGAGCAAGCATGGTGTCATTCCTTTGTTTTATACAGTGACTATTATTTAGTAAATGTCAAAATTATAGTATTTTTTTTGACATTTTCAGCCTTTCATGAACCTTCTCAAATGTTTAGTATCAAGATGCAATGTCTTTAGTGTAGACATCTGTCCATATGTCAGATTATGAAGAAAATGGAACATTGAGTTTGTCAAATCACTTGGTTATTGCAAGTAAGTCACCTGAGGCCCTTTTAGCAAAGCAGGTTATAAACTTTGAGTAAATTCAACTCCAGAAGATAATACAAAGCTTTTGTTTCCCTGTGTGTGGTTTGTTTGTTTTTTAGACGAGCAAGTCATCATGGGCAACAAGCTGCTTGTCTATATAAGGTATGGTACATCCAGCATCTATGAGATAGTTATTTATGTTTTGCTTTCTATAGTACAGTGGTACCTTGCTTTAAGAACAGCTTAGTTTATGAACAACTTGGATTAAGAAAGCAGCAAACCCGGAAGTAGGTGTTTTGGTTTGTGAACTTTGCCTTGGAAGCAGGACATGTTGAGTGTGTTCCATTTGTAAACTGAGTCCCCCGCTGCTATGGGAAAGCATGCCTTGGTTTAAGAATGCTTTGGTTTAAGAATGGACTTCTGGAACGGATTAAGTTCGTAAACCAAGGTACCACTGTAGTATGATCTTTTTTGTCACATAGGGACAGAGAAACCCAACAGATCTGCCATGCCAGCAGCCAATACCATAGCTTAGCCAGGATTCTCTGCACCCCAGGCAGCACCCCCCCCTCAGTTGATGAGCATTGCCATTCAAATGGTGTGTGCGTGCCACATCATCTGATCTATTTTGTGGGGCGGGGCTTATCTGCCTCCCCCATATTTTATTCAAGCTGGCACCCCTGCTAGGGATGTCCTATCATCTCACTGCCTCAAATGCACAGGGTGATCTTGAGATGTAGAATGAAATCAAGGAGGCTCCTGAAAGACGAAGTGTTGTAGAAGTAGCAAATTCCCTCACATCGACTGGGTACACACATGCACAGTTGCAGTAAAGAAGTAAAATTTCCAGATACCCTAAATAACTGTGCATGAGAAGAGTTGGCCATGGAGCTGACCAAAGGGATGGCTACCCTAGAGTTTATCTTAAATGGAGTCCAGGACCTAGTGCAAGATGTAGGTATTGTTGAACCGATCTAGAACAGTGACCATGGTGCTATGAAATCCAGCATATAAGTGGACAACTGCCAAGAAAGTCCAACATTGTTCTGACTTCCTCAAAAGAGGAAACTTAATAAAAATGAGATAAAAAGGAAATTGAAAGGGATAAAAAGGAAATTGAAAAGGAAAGCCAAGAGGTTCAGAACACTTGGCAGGAGAGAGGCTATTCAGTACCATCATAATAGAAGCTTGACTGGAATGTAGACCTAAGATCAGGAAAGGTATTATCAGAGCCAAGTGGATGCCTGCATGGTTGAAAAGTGGAGTCACTGAAGTGATTATGTGTCAAGATATGCTGCAACAATTAGAGGCAAGCAAACTAAATTCTAATGCTGATAGACTGCTTTGGGTGAGTGGGGAAACTGCAGGGGTATAGAACAGTGTGAGAGCCAGTGTGGTGTAGTGGTTAAGAGCGGTGGACTCATAATATGGGGATCCGGGTTCGTGTCTCCGCTCCTCCACATGCAGCTGCTGGGTGACCTAGGGCTAGTCACACTTCTCTGAAGTCTCTCAACCTCACAGAGTGTTTGTTGTGGGGGAGGAAGGGAAAGGAGAATGTTAGCCACTTTGAGACTCCTTCGGGTAGTGATAAAGTGGGATATCAAATCCAAATCCAAACTCTTCAAGCAGAGTGACTGGAACCCTGAACAGGAGCACTCTGCTGCTGTTTGTTGAAGGGTCCCACTTGTATATGAGTAGGAACCTAGATAAGGAAATGGGGGCCATTTCCAGCTGCAACTAGGTCTTTGTTATGTTACAGTTCTTAATTTATGACACTGTTTTAACTCCATCTGTCTTTTCTTAACAGTTGCTGTTTGGCTGGTCGAGCTTATCCACTGGGCAATATCCCTGAAGATCTGGTACCTTTGGTTAAAAATCAGGTGAGTTAAAAATAAACTGCAAAATTCACTGGAAAGGCCAGTGGCTCAGTATTACCCAGCCAGTCCATATAGAAAATAATGAGCTGAATGACTGATGGTCCGGCTCCATATAAGGCAGTTTCCTATGTTCTGCCAGAATAATTTTGCATTTTTGAAAAATTTGGAAGCTGCTCCTGTAGGTGTGCTTAATAAGAAATAATAATATTATCAAAGGCATAATTTGTTGTGAAACTCCCTTCCCTCCATCTTTGAATAGTATCCACCCACTCTGTCAACGGTTGCCACAGCAATATCCCAAAGTTTTCTGAGCTCAACTTCACAGACTGCTGGTCCATGTTTGGAAGTCTTATTATAGAGGTAACAAGAGAGAGTGTAGAAAATTTGAGACAAAACAAAAGAGGCAATATTGCAGGAACACGAGCAAATAAAAACTCAAAAGGATAGTTCCCCCCCTACATTCCAGTTGTGTCGTATTCTTTAAGACTATGTGCAGATATTAAATTTATTAAGGTTGGCAGATGACTCCCATCACGGAACCTGGTTTATCTATAGCAATCACATAACAATGTGATAGGAATGACATGCCTTTTGTGCTTAGCCGTTACGTTGCAGATATCTGATAAGAAGTTGCTATCATCTGGATAACGGTAGCCTTTTGATTGTCTGCCACAGCTCTTTGTGATTGTCCCTGAGGACTTTTTCATACACGTTTTGATTCTCTCCCCTGCCCTTCTTTCAATGAAGATATAGTCAGCTGGGAGATGTGCTATGTTTTTTCCTGGGGTTTTTTGTCCATAATGGACTTTATGGGAGTCCAGAACAGGAATGGGGAACCTTGAGACCCTCCAGATATTGCTGAACCAGCCATTATTATTATTATTATTATTAAAACTCCAATTCTCATAATCTCTGACCATTGGCCATGCTGGCTGACTGGGACTGATGGGACATTTGAACAGCCACAGATTCCCCACCACTAGTCTAGAGGCTAAGGCTGCAATCCTATTCTCACTTACCTGGGAGTAATTCAAGTTGACTCTGTGGGACTTGCTTCTGAGTAGACATGCATATGATGAAATGTACCTAGGCTTCATTTCAGTTGTCGGGGAGGATGGCCAATAAGTAGATCACCTGATTTATTGATTGATTGATTTTGTTAAAGTAAATTTCTATACTGCCCATAATCCAAAGATCATGGGGTGGTTTACAATGTAAGAACACAAAAATATATACCATAGCAAGAAACAAAAACAATACCCCCCACCCAGTTTAAAAGGCCATAGGATTGCCATGAAGGATTTATGTGACATTTTGTATTTATGTATGATATTTTTCAAAGCAATGTTAAGAAAGATCTAAAAAGCCTAATTTTGCATTCAAACATGATGGGAGGGAACATGCAGAATGGAAAAGGGCAGGGACAAAGTGTGGCTGTTTTGTGCATGCAGGCTTCATTTGAGTTGTTGGGGATAAGGGCTAACAAGTAAATCTACCAGATTTTTCTACACTAAGTATTATACATGTACAGTGCAATCTTACATGCTCTACCTGTACCCCACCATACAGTGTACACAGGATTGTCTCCTTGATCATGAAGTGACTTACTATTCTGTTAAATAGCCACAATATTGGTATAAATCAGCTTTTAATATCCACATTGAAGCAACATTTTGAAGCATATCTGATTGTTTTGCTCTGTATGCAAAGACATTAGCGCTTATTAGCTGTGCTCAGCTCAGTAGCATGGCAGATAGTTTGGATGTAGGCCAGGTGCATCTAAATCACTGCCAGTAAATTTCAGGCATCATTTCTGTGTTCCTGTTGCTAAAGCTCCTCGGGGAACTGTTATTTTAACCACAGCAAAGCATTGCGTCTCATGCCTCACTGTACAGATTGATCATATAACCTACTTACTGAACTGGCACTCCTTATCCCAAGTAGTTGCACAGTTGTGGCTCTCTCTGCAACTCTGTTCTGGTCTTGTGATGTTTAACTGATATACCTGTTGCTCATAGCCTGTGATGGACAGCCATAGGCGCGGTCTGTGTAGAGATGTCCTGTGCCCAAGGCAGTGGCAGAGCTTCATGCTTCTGCACCCGGGGGGGGGGGGCGGAGAGCGGGGGGGGGCTGGAGCGTGTCACGGGGGCGGGGCATGCATCCTGGGGGTGGGGCATGCCACCTGCGGGGGCGTGGTGCCCAGCGTGGGCAGGGAGACAGCCGCGATGGCACCCCACCGGAATTGCGCTGCTGGGGGCTGTACTCTCCACCCGCACTCCTCTTCCTCTGCCAGTGGCCCGAGTCTCCTTCCTGGATTTCTGTTTTAAGCACAGTGATTGGATGGGGTAACCCCAGTCATTCTTGCTCAAATTGTCCATGTTATTTTCCCCAGCATTTGGCCTGTGGTTCATAGATTTTCATAATCACTCTCCTATTTTAAATTCTGCTAACAATCTTTCCTTTATCTTTTATGTCCCAATAAATTGACTCGATATATTAGGAATTGGTGCATTTTGGAAAGTAATCTCGAAGGCAAATGTGCTTGTGTCTTTTGCCAGAATTCATTATTTAGGAAACCTGTGGTGATAATCTCTCTCAGATGCCAGTGAGCAGCAATAAATGTCAATAATTGTGAAAGTGGATGTAAGAAGCCATGGGATATGTTAAACAGTACTTTGCCTACTGTTAAATCATTGAACTTGTACCGGGAAATAAACGTCCAGCACAGCGGATGGCATTTAAGGAACAGAAAATGCTGTTGAAAATCCATTCTATATCCTCAAGGAGGTTTAAGGAGCTGGTAAGCTTTGAACAGTTCCTTCAGGTATTCAGTGATTATTAATCTTTCATGGCAGGTCTTTGAATTCCTCATTCGTTTGCACTCAGCAGAGGCACCCACCGATGAAGAGGTTTACCCTTATGTCCGCACACTGCTGCACTTCGATACACGAGAGTTCCTCAATGTTCTTGCACTGGTAAGTGGCAACACCACTTCCACAAAGATATTGGGGGAGAAATCCCATCACCTCCTTCATTTGATTAAAGATATATATGTCAAGTTTTCACTAATCTAGAAAAACTTACTTGTTTGACAAATATAATATTTGCTAACCTTTTTCAGTATTAGCTGCAACTGAATATTCTCTGTTTGTCACTACAAACTCTCCTTATGGTGTGTAGCGTTTCAGTCTTTATGAGCCAACCATCCCATTTACTGTTGGAAGACCTTTCTGAATAAAGGGAATTTGGGAGCCACTGGCACAAATTCCACCAACACCGGGGGTCTTACTTCTTGAACATGAACCAATGTATTCAATGCATTTTAAAAATGCATATTTTATTAGGAATAGTCTTTAAAATGCTGTTGTATTGCATATGCAGTTTTGCAGCAAGTAACAGGTTTCCAGGCCAGGTTATGCTGGTGATAAATCTGTTCACCATTATGGATTACATTACTCTTGGTGGGCCAGATATTGTAAAAAATTATGTAGCAGTACACTTGCTAAGTGTGTAGTTCAACATGTGAAAAGCTGCCCTTTTTATTTTTTTTATTTTACAAAGACCATGCAGTTGCTATTTCTGGAAGCCAGAGGCTGCCCTACTATTAGATTCAGGAACAGAGAAGCAGAAGACTCTCCTTTTATTTCCATTGCCATTTTTAATATCCAAGGAGAGTGGAAGATGTATGTGTGAGGCTTAGGGGTTAGAAGCCCACAATACTAGATTGGGTTTGGGGGCTGAAGAAGAGGGGGTGGAAGGATGGCACTGTGGAAATCCCATCATTTTCATGGATGCTCATCTTCTTTTCCATATGTGCTTGCTGCTAATAGTTTCACACTGGACACCCACAAGTCACACTACACCCTGTCATTATTGGTAATTTTTTCACTTCAGGGATACCTTCTTCTTGCTCAGTGTAAATAATACCTCTTTATGCTGAGAACTAATTTATTTTGTGCCTCTTGTTAGAGCTAACATTGTTGCCTGTATTGATGCTCTAGTTTCATATTGGAAGTGGGGAAGATTGCCTCTGTAGAAATAATACTGACTCTGCAATCTGGCTTCTGCACTCTGCTGAAACTTTAGTAATCAAAATTATTATTATTATTATTATTATTATTATTATTATTATTATTATTATTACTGGTTTTCCCCAGCCACTCTGGGTGGCTCTATTATCTTCTCATTTCCAGACTTATAAGCCTCTCATTGACCTCTCTACTGTCTTTAGTATAGTTGATGTTCCTCTCCCCTTAATGCTCTAGGTTTCTTTATCTTGCTCCTTTCCTCCCTGTCTAATAATCCATTCAACAGGAAAGTTTTGTTTGCTTTTCCCTCTCCCTTTGTTCCTTCAGGACCTGTTCTTAACCCTCTGCTATAATAGGCGCACGAGCTTAACATCTTGGTTTTGAGTTTGCTACAGCATGGCTACCCCCTCTGGAAACTGTTACATCTATGCACTGCGCTTGTCTCTGCCTCAGGACCCCATAGCTTTCTGCCACAATATAAGCCGTCATATCTTAACAGCTTGCATGTTACTGTCAGCTTCTCCACTTCACACTACTGTCTGAGATGCTGCAGGCACCTGAAAACAATTATAGTTTGAGCGAGTTGTGTTACAGGTAGAGGCCAAATGATACTGTCCATCAGAAAAAGCTTTCATTGCAAAGTGCTGTTGTACTTTTATTCCAGTTTCTGTAGTCTGATTGGCCGCCGACGTCTTTGCAACAAGATTTACAAGCAGGGTAAAGTAACAAGTTTAGTGGATAATTACAGTTGGCGTGAGGGAATGAAGGAAGGATGTAACAAGTCCCACTGCTAGCTGCTGCTTTTTTCGTATTTCCCATTATATGGGGATAAAGGTATAAAGTGTTTTCCCCCTCTTTTCTCTCCCAATACCATTATCTAACAAAGACATTTGAAGACTTTAAGAATGACAAGCAAGCTGTAGAGTACCAACAGAGAATTGTGGACATCCTTCTGAAGGTAAGCTCCCTCCTCACCTGTTTTTGTAGTGGCCATAGTAAAAGATGGATTGTTTCTGGGGTGTTATATATTCCTTTATTTTAGTCCTGTCACTGAGTTGGAATGCTTTCTTTGGGAAATGAATAAACGTGTCCTTTGTGTGCCTTGCTAATTTGGTAAGAAGTGAATGGCACTGGCTTCACTAGCACCTCTTGCAAGGTACTCTGAGGTACTTGAATGAGAAATGTTTCCTGACTTTAAACTAATGGTGCTCTTTAAAAATACTAAACAAATATTTTCCTGTAGAATGTACAATTTCATGAGAGAATAATCATACAATGCCATCTCTTTCTTAATCCAATATGCTTCACTGAATTGCACTAATGAAGCTAACTTACCTTAATACATAAGTGATGATGTATGTTGGTTTCATTGATGGATTATATCTTTATCTTGAAAATAATATACACTGAATCGTAACGAGGACAAAGAACTGTGGATATAAGTTTTTAGCACAGTGTTGTTGTAAATGGTTAATGCAAAATGGATGTACGTCATATACTGTACAAGAGAGGAGGCAACTAAATTTACCTCTGTGCGTGGCCTTGGACTGTTCCAGAATAGGCTTCTTTTGGTCATAACATTTAACAGAAAATACATTGCTGTCATAGGTTCAGGAACTGAGCCTTGTATCCTGCTAGAAGGATGAAGAACTTCAAATTCAAAGATGGAAAAAATAATAGAGAAATAACATTTTGTAACTGAAAGGGTATTGAAAAGAAGAGATGGATTTCCTGCTAATTGCATCAGTTAACTTGTTTGTCTTCTCTATATCTAAACATTTCAGTAACTGCTCCCTCCTTGAGGGGGAGTTCATATTTTTCCATGTTCAAACCCGCATAACATTTGCAGATATTATAAATTATTAAAGATTTCATAACAGTTGGAATTTCATCTTCTATTCAATTAAATAAAATTAGAAAAGGCATTAGAAAGTTCTGTGATAACCCCATCACACCAGAACTGAAATAGGTCTGCATTAGTTGCTAAACATTTCCCAGCATTTAAATAATGTATCTGAGTATGTCTTATTAACCCTAGAAGACATAAAATGCCATTAATACACATTGAACTTTATTCATTTAGCAGTACCTGTTTCACAGATTCACATACCACGTTCATTTCTATTGTAGGATTCTAATTCTGATATGTTTTCCATTGTGCCTCCTTCCCAGATTTTTAATTATACCATTATTCTTGCCAACAAACCCCTTGATTCTTCACCTGTAATTAAAGTTTCCCAGGGCATTCATTTCTTTAATAATGAGTATGTAGGAACCAACACCTCTAAAATAAAATTCCTTATTTGAAAGCATTGAAACCAAAGCAGTTTCCAACCTCTTAACAATTGTCCATTCAGTTGTTGTTGTTGTTTAGTCGTGTCCGACTCTTCGTGACCCCATGGACCAGAGCATGCCAAGCATTCAGTATATGCTCCCAAATGTAAATACCTCACGTGTTTCCAAATTTTCAAAGACACATATTCATCCTTTCAACAAATTTGCTATTCCTTATTACTGAAGGTAGTAGTCGTTGATGCATTATATCTTTCCTATTTTAAGTACCGTATTTTTCGCCCTATAGGACGCACTTTTTCCCCTCCAAAAATGAAGGGGAAATGTGTGTGCGTCCTATGGGGCGAATGCAGGCTTCAGGAAGCTATCCGCAAGCCTTGCAAGCCCGGCGGGAGGTCCCGCGGGCTCGCAAGGCTTGCGGGCAGCAGCCTGCAGCCCAAAAGCTCGGGGGACAGCGGGGAGGCGGAGCGCCACCACCCCGCTATTCCCCGACCTGGTCTGGAGGCTGGCGGGGGGGGGGGAGAGAAGCAAGCTTGCTTCCCCCCCCGCCAGCCCCACAAGCTCGCGGGATAGCGGGGAGGCGGAGTGCCGCCACCCCGCTATTCCCCGACCTGGTCTGGAGGCTGGCGGGGGGGGGGGAGAAGCAAGCTTGCTTCTCCCCCCCGCCAGCCCCACAAGCTCGCGGGATAGCGGGGAGGCGGAGCGCCGCCACCCCACTATTCCCCGACCTGGTCTGGAGGCTGGCGGGGGGGGGGGGGGAGAGAAGCAAGCTTTGGTGGCACCAAATGAATTTTGGAATTTGGTGGCACCAAATGAAGTTTGTAGTTTATTAAGCCATGGACAAACGTCAGAATGTGGCCAGAGCCACTAGGAGAGAAGGGCAGGATCACGAACTGACTTAAAGGTTAAGAGAGTTTAAAAGGTTAAGTATCAGAACAATACGGGAAGGCACTAAAGGCAAACCTATAGAAATGTAACATGCTTAATACTTGAAGAAAGAAAATAGCAAGTACGCAGTAGAAGGTGCAAGGAAAGGTGCAAGTACACAGTAGAAGGTGCAGCCATGGTATTTGTGTATGTCTTTATTATATTCTGTTAATTCCTTGTGTTAGAGTGTAAAGGAGCAAAGTTTTTCCCTCCACATATCCTCTCTGTTCTCTTCATCTTTTTTATATAGATCATGATCCTGTGGGCAGGATGTCTCTTTATTAATGTGCACATTATGCGCTTCTGAATATATAATACATTATTATGATTTTGCAAAATACGTGCAACCCGCACTTAGAGCTTGCTCCCCACCCCATCAACCTGTAGTAAACCCTGAATGCTCTCTTGCCATAAATAAGTTTTTTAAAAAATAATAGGCTAAGAAGGTCTCTGTCTACTTTTTGCAGTGTCTTTAGTCCCTACAAGACGATACACAGCTACACTTTCTTTAAATGTGTCTCTACACATGGCAGAATACATGAAGGCAAAACATTACTATTGTCCTCTGGTAACTTCTGGGTGTCCAGCACTATAACGGATACATTGCCTGGGGCATATTCTGAGATTAGTATAAAAAGAAAAAAATCAACTACATTTCACTTGACTACAGGATCTTGAGTATCCTGTACTGTGGGCTAACCCTATTAACTGAGGACACTAAGGTTTTCTAGACAGGTATGTCTGAGCTTGTATGCTTCGTTAGTCCAACATAGTTTCATGTTGTCAGGTTGAATAAGCCTTAGCGTCGCAGGAGAGTCGGGGACAGTCTTTGCTGACAGATGAGATATCGGTCTAAATGATCTTGGTAGGTGAAAGGAAGTCTTTCCGATAAATCATCTGAGGGACCTGGGGCAGTTTTGGTATTTTATGAGGGACTACATGAGCACAGAACAATCTACAGGAGCATGAGAGAAGAAATAATATTTTCTAACTGACCGGACTAGCGATATTGCTAATGGTTAATGTATTTGTCATATGGAGTAAACTGAAACCAAGCGCTGCTGGCTAGTGTGTAATGGAGAAGTTGAATAGATCACCTCAGACTTGGAAAAGAAGCAAAGTAGGAAGCAGACAGCAAACTTGGCCACAGGGCGTGACTCATTCATATCAGGTACCCATGGTGTAAAGGCAACAAGGCTCACAATAAACAACCACGAGTAAGCAATGGAACAAGGTCTTGTTGGTCTCTTATCCAGACTGCCAGACTGCCTTTCTAAAGCTCCACTCAGTTGGTCTGAAGACAAGCGAATCAACAGTGTGACGTGGCAGCTAAAAAAGCCAATGCAATTCTGGGCTGCATCAATAGGAGTATAGCATCTAGATCAAGGGAAGTAATAGTGCCACTGTATTCTGCTCTGGTCAGACCTCACCTGGAGTACTGTGTCCAGTTCTGGGCACCACAGTTCAAGAAGGACACTGACAAACTGGAACGTGTCCAGAGGAGGGCAACCAAAATGGTCAAAGGCCTGGAAACGATGCCTTATGAGGAACGGCTAAGGGAGCTGGGCATGTTTAGCCTGGAGAAGAGGAGGTTAAGGGGTGATATGATAGCCATGTTCAAATATATAAAAGGATGTCATATAGAGGAGGGAGAAAGGTTGTTTTCTGCTGCTCCAGAGAAGCGGACACGGAGCAATGGATCCAAACTACAAGAAAGAAGATTCCACCTAAACATTAGGAAGAACTTCCTGACAGTAAGAGCTGTTCGACAGTGGATTTTGCTGCCAAGGAGTGTGGTGGAGTCTCCTTCTTTGGAGGTCTTTAAGCAGAGGCTTGACAACCACATGTCAGGAGTGCTCTGATGATGTTTCCTGCTTGGCAGGGGGTTGGACTCGATGGCCCTTGTGGTCTATTCCAACTCTATGATTCTATGATTCTCCATTACATGACCTTCCAATTTGTACATTCCTTGTGCCATTAAAGACATAAGAGCTCTGCTTAATCAGGCCAAAAGCCCATCTATGTAGTCATGTTCTCCCAGTGACCAGCCAGATGCCCATGAGAAACCCACAAGCAGGATCTGAATACAACAGCTCATTTCCCACTTGTGATTCCCACCAACTGATATCCAGAGACATACTGCCTTTGACACTGGAAGCAGAACATAATTCTCATTAGTAACCAATAATAGCCTTAGCCTCCATTCATTTGTATTTTAAGGCCATCCAAGTTGGTGGCCATCACTACATCTTATGGGAGTGTATGAATAAGTGCTTTTTTGTCTTTCTGAATAATCCAATATTCAGCATGAATGAATGGCCCTGAGTTCTAGAGGGGGATGGGGACTTCTCCTTAGCCACATACTCTACAGCATACATAACCTTATATAGCTCTCTGCCATGGAGATGTGCCCACCATAACCGCCTTTTTGAACTACAAAACCCTAAGTGTTGTAAGCATTCCTCATAGGAGGATACATTTGGTTACCTTTTGCTTTTTCAGATGAGGCGACCACAACTGTACATAATATTCCATGTGCAGTCACACCATAGATTTGTGGAATAGTGTTATGATATTGGCAGTTTTATCTTCAACCTCTTTCATAATGATCTCAAATGCAGAATTCACTTATTTCACAGCTGCTGCTGCTGCTGCTGCTGCACACTGGATTTGCATCTTCATCACGCTATTCACTATGACCCCAAAGTTGTCATCCTAGTTGGTCACCATCGGCTTATACACCATTAACATATATGTAAAGTTAATATTTTTTCCGGCAATGTGCATCAATTTATACTTGCTTATCATGAATTGCATTTGCCATTTTACTGCCCATTCACCCAGTTTGGATATACCCTTTTGGTGTGCCTTGCATTCTCTTTTTTTCTTTTAATCGCCCTGAACAGTTTTGTTTATCAGCAGACTTTGCTACTTCACTGTGTTGCCTTTATATCATTAATGAACAAGTTAAAAAGCACAGGCCCAACACTGGCCCTTGGGGGATTCAACTTTCCTATTTTTTAACTGGTTATTGGTCTACCTCTCCTCTTATCCTATGACTGCTGAGCTTACTCAGGAATCTGTTGAGAGACTTCGTGAAAAGCTTTTTGAGAGCCCGAGTACATAGTGTCAACTGAGTCACCTGTATGCTTGTTGACACTCAAAATTATTTTTAATAGGTTGGTGAGACAGTGTTTAACCATGCAGAAGTCATGGTGGTTCTGCTTCAGCAAGACCTGTTCAATATGTTTGGTAATTCTAGCTTTAATAATGCTTTCCACCACTTTCCCCAGAACAGACATTAAGCTAGTCTGGTCTGCGATTTGCCTCATCTCCCCTGGATCCCTTTTAAAGAAATTCTGGCCACTTTCTAGTCCTTGGGTATGGAAATTGATCTTAGGGACAAGTACATACTTTTGTTAGATCAGGGATTCCACGTTGGGGTAGATTCTGTTTGAATCCAGATTTGCCAGTTTCTAATTTGTCACTGAATTGTCTCTTGTCACTACTGTTCTCAGTTCCTCAGACTCCCACCCATACTTTGTGAAGAAGCTTCTGAATACTGCTAAAGCTTAGCCATTGTGTGTGTGTGTACATGTGTACGGTTCTGTAAACATTGCAGTACCACCAGAATGTTCTGAAGATGGTTGGGTGAAATGGTGCCATTGTCAATCAACCTTGCCATCTTTGCTGTATCTTGGTTAGGCCATGTGAGAAACTACTTAATTTAGTTGGAAGTAGTATTTCCCTTATTCCCTTAAGCATGATGCTGCATCTCTAAATACCCTTGTTATTTTGACCCTCCTCTTTTCAGGGCACAACTATTTAAGATCTTAAGGAGCACAGCAAAATTCAGTGTAGCTACGGGTGTCTATTTACAAGTGGTTCTTGCCACAGTGTGCTTTTAAGCATGCAGAAAGCAGGTTGTTCAGAACATTCACTCATTTGATGAGGAGAATTTTAATCCTAGCCACATTCGTGTCCAAGCAAAGGCGTACTCAGATTCTGCATAGTGCTTGGCTAGATATGATAAATCTAGATTTATAAAAGGTAGATAAAATAGTTAATATGGATTTATGGACTGCTTTGTTTTAAGACACTATAACTATACTGTCTCCATGACAGAAATGTTTCCAAAGTGCAAAACATGGATAGGTAGCATGGTATAGTCATGAATAATTGGGAGTATTAGCAATTCTTTACGTATAGAATAGCAAAATTTAAGATGCTAATTGTTAGAAACCTGTCATAAATAGCTTTTGGAAGAGGATTCTCACAAGTTAACATTTCTGTCTGCTCCTTGGTGAGAGAAAATGGAATTGTTTTTCCCCCACCCACCCCCTGATTTATGTCCATCTTCTCTCTGCCCTCTCCCATTTTACGACTATTTATGATGAGCTGCCGAGTTGTTTCATAGACTGCACAAACTATGCCTACTGTTATCCACTGATGAGTTCAGAACAATGTCGCTGGCTGTTACTGCAAGGCAGTGTAATATGACTTCTCAGTGATAGTGCTATATCTGCTTCTTGTGATAAGGTTTCGGAGCTGATACTTACATCCAGTCCATGATGAGCTGAATTTCTTATGGTAGTGTAATGATAAATTGTTCTCCTTCTGAGTATGGACACTGCAATGCAAGTAGAGTCATATGAATTTTGTTTGAAATGACTAATGTGCTTGCCTTGTGCTTATGTGATCTAAATATTCCAATTTAGTAATCTGGCTTTCTCATATTCCCTTTTTCCAGTAATATATTTTGGAAATCTTTATATGATTTTCTTTATCACATTGGAATTGGATACAGTTTATCTTTTGCACAGTTAGCGGTGGTATTTTGGGTTATTGCTATGTGTTATTTGTTCTGTTTCATGTAAAGTGATAACATGGGATAACCTAATTAATTGAGCTGCTTCCCCTTGTCTAGGTTATGGTGGAGAATTCTGATTTTACCCCCTCACAAGTTGGGTGTCTCTTCACTTTCCTTGCCCGACAGCTTGCTAAGCCTAACAACACACTGTTTGTAAATAGGACGCTATTTGATCAGGTAAGGGGGGGAGAGCACAAATAAAGGGGAAAGGACTGTTGCTGATTTTGTTTTTTTCTTTCTTTCATTTTTTAAATTACTTAATAAAACAAAGTATATATGCTTACAGACAACTAGAAGATCATTTTTCCAGGACTATTTTGCATAATAGCTATATTAAGCAATTAATATTCATTACTATGAGTATTTTGTTTACAAAGTGCCTAAAATCTCACATTATGTGATGCCATAATATAAAATGATGGGACTGTGTATCATGTCTTTCTTTAACAGTGCAAAAAATGGGATATAAAGCATGAGAAATCTGATGGCAGTGATTTTATAAAGATTAAGTGGCAACAGAGACCAAGATACATGTTGGAGGATTTAGAGAAGATCAGAAAATTCAGTCTGCAGGCCAGGCGTGATCCACCAGGGATTCAAATGTGGCCCTTAAACCCATTCCATCCAAGCTACACCCACCTGCTCCACACCAGAGATCATATGTGATGTCTGGAGCAGGGCAGGTAGAGACCCGCTGTCAGTGCATAGTTGGGAGCCTTAAAGTGTGCTCCAGAGTGTGCATTGACAAAGGAAAGCAGACTTCAATTCCTACCGCTGATCAGCAGATGGGTGGTAGAGCCGAAACCTACTGTATTAACTGTATTAGCTGTATGTGGTGCTTTGAAGTCCCAACAAAGCATGCGGTGCTTTGAAGTCATTGTGGTTTCAAGTCTGGCCTGTGGAGCCCAAAAAGATTTCCTGTTCTTATAGAAGATAAAAGTAGAACTTGAGACTTAAGTGGGTGCTGTATTGCTCTCTATTTGCTGAATTCATACATCAGAAAATTAATTCCAGGCATTCTGGAGATGGGTCTACTTTTCCAAAATGCTATAGTAGTGCCAGTCATCTAGAGAATTTTCTTTCCTAGAAGCATTTGATAAGGTATATTTCTGAGATACAAGAAGATGCACATCTATATCTATATCTCTGTAATCATGTTTGCTTCTCGTCCAGGTCCTTGAATTTCTCTGCAGTCCTGATGATGATTCACGGCACTCTGAGAGACAGCAGGTATGAATCCTTAGACGAATAATTCATGCTGTTAGATTGGTGGATGGTTAGGGAAGGGAAGGTCATTGCTAAGAATGATCAGACTATTGAGCAGCAACAGTAAAACTGGCACTTCACAGATTAAGAAGTTGTCAGCAGCTGGAGAGCAACGGACAACCTGTGTGTTTTTGAATGCAAACGGACAATATCTGCATGATCGTTATATGAACAAAAGCTGAATATTTTTGTAGTAATGCAGATCAGCCACACTGAAAGCACAATCTGCAGAGTGAGCAAATGCAGCTCAAAATTGCACCCATAATGCATGGGCAGCTGCCACCAATAATACCAGTGAAGCTGATTGTAGACATCTCTGTCTGTATGGTTTACTTTCCCCACCAACTTGAAAAACAGTTTGGGGTGGAGGGTGGGGAGAAAGGGGCAGCAGTTATGGGGAAAACGTGTCCCCTGCCTTGATTGTCCAGTGGCAGTTCAGAAAGAAGTGGACACATGCAATACAGCAGCCTTTCTCAACCTGTGGGTCCCCAGATGTTGTTGGACTACAACTCCCATCACCCCTAGCTAGCAAGGCCAGAGCTCAGGGATGATGGGAGTTGTAGTCCAGCAACATCTGGGGACCCACAGGTTGTGAACTGCTGCAATACAGGATAACCATCCTTTCATCTAGCTAGTATAGTCTACAGTGGCTGACAGGACCCCCTCCCCCTAGCTTTTCAGATGGGGGTCTCTGCCAGCCCTATCTGGAAATGTTGAGGAGTGAACCTGGGAGCTTCTTCATGCAAAGCAGATGCTCTGCCACTGAGAGCGCGGCAGGCTATGTCTGAGTAGGAGGAGAGGGAGAGTAGAGGAAAATTACCTTTATGGGGCGGGATACAGTGGTACCTCAGGTTAAGTACTTAATTCGTTCCGGAGGTCTGTACTTAACCTGAAACTGTTCTTAACCTGAAGCACCACTTTAGCTAATGGGGCCTTCTGCTGCTGTGCCGCCAGAGCACGATTTCTGTTCTCATCCTGAAGCAAAGTTCTTAACCTGAAGCACTATTTCTGGGTTAGCGGAGTCTGTAACCTGAAGCGTATGTAGCCTGAGGTACCACTGTATATGCTAACCTTAAGGTGCAGTGGTAGAAAGAATTACAAGGAGCAAGTGAACAAGGTAAGAGATGAATCAGGCTTGGAACTGGAAAGCCAAAAATATTGATACCAAGCCTCCAAAAATACACTGATACCGCAAAACTACATTATAGCTTCCATTTTGCAAACAAGCTGGGCTTTGGTCAAGACAGCTATCTCAGAGTCAAAACGTGATCGGAAGCTTTGTGAGAGGTGTCTGTTGTCGAGCTGTACTAATTCAGATTGCAGACGTGAAGTGACATGTTTAAATGTTTACCCATGAGGAAAATGTATGCGTATATAAAACCATGGTGACAGGGAGGAGGGTTCTAACCTAGGCTTCTTATTAAAAGTCAAAGGACAGGAAAGAAAAGATTTTTTGTGGGGGAGGAGGAAAGGGCCCCAACCAGAATGAAAACAATGTGTACAGAAGGAGCATGTCTTGGGGAGGGGGGGGGTTACATTCCAGTGGGTAGCGTGTAAAGCTGAAATCATATATAGTCAAAACACCCCCCTGGAATTTCCCATGCAATATTGTGAGTTGTGGACCCGCCACCCGCTTAGGGATAAATAAGACACAAGGACACATGTATTTTAGGTTAATGGGCTAAATAAGGCCACAACTTTATTGGTTACAGCATGTGAGTGGTATTGGCTTAGGCATTGGATCAAACAATCTATACATGACTCACCCCCATCCAGCAAAGTGAGGGCGCAGTGCTGCCACGGCCGCTTGTGTGACTAAACCCCGCCCCCGAGCCAGGCTGATTGGCTGGCAGCAGGGGCGTGGCACAGCAGCCAAAATGCCTGATGCAGGGGGCCGGAAACGCCCCCCTGCTGGTGCGGGAACCGGCTCCCGCTCACAACCCCTCCCCTCTGGGAGGAGGAGAGGTCTTGCCATTCTGAGCTAGTACAAGATCTTGCAAAGGTCTCCAAAGGCCATGTGAGTGTTTCCCATGCCTTGCATGTGTTTAACTGTTGTGATATTGGTTGGCCAGTTGACAAGCGCATAAAATTGTGATTGCACGTGTTACTGCAATGCTAGCTCAGAGCTCGAGGGCACTCCGTGTAGCTCTCGGTACCTGAAAATGCTCACATATGGGCACAATCTACAAGTCTATAGGTCAAGAATGTTGGGAACTCTTGATTGTCCAGGTATAAACACAGCATCTAATAATTATTTAATGCTTATAGGTTCTTCTAGAATTGCTCCAAGCTGGAGGCATAGTACAGTTTGAAGAGAACAGACTCATTCACATGGCAGAAAAAGCTGAATTGTAAGGCTTTTTTGTTTTTCTGTCTCCCTTTAAACCACTTCCTATCACTTCCTTCCCTTTTATCCTGTCACCTGTCTTGCTCTTTCAGATAATCATGCAGCCACATCCTTATGGGTATCCAGACACTGTTGCAGCCTTATGTGGAGCATAAACTTAATCTGGTTTTATATTGTGTAGATCCAATTGGATTTTGCAGTGGATCTCTGGCATCCCTGAGTGTGTGTATAAATCTCCTTTGTTACCCATGGTGTGTGATGGTGCTCCTTAGTATTGTTCCTGCTATAATTTCATTCTTTTGTGTTTCTCTAGTTCTACACAGATGATCCCAATAGGGTGCCTAATGGGGATGGGGCCGATTGCTCCTGTAATTTCATCCAAGCTGGCTAAGTCTGAAAGCTCCAGGCTGGCGTTATCTGCAGGAAATGGATGGATGGAACTAGGAAAAGCACATGAGGTGGTTGCTTGGCAACTGCTTTCAGTGAGCCCTCTGTTCATCCTCAAGTTGCCTTAGCATTGCAGCTAAACCTGGGTCCTTTGCACAACAGTCTAACCATATGACAAGGTTTCTAGCATGGCTACAGCCTAAAACAGTAACATGTTAAGCTGACTTCTGCTGCCAAATTTTTGCAAGTATATAGTGCTTCAGATCAATCCAGTTCCAGTCTGCTAGATTTGATTCTGGTATCAGATACTGGGAAACACTGAAGTAGATGTGCCATAGAGAAAATATTGTACCTGTAAATGCTGCTTCTGTTATCTTTAACCCATCTCAGGGCATTATCACAGGAGTAAACACATAGTTCAAACCTGTAAGAGGGCTTAGGGTGCAATGCTATATACATTTAATTAGGAAGAATAGACCCCATTTGACTAAGAAGATATGCACTGTTATCTGCCTGAACCACTATTTTGTTAGTCCACTTGCTGCTGCTGCTTTTAAAGTAATGTCACTATTCTTTTTTTAATCATTTGTTACTTTCGTATGCTGCTTCTAGTACATTTATTGTGGAACAGCAAATTTTAAATTAAATTAATAAATAATAAACTACCGCCAATCCAAAAGTCTTAGAAGTCCTTTGGAAACCCCAAAGGTAAGCACAATTCCCATTGGGAAGAAATGCTTTAAGGCAGCGGTAGGGAACCTCTTTTGGTTACATGGGCCAGATCCTTGTCAAATTTGGCTTACAAGGCCAATCCTGCTAAGTAAGGGTGCCTGTTAAATCTCTGCTGGAATATTGGTGCTTCCCAAAGTTGGATCTCCAGCTCTTTTTGGATTATCACTCCCATCATCCCTAGCTGGCAAGACCAGTGGACAGGGATGATGGGAATTGTAGTCCAAAAACAACTGGAGACCCAACTTTGGGAAACACTGATCTAGATCAGGCATTTCCAACCTTCGGCCCTCCAGATGTTTTGGACTACAATTCCCATCATCCCTGACCACTGGTTCTGTTAGCTAGGGATCATGGGAGTTGTAGGCCAAAACATCTGGAGGGCCGCAGGTTGGGGATGCCTGATTTAGATGTTACTAGATTGCATATCTTCTAGGCCACCCATATCCTGGAGGGGTCCAGTTCATTTGCCTGTCTCCTAGTCAGATGTTTGATTTAAAAGGAGATCTCACACACCTTGTTCTGCCTTTTCCTTTAAAAAATAATGTGGTTTAAAGCTTAGAGTGTTGGACCTAGGACCTGGGAGAGGAGTGTTCGAATCCTCACTCAGCCATGAAGCTCACTCTAAAACAACAACAACAACAACAACAATCTAAAGCCTCTCATATTAATAACCCGATCAGGCTTCCACTGACCATAGGTAGAATGTATACTAAAAAAATTATGAATTGTGTCTATCCTTAAAGTATTAAGACAGAAAAAGGAAAATGTATTGCTAGCAGAAGATGCGTTACGCCTGGAAGCCACGTGGCTCCCTTCAGTTTCTGACACCTGAAAAGAGCTAACATCTTGAAATGAATAAATAACATTGTTTTATTTCAGCTATCAAATCTGCGAGTTTATGTATGAACGGGAACATCGCTATGATAAGATAATTGATTGCTACTTACGAGATCCATTGAGAAAGGTAAGGCTGAATGGACACAAAAGTAATCACTGAGAGAATCCAGATGAAATCTTCACTTCTGCATGTTTTGTGAGGGGGGAGGTACTTGATTTTCAAAGAGGCTTTGGTGTGGGAGTAACCCCTAAAATACATTCTCCTTGCCGTTTTGCATTTACAAGGCAGTTCAGCATGCAATGAATTATATAGGAATTGATTTTTAGATTTGTTGGGTTAGTACATCCATCAGATTAGTGTGTGATTTATTTATGTATTCATCCTTCCCATTTATTGCCTTTAAAGGAAGAAGTTTTCACTTACATCCACAATATACTCTCCATTCCTGGATATAACACAGAAGAAAAACAGTCTGTGTGGCAAAAAGCTATGAAACACATTGAGGTATGATTTAGATTAACTGATTATGCATTTTAAGGTAAACCTAATTTATCTGCCTAATTAGGGATCTGGCAGGCAGGTTGGGTGGCATGCCCTTTTTGGGTTATTTATATTTTTAAATTATACTCTGCCCAGTTTTAAAAACAAAAATAGAAACCTTAAAAAAAAACCAGCTAAAAGCAATAGTTACAGCTGTATTTTTTTTTAAAGCACTCTAGATAATAACTTCAGTCATTATGGAACGAAAGCTATTACGGATTTATGATATTAATTGTTTACTCAAACTGGCCCATTTGTTCTAGCTGTCTTTCACTACTCAGAATATCTTTTAATTCAGTACACACTTTGTTATTCATGCTCCCTCCAACACCATCTTCCCAGGAAGAGGTTATTAGTGAAAACTGAATTACACAAAGGAACAAGCCTTTGTTTCTAATACTCCCGATTCTGATCCTCAAAGTGAATCTGAACAAGAGCATTTATTTTAGCTGTGAATAGTAGGCTTGGATGTAGAGTGAGTTGGCAGGTGGGCCTTTTGGGTCCTTCAGGCCATTCACCATGCAGAGCAGCTTAGTGCCCCTGGTAATCAGCCATCCTGAGGTCAACAAAGCCATTGTTAGCACAGTTATCAAGAATCTGCCCAATGGGGTGAGCTCCTGTTGTTCTGTCCCAGCTCCTGCCAACCTAGCAGTTCGAAAGCACACCAGTGCAAATAGATAGGTACCACTGTGGCGGGAAGGTAAACGCTGTTTCCGTGCGCTCTGGTTTCTGTCAGTGTTCTGTTGCAACAGAAGTGGTTTAGTCATGCTGGCCACATGACCTGGAAAGCTGTCTGTGGACAAACACTGATTCCTCGGTCTGAAGCAAGATGAACGCCACACCCCATAGTCACGTTTGACTGGACTTAACCATTCAGGGGTCCTTTACCTTCACCTATCAAGATCAGTTGGAAAATCCCATAGAGCCTCTCAGCCTAGAGCTTGAAGCTAGTCCTTACCACTGTGACCATAGCAATTAACGTATAGAAAAAGTATGGCTTTATAAGCTTTCAGAAAGAATTTTATTTATAAAATTAAAATTTCTATACCGTCCTACATCCAAAGATCTCAAGGCAGTTAACAATATAAACACACACACACACACAACTGAATAATCCTCATGGAAATTTCTCTGAACTCTTTGACATAGATTATTACTTTTTATTAATTCTAATAATGCCATGAAGTGTAAGTGAGTAACTTAGGCCCGTGATTTCCATGAACTTCCAAACTTATTTGAAAGAATCCCTTGTTAAAGTCAACAGAGTTGATGTGCAATAAAGCAGTTGGGGGAAAAATATATTCACCTGTGTGTTGCTTTTTATACATTGGTTAAGTGCCTGTAAGTTTGAGAATGATAGAGTTTTATCTCTGTTACTCTTCCCCGGGAAGATGACTGGCCTTATCAGGGAAATACCTTGCCTACATTGAAGAGGGGCTCCTCTGCTTGGGAAGTAGGAGTCCTCCTCCTTTCCCTGTCAGGAATTCAGCCTGACTAGGGGCAGTGATGGGGACGTGGGTGGTGCTGTGGGTAAAAGCCTCAGCACCTAGGGCTTCCCGATCGAAAGGTCGGCGGTTCGAATCCCCGCGGCGGGGTGCGCTCCCGTTGTTCGGTCCCAGCGCCTGCCAAGCTAGCAGTTCGAAAGCACCCCCGGGTGCAAGTAGATAAATAGGGACCGCTTACCAGCGGGAAGGTAAACGGTGTTTCCGTGTGCGGCACTGGTGCTGGCTCACCAGTGCAGCTTTGTCACGCTGGCCATGTGACCTGGAAGTGTCTCCGGACAGCGCTGGCCCCCGGCCTCTTGAGTGAGATGGGCGCACAACCCTAGAGTCTGTCAAGACTAGCCCGTACAGGCAGGGGTACCTTTACCTTTACCTTTAGGGGCAGTGATAGATGGAGACTATTTGCAGGACTGCTGCTAGCTTCTTGTTATGTGGGAGAAATGTAACAGTTGGTCCAATGTGTGCACATCCTCTGTGGATGTACTATACCTGAAGCTCAGCATGACCGAGAAATAGAACCTGGAAACTAGTTATGTAAGTATGAATTTGCAAGATATTACAACAAGGAACGAAACAGCTATACTTCAGGCCGTGTTATGACTTTTTCCATCTTGGGAGCTATAAGAACAGAAGAAAATTCATAAAGATATCAGCATGGTTCATTGTGAATCCTGCTGAGTACAGCCAGAGGAGAACATTAAGAGTAAGGATGAGAAAGGAATGTATGCATGTGGAAAAAGAGAGCTGCTTTTTAGCCTCTAGGTATGTTCTCATAAGATGAAAGCAGGATTGAGTTAATTTGAATTCCACTGTCTTTCATTGGCTAATTTCTACACATGTAATCAGTATTATTTCAGGTACTAGGCATGGAAGTATCAGCTGCTAGCTAATCTACTAAAATAATACAATATGTTGAATGAAATGTATGTATGCTTATTGCAAAAACATCCTGAAAACGGCCTACAAACTAGTTAAGTAAAATTGTTCAAACTGGATTTAACTCTGTTGATGTCAGTGACATTCCATCTAAATACATTTTGTATATAAATAACTTGCATTGGGTCCACTGATTTTCTAGAAGAACTTTGTTCCTGTCGAAATGTGCTCAAGAAAACAACCCCAACTAATGTTACATCCAAATTCTCTAGCTGAACAAGACTGCCTGCCTGCTGTAGTCAAATATTAAGTTGTGTGAGAAAACCAGTTCACACCATTATCCTATATGTTATGTGCTCTGAAAACAATTATCATACTGGTAACATCCTGACTATTCAGCACAAGGTTAAGTTGAATTGCTTGCCTGTGCATAGATGGTAGTGAGATGGTTGTGGGAATTTCAAATAGAGAAAACCTGTATTTTTCAGCTTCCATGTCTGTTCATTGAAGAAACAGTTGTAACCACTGAGTTAACAACCTCTTATTTTTAGCTGTCACTTTATCACCTTGTTGATTTATGAACATATTTCAAACAGAATTGATTTCTGAGTGTGTCCTATGGTATTTGATTTTACTGTATGTATAATCTCTGCATTAGTAGGGATAAAAGAACAATTATTTTTTTCAACCTTTGCACAGGAGCTGCTGTCAGTGAGTCCCTTTAAAGCAGCCGATCTGATTTCAGTTCACTTCAGTGAGCAGATTGAACAAATAATTCAGAACCTTCAGGTAACGTGTCACATGTGTCAACTCAGTTTTAAATTGAGAAGAAGTTTTCTATTAAGGGAGGGCTGCAAATTACTGCATTGGGCAGTTGCCTAAAAATTAGGAATTGTCAAACCAGGACTGGGGCCGCTGAGAAAGCATGTCTCGCAAAGGAGCACAAAATCTATGCATGAGCAGTGACAGTATGACCATACTCTTTGGGAAAATGTTCTAAATTTTATTTTCTTGGGATTGCACCAGTATCTGCTCAACCGGTGTGGCATACATGGCTATACCGCTGAGTCACGAGGCTAGATCCCAACCCCTTTGACAGTATTGCTTACCTAATGCTTTCCCCCATGTTCAGAGCAAGTCTTACCCTCTTCTTTAAATCCCTCATTATCAGCCACTTTTAGGTTTGTTTTTTTTTATTGTAGTGAAAAGCTTTTCCTGAGCCGCTTCAAAGTCATTTTCCTCCCCTCCTCCATTACCTCCTGCTCCTCTCTCGTGATCCTGAAGTGTTCCTGTTAGGAAAAGCCGTTTTTGTAGTAGGGCATTTGCACAGTGTGTCGTCCTATCTGCAGCAGTTTTCAGCTTCTTTGGCAATTTGTGAAAGTTTTGGTGGCAAAGGAGCTCTCTTTCAGCCTGATCCTATGCCTGTTGGCTTAGCAGTAAGTCCTACTAGTTTTAATTGGCATACTCCAAGTAGGCGTGCATAGGATTACATCCTTAATTATATATTAGACATCCTGGAGAATGGATGGAGAGAATGAGGTTATGCTTTGCAGGATTGTATTTGAGTTGACCTCCTGCCTTTCTCCACCATACTCCATTGCTCCAGACTTTTTTATTTAATCCCTTTGAGGAAAGGCATGGAAGGCATATTGAGCTAGACTAGGGTGAAGGTCCCTAGGGAAATGGGCAGATGGAGAATTTAGCTTCTCTCATCACAGTCTTGTTGTAAAAGTCAAGCTTCTTTTAAAAAAATGGATATGAAGGTCTGTCCTCATTCTATCTGGTTTGGACAGAAGGAATCTATTCATCATTTAAAAGTTACTTTCTGGGCCAGGCATTGATACAGAGCTTTTTGAAGTCCCTAACTAGCATATTATTTTCATAAATATCCTGCTAAGTTCCTCTTCCTTTTTAGTGTGCAGCACAAATATAAATGCTCAGCCAAGACAAGGTGTCTAAAATTGTTTTTCTAAGCACTCATTACATTCATCGATGGAGAACTTGTCACTGAGCCACTGAAACAGCTGGCAAATAATTTTTTCCTGAACCAGTTAACTTAATTTGTCCCCCACTGAATGCAGTCCAGCTCTTGGATAATTTTGTTACTAACATCTTAATAACTTTAAAAAATGATGTAGGAAATTAAGAGACGTCTCCTGAGTGTTAGATTGTTTTGGCCTGAATGTTTCACCTGGAGGTTTAAATAAAAGTACAAAAGATTATGATATGATGATCACCCTTTGAAACATGCTATTTTGCAAATCCTAGTTTTATTTTCATTCATATACACAGCAGGCCTAGGTTTTTTTAGTTTCTGGGGGCATGATATGCAGTATTTTTTGTGCCAAGATGAACCCCTATTTCCATCTGATACAGTTTAAAACTGCTATATCCGTTGCAAATGTTCCATTAACTTTTTCTCCTCCTTGTTTGTCAGGATCAATGTTTGCTTTTCCAGTTTTTGAGGAGCCTCCTTGACCCAAGGTATGTATACAGATTGCAGATTCCATTTTGATTTTTTAAAAAAATGTTTTTATTCCTTTTTAGGTTACTCCGTTTTAGTTTTTGGAACCAAAATATTTCCATTAACCTTTTGTTGCAGATGTTAATGAACAGAGGCAACATTTGTTTCTGAAAATTTATAAGATCCTTCTTTTTGAGGCAACAGTTTTCTCAAGCGGAGTGGGATTGTGTTAGCGTCTGATAGCGTTCTTCCTTGCTATTGAATCCTCTAACCACCAGGCAACACTCGCTGCAGAGTGCCAAATTTTAACTGAATCAGCATTTCTAAAGTAGTTAATTTTGGTCATCTTACTTGGGAAATGTTGGGGTTTTTTTGCAGTATTTTTATGCATTTGGTGAAGTGGTAGGGCTTTGGAAGACAAAGATAGGAAACACATTCCCATCATTTCCTTTTTAAAGAGGGCCTGTTTGTTGCCCCCCCCCCCAGCTATATGCCAATCCTTACCCACTTCAGTGCCATGCCACTCAGCACTTTGCTAAGCGTTCTGGGTTGTTGTTTTTTAAAGAAGCACAATTCATGGGATGCCTTTTCAACTTCAAAACCATTGCATTGATTGGCCCTGCAGTTCTTAAGTTCTTAGATGGATTATAAGCCTACTTAAGTGTGTCTCTTTTTCTTTTTACAGTGAATATATAACAGGGGGAGAGTGGCTTCAAGTCTAAGAACTCTTGCCTGTGTGTCTTTTTTTTTTTTTTTAAAAAAGCAGTTTCTTAATTCTTTTAAAGTAGCTTTAATTGGGCACTCCAGTTATTCACATTGCTTTTGTAATTTATAAAATCCCTCTTTATACTTTTTGAAAACCTCTGCTTAAGCTTTGGAAAATCACATGTATTAGAGATGCAGGGCCAAGGCAGTGGGTTTGTAGAAGAGAACTGGAACCAGATTTGGCAAGAAATGCCTGTTAAGGGGACTGTAGTGTAGGAAGCAAAGAAATACAGTAGGCCCACAACTTACACAGGGGTTATGTTCCGGGAATCACACCTGCAGCCAAAATAACATATAGTCAAAACCCATTGGGCTCAATGGCGCGTGGGACTGCCAAAGTCATTTTTCCCCAGAACCCTGTCTCCTCTTTTAATTTTTTTTAGATTTCTTGCCATGCACATAAAGTTGAATATGCACAAGTTAAATGCGTGCAAGTAAATGCAAATGGTTCCTGGGAGATAAACATGTATGCTTGGAAAGGATAACAACGCCAATAAGCACAGAGCAATAAGCTGCAAACCTGACAAGATTTTGCCTCCAGTTGATTTTGATTTAGCTATTCTAGCTACCTTCTCAGATATTTGTTGTTGCTAGTGCATTACTAGCTGATGGTCCAGCTTGTTTGCCCCAGCACTTTTTTAAAACAATCAAACAGAGTACTGAAGCAAAATGTTCTATCCAAACATGGGCAGCTATAGGAAGCTACATCGCCCACTTATCCACCCAGAAGACATTGACCCAGATTCAGTGTTTTCTAATTGCCGTTGCAATGGTTGTTGCGCTAGTGTAAGGGCAAGGATAAGTTTGCACTGGATTTCATACTGTACAACAGTTGTGCTAGCAGAAGCATGTTGTGCAAAAAGTTGGCACTGCAGGAAGCATTGGGGCTACAGCAATATGTTGTGCATCCAGCCATGAGAACCATGTTGGCTTTCTGCACCTTTCATTGTGCAAAACTAAAGCAGCTGGTCCACTGCTAAGAGATTTTCACTTAGGGCTGTGTTGAATTCATCCCATTGTTTTCATCAGATTGTCTGCTAGACAAGGCTTCTCTGTGATGACTTGCCTCCCTAGAGACTGAAACATATTGTACCATCTGTAGCCTCATTCTGGTTCCTGTCACAGAGATTCTGTGCCAGCACAGCCACATCCAAGAGGGGGACTGATTCTGGCGTTCAATCTCTGCTAGGAACTAGGATGCCATGATCACCGGTGGAAGTCATCCCACGGAAGCCATTTACGGGGGCCTCTGTGCAATCAAGTAACACAACTTTCCATTTTGTGTACCACTTGTTTGTAAGAGGAAATGTCATTTCAGGGAAAATTACATTTTAAACGGTGTGCGGGTTGCTTATGGGAGTTGTAGCAATATGCTTTGTGGTACAACTGCTCATTGGTCATGGGCAAAAGCACTCCTGGCTGTGTTTATTTCCCAAGGCAATTTTATACCTCCACATCCCGCCCCCCCCCCATCTCCAGTCAACTGGCCTTGTACCAATTTTAGAATAAATCTCTGGCTAAATTAAATGTGCCAGACTAATCCCCTCTGTAATTCCAGTCCCTTCATTGTAGTTACACCACAGCAAGGAATCTAGCCCAAATGCGCTGTCACGAAACCCTCTCTAGTTCAGACAATAGGCTACTCTCTTCAGGATAAAATCTCAGTTTTAGTAAAACGTTAGTAAAATCACCATCTGGGGTGAAAGACGAACATGCACACTGATATGAAGGCAAATGTTTAGCTTGTGAATATACTTTCTGCTCTGATAGTTTTCCAAGTTTGCCTCTATATCAAATTTTATCCAACATATTAACCTGTTTTGAAAAAACAACAACCCTGGACCTTCTGTTTCGTGCACTGCAACTAATATGCCCTATATCCCTTGTGGTAATGCAGTACACTTTAGCCCTGCTTTATGTGACTTTCCACAGTTTTTCAGTGAATAAACCTATTAAGATTTTTCTATTCATGCTGAAATCATTGGCTATATTTCAGCCTTCAAGTCCATATATATTGCTTCCATCTCCTATGATCTCCCTTGTTTCTGTTCCTCTTATTTCTGGCTTTGCTGTTTGGACCCAAATCACTTTACATGAACTGGTAGAACCAGACATACTTTATGCCATGAATACTAACAATAAGACTTAGTCCAGTCCAGTGGGGGCAGAGCCACCTTCCTGGCACTGGTGGTTCTTTTGGTTAGCAGGGCAGAGGTGATGCAGAGGTTGTGTGGGAGCATCAGATCAGTGGTCCTGCCAGTGCACAAACACATCCCTAACACAGCCAATGCCCCAGCCATATCCAGGTGATGGGGGGGACGACTGCCCCACCTGCAGCACTACAGTGTCAGTCTCTGTTTTGTTGCCTACTCTGCACAGTCTTCTGTGTTTGTCTAAAATGTGTCGGATCCCAAATGCAATGTGCCATTTGTTGTTTCAGGGAAGGTGTCAATCAAGAGTTGCTTCAGCTTTCTCCCTTCGTTACTGAGCAGTTTATTGAGTTGCTGTGTCGGTATGATCCTGACCAGGTTTTAGAGACTTTGCAATTCCTGGAGTCCTACAGGCTGGAAGAGGCAATTCAGGTAAAGTAGGAAAGCTTGGAAATTGGGCTGGAATTGGAGGGAAATAGAAGTTTTGTAAGAGCTGTTTTCACTTGTCGGCTAGGCCCTTTCACATGGTATGTGGAAGAACAGGCATCGGTGACAAAAGGGGTTGCAAGGATGCCTCATTGGCCCCACTCAGCATTGGCCCCACTCGCAGTCTTGCAGCTTCCCCCAGCCTTGCTCCTCATTTCCATGCATGAGGTGTAGATGTCTGAGGCAGGCAAATCGATTTGTGTGAACCTCTATGGGAGCTGGAATCCTGTGTGATCTGAGTTCTGACTCTCAAGATAGCCTACTTGTGTAGACTTCCCCAGCTCAGACATTGACCTCTAATGCATCAACACACGGGCAGGGGCAGAGAAAGCTGGTTTTCAGAGGCCGGACCAGTTGCAGGGCTCGAAGTGCCCTTTTAATCATGTGATGCTCTTTCAGTCCCCTTCACCTGCTCTGTCCTCTCCTATGCCTAACTGTGCTCAAACCTGGACCAGTTCTTACAGCTAAGCATAAGTGGGAGGTTTCTATCTGGGACTAGTGGGAGCCAATCTAACTAACGCATGCCTTGATCACACTGTCCTGTATGCTGTAGTGCTATTAGGGTGTTGACACTGTATCTAAACTCAAGTTAATCAGTAGTTTCCTGGCTTAGCTTCCAAATGGTTTTAGCAATAGCTTCTTCTGTTTGGGATGTGACCCCGTTATTTTTTCCGTAGGTGAAGCTATTGCTATGGCAATCTCAATACCACACAAGACTACAACTGATGAGGCTTCATAATATGTTCTTGAAACTAGAATGCTCTTTTATGATGGGAAAGGCCTTTGAAATTCTTGGGGCCAAAGTGCCTTACTCAAGAGATCTGTGGAAATTTCCCCTGATCTTTTTTAAAAGAAAGAGTAGCTCCTTGGGTAGGGAGGGAAGGTAGGCGGAGATGATGTGCTTGGCACTTTCCATTTTTACCATTTTTTCCACTGAATCCCCACCTTCAAGATTCCCCCCCCCCCTCTCTCTTGCTATACTCACCAGGCAGAAGAAAAAGATATGGGAACCACTGAATGATCACTTACACTAGAATATTTATAGTATAGCAACTTGAGGGTCCTGAGGTTGTTACCTGAAGTCTGTTTTTTAAATTCCCAAACTCTCCCTCTCTTTTAATTATAGAGAGCATAACTAAAATCACCTTTGTATAATTTTTGTTCAGATCACACAGAAATACCAACTCCATGAAGCTTCTTCCTATCTACTTGAGAAGAAAGGAGATATTCATGGTGCCTTCCTAGTTATGCTTGAGGTATAGTTGACTAGAAACTACTTTGAAACGCTTCAGTCCCTTTCTGCTAATAAGACCTAGTAACTAAGAACAAGTACCTGTTTTCTAATGGTAAGACCTGTTCGACAGTGAAACAGACTCCCTCAGAAGGTGTTGGGCTCTCCTTCATTGGAAGTTTTCAGCAGAGGTTGGATGACTGTTTGCCATGGATGGTTTAGTTGAGAGTCCTGCATTGCAGGGGGTTGAACTAGATGGCCCTCAATGTCACTTCCAGTTCTACAATTCTGTATTTACCTCAGCTTATTCCACATCTCGGAAGACATTTTGCCATATTTTCTCCATATACAGTCACTTACATATTTTAGTCCATATGATAATAAATACTATCTGTTTGATTATAACTTTAGACTTGGAACTGGAAACCTTTAGAGGGAAAGATTAACCTTTCTCTAACTCAAAAAACATGAAAACAAAAAAAATTCCTTCCAGTAGCACCTTAAAGACCAACTAAGTTAGTTCTTGGTATGAGCTTTCGTGTGCATGCACACTTCTTCAGATACACATGCACACGAAAGCTCATACCAAGAACTAACTTAGTTGGTCTTTAAGGTGCTACTGGAAGGAATTTTTTTTTGTTTTGACTATGGCAGACCAACACGGCTACCTATCTGTAACTCAAAAAACATGTCTAATGCCAAATAACTCGGTTTACCTGATGCCATTATTTTGGTTGTTTTCTCACAACTGCTAGCAGCAGCATTGAGGAGCAAGAACAGAGAAATATTACTGTATAATGCCATTGTCACTTGAGTTAAACTACACGTTTGGACGTCACTCTAAAGCAAGTGTGGGGAACCAGACTCTGGCCCTCTAGATAATGCTCAACTACTACAACATCCATCATCCCCAGTCAGCCTAGCCAGTCTTGGCCTTCAATTAGCCACAGAATTAGCACTTGAGACCCATACCAAGACTGTAATGATCCAGTAATAGAAGAATAGAATAGAAGAACATTAGGGGACGTAAGCTAAATCCCAAAGTATTGGGAACAATCCCTTGTTCATTCCAAAATGAAAGGAATGGAATTGTTGTTAACTATGAGATAATGCTGATTGTACCTTATCTGGTCCTCCTGCGCCCCTCCCCATGTTATCCACTATGTAAATTCTTCTGAAGTCAGGGAAACTTTAAGGGGGGGCAGAATAATTGGCAGTAGAAAATCCTGTATGAAGGCCTTGTGAGTTCAACTGATTGTGTTTTTCTGCAGTGGCTGCAAAGCAAGTTGTTGACACTTACATGTGAAGATGAAAGTAAGTTTTAAAAATTGAGCTTTCCTCCTTTTTCCAGGAAATGTGACTTTTTTTGAAGAGAGTAAAACTCAAATAATATCAAGCTGAGAATAATAGAAGAATTGATTAGCTTTTTATTGCTCTGTCAGAGCAAGTCTAGACCACGTCCCCTTGACAAAGATGATTGCATTTTATCTCTTGCTTCAGTGTTACTAATCTTCATCACACACACTCTCTCTCTCCTCCTGGATTAATGGGCTTGAGATTGTAATGTGTTTTTAAAGTAAGAAATGCTGAATTTGCACACGTGCATCATACCAGGCTGGGCACCAACACATGGCACACACTGGCAAATGCCCCTGCAGGGGGGAACCACTGCTGATGCTGGACCTGGCCAGGGCCCATGTTCCTTTATGTAACCCCACCACCATTTTAATCCCCCCGGAATTTAATGTGTGGGTCCAGCCACATGGGTCTAGCGCTCCAGTCTGCATTGCCATTGGGCCATGGAAAAATCACGAAAGTAGATCACATTGACAAAAACGGAGGTTGTTCTGGCTTGTGCTTCTTTTTATCATGCAAATATTATCTGTTGCTGGTAATTTCTACACTAAAACCGTTTGGTGAAGGCATTTTAGAAATGTCATAAATGGCCCAGGGAAATAAATGGCTGATTTGGAGATGCTCTTAGGATTTAATTTCAAAGGGAAGTCTGATCTAGACATGCAATGAAGAATAAATTCTGACTTCTCAGACTTCTCTACTGCAAACCTCATATGTTTGCTATCCATGTGGTTCTAGTTGGCAAGAGTTTTATACCATGGACCCAATTTCACCATAGGAAGCTCCTGTCACCTAGCGGTATAAGTCTGTTGCATATGCTTAGAGTTACAGCAGTTCTCGCTATCTAGCAGAGTTGTATGTTCGCGCCCTTCCACCATACACATAATGTAATGCACGAGGCACACAATCCACATGGAGATCTGCTTTGCATGTTTCTTACCTTTCGCAAAACAAAAAGCGGGAAGGAGAAGATTGGACTGAACCAGGCTTATGTGCCTACTTCCTATGCAGTCTTCATCTCACACAAGTAAAGTTAAAACGGGCTGTCAAACAGTTGTTCGAAAATAATGAACTGAATATATTTTTTATGAGAAACTGTATTGCTTACAAAGAAAAAAATAAATGAGAAAAGCATGATTGAATTTGTCAGAGAAGCCAAATGTAGTCAGTCAGTTCACATTTAAAATATATCTTAGAGCTTGTCTTTGCTCTGTAGTAACTTGGCAGAATGCTATCATAAATGAATTAGGTAGCTTAAAGTGAACATTTATTTTAAAAAGATTGCCTGGGCCTTTTGGGCGTTTTCTTTTGTATTTCATAAAATCAGCTCAAAGCAAATGTTCGTAGCAACACAAGATCACCTCCTACCAAATATAAGCAGCCATGGAACACAGGCTAATGTAATTCATCCCATAATCTCCCTAACCTAATTAAGGTTTTCTAAACATCTTTTGGATATTGTGACAGACTGGACAATTTAGGGATGTAAGACCCTCACTGCTTGGATAACCATTATGACTTCGTTATTGAATTAAATGATTTTAATAGTTGTATAAACAATAATAACAGTAACTTATGAAGAATGTTGGCTTAAAGCATCTGTTTTCAATGAAGAGATAACTGACATGTGGCATCTGAGCCAAATGTTATAGGCATGTCTGTATGGTTATTTTACAGAGCTCTACCAGTCAATGTGGGACGCGGGTGGCACTGTGGGTTAAACCGCAGAGCCTAGGACTTGCCGATCAGAAGGTCGGCGGTTCAAATCCCCGCGATGGGGTGAGCTCCCGTTGTTTGGTCCCTACTCCTGCCAACCTAGCAGTTCAAAAGCACGTCAAAGTGCAAGTAGATAAATAGGTAGGAAGGTAAATGGTGTTTCCATGTGCTCCTCTGGTTCACCAGAAGCGGCTTAGTCATGCTGGCCACATGACCCGGAAGCTATACGCCGGCTCCCTCGGCCAATAAAGCGAGATGAGCGCCGCAACCCCAGAGTCTGTCATGACTGAATGGTCAGGAGTCCCTTTACCTTTTTACCAGTGGTAGAATAGCAGCAGATCACCAACAAGTAATAAACAGTATAGGTGAAGTTGCTCATATTGGAGAAGGATAAATAAAACCCTAAACAGCCTGGTGTGTGTGTGTGTGTCCCGTCCTGAAGTTTTCCCTCTAAAATATTAACTTGTTCCATGGGAAGCTCCCTTATTTTGACATGGTTGTGAGGAACAAGCTTAATTTACAGTCAAGTTATGTGATTATTTCCCCCCACATTGATTTTAGCTGTCTGATTTAACTGCCAGATTAGTATCTAATTGCTATTTCTTCCTTAAATCAAGGTTCAATAGAATTTCCTTCATTAAAGGATATTGAAGATAGCTTAGCAAAAACAATTGCACTTTGCCAGAGGAATTCACACAAGTTAAATCAACCACAGCGAGAGGTAAGAAGTCTAGGAAGTTCTTGGCTTGTTTTCCATTAAGCTCATCTTATTGTAACTGGGGGGCTGCTGTGAGAAAGATGCATCTAGTTTCCCCCTCCCCCTCTATAACATCTAGTATTTTGAGTTGTGACATTGCAAGGCACCAAGTTTCCCTGACCCCACCACCACCATTGACAGCCATTGATGTGGGGTGGGGATATGGAAAGCAGAACATCATGACTCAAGAGAAGTTATGGTAGTTATTGTAGAGGGGGAAAGGGGTTGCTTGTGTGGTGGTTGTTTCCAGCTACAACCTTAAGTTTACCATAACATCTAGTTTGGTCATGGATGGAAAACCAGAGCTCCATCAGATGCTGCTGGACTCCCAGCTCCCATCAACCCCTGCCACTATAATCAGTGACCATGGGTGACGGGAGTTTCAGTCTAACAACCTCTGGAGCACCCTAGGATTCCCCATGTCTGATTCAGGTGTATCCTATACAAAAACCAGATAAGGTTAATTGTTCTAATACTGGCAATTGTACTGTTATTCTCCAGTATATTTTGTATTTATAGTTTATTTAATAATAGTTTGACCAGAGGTCAGATGGAGCCAGCCAATGACATTTTGTTCCCTAAGGCAAAGAACAAGATGGCTTCTCCCTTCCCTATTCCACATACAGAAGTTGACTGTATTGAAAGTTGAATCTTTCTTCCACTGAAAATGGAATAGCATCCTCCACAGCACCTGAGGCACCTGAGGACTATGGCATATATAGCTTTGTCCTTCAATAAGGGCAATGACACAGGGTGGGGTACAGGAGCAATAACCATGGGGCTCCCAATCCTGTCCTGCACAAGCGTCTGCCATCGGATGCACTTGCCTCACTCTGCCTAGTGGCAGGGCCAACTCCTGGGCCAAACTATTGCCTGATTCAGGTATACGGACTGGCATTCATGGACTTCCATTTTGTTTCTTTTCTAGGCACTATGGTTTCCACTCTTAGAAGCAATGATGTCTCCCCAAAAGTTATCCAGTTCTACTGCACTGTGTCATTACTCTGAATGTAAGCACCAAAATATCCATAACGATGTGTACTTCAGACCCTGTTTTCTGAAGCCAAATAATTGAGAGTGAGAATGTGAATAGCTTTGTCACAGAGCCATAACACTAACAATTCAATAATTGGCAGTGCATATAAAATACATCAAAAGTGTAAGCATAAAGCTTATCAGTAGGCCAGATGACAACATCCTATACCTTCAAAGTAGCTCCAAAACTGATTTCACTGGTGCCCAGCAACTCCCTCCCTCCCCAAAATCTTGTATACCTTGTCAGAAAAGACCAGAAATCCCCCTCACAGTTCTTCTAGCGACAGTTCCCATATGAAGACTCCTAGGGCAGGAGGGTTTTGTTCACCTTTTGTTCAGGAGGGTCCTCCAGTTTACAGCTGTTATGTCATGAGTGCATTTGCGTATTGGCTTCTGTTTCTATACTCTGTAGCTTGGTTATTTCTCTCTGTTCCTCTTTTCCATAGAAACAATAATGAATTTGAGCATTGAATTATGTGTGGGGGTATGACATGGGAAACATTTTTCAACATTAAAGCTTCAGGAGCTCTATTTTCCTTTGCTTTCAGACGTAGATACTGAATTGCCCTTCTCCCTGTGGATATAATATTGAGGAGTTTCTGTGGAAATACCTCTCAACTGGAGAGTATTTGTTTAAGGCACCACAGAAATTCATCTGAAATTAAATAATCACAGAAAAGAATTGTCTCCATTCACCATCCACATGCACCAGAGAATCCATTTTCTATTAGATATCGTGACTTAAAAACACACACACTGGAATAGCATTTGCTCCTGTTAGTTATGACTCTGATGTATTTGTTCTACCAGTTTTGAAGAACTTGACGATGCAAGTGTTGAACAACATGGCAGCATTCATTGCCCTGCCACTGATCTTGCAGAAAATTCTACAGGTGAGATGTAGAGATAATGTACTGATAATGTATTTTTAAGTGAAATATGCCTTTATATGTACATGCTTAAGTCGTGGTATAAAGCGGTATTACTTGTTTGCCTGATACGTTGTGTTAATATCTGTGAATTCATCTCATTACATCTAGTTTTGGGGGTGGTGGCAGAGGGTGTGTTGAGTAAAGTCAAAGTTGTACAGTGAGAAGGTTTGACGTTATTAAAACAGCTGCTTCCAATAGGAATTGGGATGGGTATTTTGTAGCCTTTTGTAGAAAATAATTTTAAAATTGCTAAGACTTTCATACTTGGAGTAAAGTGAATCTGAGGAAAAAAATTAGAGGTAAGTGAAGGACTGAGGTTCAAACTAAATGTTGCATAAGTTTTTGTCCTCTTTCTGTTACTATAAACACGAATACCTTGGTGAGTGGAGCTCGTGCTTTGCATCAGGGGTTACCAATATGGTGCCCTGAAGTCTTCCATGGCACCCATGAAGCCTCTGTGTCCTCTCCCAGTTGCTACCCCCTTGGTCATGAGGGAAGGACTGGCTTGCCCAGTTTGGCAGAGCCACAGCAATAGCCTCCCAGCAGCAACATCACTTTCATTTACTAGGAGAGGGAGAGGTAAGGTGGTGGCAAGGTCAGGGCTTCACACGGACCGTAGAAGAGCCAATCTGATGCACTTATATAGCCCCAAGTGTACTGCTGTCTTCCCCCTCTTAGTACAAGTGGCAGCAATGCTGCAGTTCTGCCCCACTAGATGCTCCACTCCTGAGTCGAGGTGGTTACCTTTTTCTCCCTTGAGAAGTAACGGGAAAGTTACAGGGTCTCTTGTACATTCCTTCATAGGTGAACAAAACTGACTGGAGAAGGTTTGTTCTGATTTCTGTATTTTGCATGTTTTGTATTGGAAGATCAATAAAACATAATTAAAACAAACAGAACACATTTCAGGGTGTTCCATTTGCATTTTATAAAGCACGTAAGAAACAATGCATTTGTTAGCTCTTAATCCAACAAAGCCTAACTTTAAATGGCTTTCTCATCCCCATATTTAGTTTTGCCCAAGCCATATTTGTTTGCTGTCCTTTTATTGGAAAACGTTTTACAAAATCAATGCTCCCTGCTGGAGATACAACCTAAAAAGCCGCTCCATGTCCAGATTATGTGCCTTGCTTGTGGCCTCTACTAAAACAGAAGCCTGCTGTTGTGTATCAAATAATGGCTTTTAGATTTACCTTATATTGGACACATGATTCCCCTGAGATGCACTACAGCTTCTCTGTGGATGATTTATAATACCAAATCTCATGATATCTAGGTTGATAATATTTTTGTAAAATTGCTATCTAGCATTCCTTCAGTTCTTGGGAGAAATACTATTCTGGGGACTCGAACTGGCACTGCTTTTATTTCATCTAAATTACAGCTGCCTTTCTCCTCATCCTAATCACGATTACCAGTTTCTAGTTTCTGCTTCTAAAGGCAAAGTGTGAATTTGATACCTACTTTCTTTTGCTCTCCTGTCCCTAGTTTCCAGCTCCATTGATTTTTATGTTTTAGTTGTATTTTGGACCTCAGAACAATAGTTCCCATACCAAAGTGTCTTGCTGCCAACTGTAATTTATAGACTAGGTAAAATACCTTCCGTAGCATAGGTCTAGAATCAAAACCTGAAGAATCTGATTTAACAAGCTTTTTGTTAGTTTGAGCTACAGCGTTTACATGAGGATAAAAGTCCTTGGTACCAATCAGTTCGTTACAGGAGAATGATCTTATTTCTTACGGATTTAGAAGACCTAGCAGCACAACTTACTTCCTATGCCCCATTTTCATTTTCAGAATAGGAGCCATTTCTTGATCTTGTGTTTGCTTTAATGATAACTCTCTGAGACGGCATGTGTCAGGCTGCATATGTGCAGCACAATTGGTTGGGGCCTCACTTTCTGTTGGTGTTGTCAGATGCTGATGGAAATAATTACTTCTGGCACTTGAATAATATATCAGACCCACTTAGCAAATGTTGGACTGACACAGCATATCATCTACATGACCCGTTCCCAACCTGATGTCCTTGAAACGTTCTGGACTAATACCTCCCAACAGCTCCAGCCAACCTCGCCAATGTTTAGGGATGATGAAATAGGGTTGCCATATTTCTATCCGTGAAACCGTTTTTGAGCTATTTTTATGGAAGATCGGCAAAAATGCCACTGCTGCCATGGGCCGCTATACATCAGCAGTTTCACGGACATTTTGCCCGGACTCTGCTGCCAACTTCAGTATTCTACATAGGTCCGGGAACTTCCGGATATATGGCAACACTAAATGAAAATTGTAATCCATTACCTTCTGAAGAGTGCCAGATTTGGGGTGGCTGTTCTGTATGCCCTGAAATGAATTTAGTTTTGTGGGCAGGGAAAGCATTTCTTAGAATCATAGAATTGTAGATTTGGAAGGGACTCCTTGCAATGTAGGAATCCCACCCACTGCCATCCCTGGATGGGGTCAAACCACCAACTATCTGATTAACATGCACTGACCTATTGTGCCACAGAAAGGCCCTAGGGGTAGAAGATCTGCCTGTGTAAGGTAAATAGCAAGAACATTCCAACAGACTGAACTATTGAACTGTCTCTTTACTTGGAAAGATATTTTGTAATGGTCTGTTTTTTAAGAAAGGCAATAACATTTTTTATTGCTTGCTTTAAATAGGTATAACCCAAATGCCATAGCAATACTATAGAGCTGTTTTCAGCAGAAATACCTGGGTTATGATTTCACATTGCATTTACTTTACAGTTACTCATTTGAAACGGTATTAAATATGATTAATGTTAGATTTAAATTCTAAATCTGACTCATCAGAGGATTTAGTAACATTAATTCAAAAGGAAAATGAAAGAAATGCTTTGGGGCAATATTAAGGGAATTTGGGGGACATTAAGATAAGTATTATCCCATTAAGAGGATGAGTGGTATCTAAATAGAGATGAAAGGTAAAGTGCTAAATCTTTCACAAAGCTATAATCCCTTGTGAATGTTCTAAAATCAGATATCTTGTGGTTTCTCACTGTATACCCTGTTCCAGAAGCAGGAAACTTTAAGATTCTTTATTTCCATATGCCTGTAGGAAAGTCAAAGCTGTGTCTGAGCACATTTAAGCATAGAATATCTATTTAATGTGATAATGAGCATTCTATAGCTGCTGGAATTGAACTGTGGGCAAATCATTATAAGCAGTATAAAAGCTAAAATTCATATTGCATGTATTTCACTTCCACTACTAACCAGTAGGACACTAAGCCAGACACTAAGCTATATAATTATTATAATTATATAACCTGTTGCATGTGTTTGAGAAGTAAAGAGACACAACATGTAAATGGCATCCATTTTCCTTGCACCATAATTGGCTAGTGCAAGGCCTCTAGCTAACTTACTCATCCACACTACTTTCTAAAATATTGCGCAGCTTGATTTGACCTGATCTCTAGTAATTAAAGATCCATGAGTTGGAATGTGCTTGTTTATCTGGGTTTAGACCACCTCTGCCTGTCTAGTTTAAAGGGCTTTCAGATGAGGGTTTCAAATGTAATATCAGTTCCTGGTCTACCAGCAGCATTTGGGAAACCCAGAGTCTTTCAGGCACCTCTCCTCTGGGGGTTATTTGCTTCCTTTTTATAAGAAGCATCTGCATGCCGCTCCAGAAACTGTGTTCGCTGACCTGCTTACAATAACAAAACATGAAAAAACCAAAACAATTTGTTATGCCTACCAGGGAGGTTGCTCGAGAGCGGACAGGCAAGATCCCCACTGGTCTTTTCAAAGGCTTTATTATTGGTGCAAAAACATTTATAGTGCAGAACGTCTCAATTCCATCTCTTGCTCAGTCACTAGCAGAATCTGAGAGTGGGCAGTCCTTAAACTTTCCCCAGCAGAGTAGTCCCTTGAGCCCCATCTGACGCCTCCCCTCTGCCTGTAAACCTACTGCGCAGAGAGGGTATGGCTAAAGGGGGACCTGCCTCCCCCCTGCTTTGCTCATGCCTGGTGTCTTGGCTCTCTCTTGCATCCTCCGAGCCCTGCATCCCTTCCCCACTAGAAGCGGAGCTTCCCTCCTCCGCAGAGGAAGTGCTGCTTCTCACGATCTTTGGAGGCTCCCTGTAACCCAGCTGCCCTTCCACCTCACCTCTCGCCTCTGAGCTGATGGCAGTTCCCTGACACAATTAATAAAGACTGCGGAGCGAATAATTGGGTGCACTCTTCTATTCAAATGTGATTTTGGTTTTAAACACAGTGTAAGGTAGTCTCTATGGGAGTATATTGTATTTAATTATGGGGTATCAGAGTTTTTAGGGGGCTAACCAGGCTGGGATAGCTGGGAGAGCAGGCTTGTTGGTTTTTGAATGTCTGTTGTAGATTTTTTCGATTTCGTTGTTCTGTATGGGACAATGACAATAAAGATTATCGTATCGATCAATAAATAAAAATCAATGAAAAAAACTTCAGCAGCAGCAAGTAAAACAGTATAACAAGATAAACATTACCACTAGAAGCAGAATATAAAATTCAGTGGAATCTAAAAATAATGTCTTCACCTGCTAATGAAAAGAGTAAGGAACGTGATAGGCAAGCATCGGGGGGGGGGGCATACCTTAACTAAGGTGTCACCATGAAAAAGGCCATTTCTCAATTGGCCACCAGTAGCAATTCACTTGATCTAGAAAAGGGTCTCAGTGTCTGGGCAAGTACCTTGGAAGAAGTGGGTCTTTCAGGTAACCTGGTTCCATGCCATTATGGTTGTTAAGGTTCCCCACCTCTCCTGTAGCTTGTTAAAGAGCCATCTGGGGTGTTATCGATTTGTGTCAGCTGGGATTAATGTCTGGAGCAATCCATACATGTCACAGTCTTCACTGCCATCTCTTTGCTCCTCTGTCCTCCTCGGTTTCCTTTCTAACTAGCGCTTGGCGTCCCTTGACATGTGCACACTCTTGAATTGAGTGCCTCAGAAAAGAGGAGCTGGCTCGCTTAACAGATAAAAATAGCTTGCTATATGTCATGGATCACGTACATGCTGTGCTAAGGGCCCAGGCTTCCCAGTTACTCTCCATAATTTATATGGTGCCTCAGCATGATGCACTTTCTATGCTGCCGCTTTTAAATTATGCATGCTAAAATGAAAAGTACTTACTGAAAACAGAATGTGACCCCAGAAGACTCCGCTCCCTTTGTGTGAATGGATCATTGGTATGCGCCACTGCTTCCTTGCAGATCAGGGAGAAGGTTTAGGTTGACCTAGTAAAAATTATAACTTGAGTGCATTTGTTAAACAGGAAACTTAACAACCTAATGTAGAGGCTTCCCAACCAAACAGGCGTGTATGGGGATTTTGTAGCCTCGTTTGTAGCTCATAATCATTTATGTTTCTTTTAGCTACGCCCCGGCTCAGAGCCTGTCCAAAAAGCAACTTTGACTGCGCGTAGCTTAGCAATCTAGCATCATATTGTAGGTGTGGGAAGCAAGGATAGCAAGAGAAAGGGAGGGAAAGTGTTTTAAAACAACAGTTGATGTTTGGGACTAAGCCACTGGTGCTGATCCAGCTGGTCCCCAAGTCTCTAGAGCGTGGGGACAAATCTATGTAGCTTTCAGGTGTTCTGAATTATCATGTACAACACTTGGAAGAATCCTGACTATGCCATCTAATCCTTTAATTTTTTTATCACTCCCCTCTAATCCCTACAGGTAGTAGCATAAGCTCCTTTAGGTTATTAATTATAAGGCACTGCTGACATCTATTTGAGTCTTCTAGATTAGTCCAGTCAAGTTAGTCTCGTACTGTGCAAAACTAATGTTCTCCATAAAATTTGTATTGTAGAATATATCTTTCCCAGTCCACCAAAGGTAACTCTCCTTAAATGGTCTGTAATCGTCCTTAAAAGTAAAGGTAAAGGGACCCCTGACCATTAGGCCCAGTTGTGGCCGACTCTGGGGTTGCAGCGCTCATCTCGCTTTATTGGCCGATGGAGCCGGCGTACAGCTTCCGGGTCATGTGGCCAGCATGACTAAGCCACTTCTGGTGAACCAGAGCAGCACACGGAAACACCGTTTACCTTCCCGCCAGAGCGGTACCTATTTATCTACTTGCACTTTGATGTGCTTTCAAACTGCTAGGTTGGCAGGAGCAGGGACCGAGCAACGGGAGCTCACCCCGTCGCGGGGATTCGAACCACCGACCTTCTGATCAGCAAGTCCTAGGCTCTGTGGTTTAACCCACAGCACCACCCGTGTCCCAGTAATCGTCCTTACTGTTGAATAAAACATTTTATTTCTGCATATTTTATTTTCATCCATTGGTTCTTACACTGCCTTTTCCTGCTACATTAAAAAGCCCAAGTGTTGACTTTAAATTTAAAACAGAGTTCAGCTCCCATGTGCTAAAACTGTAATCTTGCTGCATTGCTTTAAGCTTTTAGAACATATTTCAATAACATATTTGGGTGTGAGTTTTTTCCTGCAAGAGCTGCAGATTTAAAAAATGGAAAGCAGAGAGCTATAAAAAGTATGAGACAAGATTACTATAAAACTGTAAATAATGAAAATCCTGTTGACCTTTCTCTCCTGAGGCAATATGTCATCATGCTTTAATTAGATCTCATGCATGACCAAACCAAAAATTGTTTAGAAAAGAATTCTTATTGAATCAAGGAGTTCAGCAGGGATATTCCATTCTCTTCACTGCATTCCTTTCAGTCACTTGGAAGGATAGGAAAACCCTTTTGGGCAAAACAGGATTCATCTCTAGGACAAGGTCTTTTAGGGAGCATTGTTAGGCTGCAACCTTGTAGTAAACCTTGTTGGGAAGCAACCTTGGAATCAACGAACTAAGAGAACCTTTGACAGGTAAGCTTACTGCATATCCAGAATGTGGGGGCTTGCACCACCCTCCACATAGTCTTCTGAATCTGCCCTGAGTGAATTTGGGGTTATCTGAGTTATGTGCTGTTACTTCAGTCACAGAGAAATATTTATGTGAACAAACACTTGACTATATTTAGAAGATATAGATCTCTCTGTTTCTCATGCACTAGCAGTTTGATTAGATAAGAGGTTGTATGTTTTTATCGCAGCCAGAGAAGTCAATAGCTATTAACCAAACATTTTCCCTTACTGCCCCTCCTCTCCTGGCATTGGTGTGTGTAGTAGTTTTTCAGTTTGTTTTCACTGAAGTTGATTAACATCGGCTTGCAATAATTTTTACAGGATCCAGTCTATGGAAGAGGAAAACTGGGAGAAATTCAGGGTCTTGTCCTGGGCATGCTAGACAGCTTTAATTATGAACAAGTAAGTAAAATGGGCTTTTTCTTCCTACTAAGGTGAAGCGATCTTGCCTAAAAATTGAAGGGCTTTTTGTCTAATGGAAGAGAAATTGAGTGGCGTTATCCACATTATCCCCCTTGTGTTAATTAACCAAACAGTTAATTGCCTATTAAATAAATCTTCCACCAGGTATGATGAAAGCATGTGTTAACAAGCAAGTTTTTGTTGTCTTGGACATGACAGTACCTGTAGGTTATCAGATACCCTATGAAGCTTCCTTTATACTAACTTAGACTACTGGTCTATCTAACCTGGCACTGTCTGCTGACTGGTAGAAGCTGCCTAGGATCTCCAGCAGAGGTCTATCCCTCACTTCATGTTTGCTTTTTATTTACCTTAAGGCCTTTGTAGACAATGTGCAGTGCAACAAATGTACCGTTCTTGCTAAACAGCTGATTTGGGGATGGTAGGATTGTTTCTTCTGGACATGATCATGCTCTCTGAAGGAGCAGGTTCACAGCACAGGTGTGCTTCTGTCGCTTGCTTTCCTTCCAGGTGAGGTGGTGGTAGCAGTGAGGAGTACATCTTGCCACCTTTAAATATTTCTCTCATCAGAATTTTGCCACCAATCCCCCCTGTTTTGATGAGCTCATCGTTCCATTTCCCCCACTAAGGGGGGAGCTGGATTTTGAAATTTTATCTAATGCAGTTTATTTGTGTTTATTGTTTATTAAATTCATACATAGTCCTTCCTCCCTGAAGGGTGCTCAGGGCGGCTAACAATATGAAATCCAACCAAATTCAATATACAATAATTAAAATGGCAGTTATAAAAGATCAGATCCCCACTTACTGAAGGCCCCTGCTTGTGCCGTCACATGGGAAATTCTGTTCTATTTTACCACACTTAGGGCAAATCTAAGCATATGATTCTAGTTTTTTGAGCCCATTTCTTTGGTCAGAAACCATCTTCCCTCTATGACCGTGATAGTATGGAAACTTGCTTTTTTCTCTCTTTCAGATGAATAGATTGTTTACTGGTAGTTGCTATTTATACCTTATCCTTTTGATCCCTGGATGTATTCTCAATAGGAGAGTCTTGTAGCCACTTTTGAGCCCAGAATAGAAAGAAGAAAAGCTCACTCCTCCCTTCCCTTCCAGTCATGTTTTCCCTTGGGAGCTTTAGGCTTCTCCTCTCATCCTCAAAGTAGCAAGACAGTTCTTAATTGTGATTTCCAGGTATGATGCACAAAACCACCTTTGTAGCTTGCTCTGAAGAAGGGGAAGAGGCACACAGAGAAATGGCACTAACTCATTAGCAGACGCAACCCCTCTGGGTATGAGGAGGTGTGAGGAATTTATTTAATTTTCTCGCTGGGAATTTGCTTTCATGAACCATCGGAAGGCATACTTCAGTACCATTTAAAGTTCTGTAGCTGAGAGTCTTCTCTGCCATATTCAACTCTTGCATTGCTCTGGCATTTATTTAGGAATTTGCTCAGGGTGCCTCCATATTGCTTTCTTCCAGTGACGCTGGTACTAAGCTGGAAGTCTGAGAAAGTTGCTGGCTAGGGGGTGCCACCCCCAGTGCTGTTGTTGTGTGTACACACTTCTGTGTAGGATAAGTGTGTCTATGTGTGAGCCAACCCCAGTAGCACTATACATAAATCACAGGAATGTATGAAACATATAACTATCACACAAACATATGCTAGTCTTGCATGGGATGGGGCAGTCAGCTTCAAAAAGCTGCATTGCATGGATTGGATTACATGACCCTTGGGGTACCTTTCACAATTTTATGATTGTATGGTAATTTATGATTAACTAAGCCACATCCATACACCACACATTTAGAGCACATGGCTGCCCTCAAAGAATCCTACAAGTGGTACCTACATGGCGTGTTACAGTTCAGTGTTGTAAGTCAGCTGTACCCTCATTCATACAGATGAAACAAGCTGTCTCCAAAAGTTAAAAAGATTGAGATGGAGGTGGAGGGGTGGTGGAGAGAAGCCTGAATGAGAGGATGGGAAAGGAAGTGGGGAACAGCATGCCTAGTTGCCCCTGGTTGCCAAACCATGGTTTGGGTACCAGGGAGTGTCGTCTATGCACCAGGCGAATGTGGTTGCAAGGATAAATGTGGATAATCCCATGCACACCGCCTGAACGTCTATGGGGGAAGGGTAGCATACAAGTTTGACAAATAAACATTTGTATCCTCAATATGATAGCCCTAACCATGCCCAGCTCTATAATTGAAGCCCATCCAGTACAATGGGGTGTTGCAAATGATGCAAACATATCGTAAGTGGCTGGGGCAACCCAGCCAAATGGGCAGGGTATAAATAAAATTTTTGGTGGTGGTGGTGTTATATCATTTAAACATTGTGTGTGTTTGTTTAGGAGTACAGTGGTACCTCGGGTTACAGACACTTCAGGTTACAGACTCCGCTAACCCAGAAATAATACCTCGGGTTAAGAACTTTGCTTCAGGATGAGAACAGAAATTGTGTGGTGGCGGCGCGGCAGCAGCAGGAGGCCCCATTAGCTAAAGTGCTTCAGGTTAAGAAGAGTTTCAGGTTAAGAACTGACCTCCAGAACGAATTAAGTTCTTAACCCGAGGTACCACTGTATCACTTTGATGGGTCCAGTTTATGCTTGAGCTCTGTTGTAACCCCAAACACTTTCTCATTAGCATAAGAACAGCTTGTTTTTCTCTCCACTTTACACAAATACGAAATTGGTTTAGCCCAAAGGCTCAAAATGTGTGAGCTAGGAAGACACCATTCTATTGGATAAGCTCCAATTACAGTGCTATAGAGTGACCTGTTATAAAATGGCCACACAGTGGCATTTGACAGCATATATTATGTATAAAATAGCAGGATCTGTCATTAAGATACCTAAAAGTGTTGTTTCTCCCCTCACTTAATCTCTATGAGATGTTTTGCCACATGCAGAATTTATGGAGCATGGCTAACAGGTTAAGTGATGTCTTTCTTGTCTCGTGCTTGCTCAGACTCTTTTGGAGACTACAACCAACCTACTCAACCATGACCTCCACTGGTCCTTACGTAATTTGAAAGCATCTGTGACTAGAGGGCTGAACCCCAAGCAAGATTACTGTTGTATTTGTCTACAGCAGTACAAGAGAAGACAAGAGACTGCTGACCAAATCATAGTCTTCAGGTAACTGTTGAGAAAAGGCAATAAGAGGTGCTAGCAACAAGAGGTCCTGAAGTTTAATATAGTTAGGATACATAGGGGTGGTGGTTGTCTTGCTGCACTGTGAGACGGCCTGATTTAATGGGCTCTGTATGCCTTCAGGGTTTGTATTTTTTATTTATTTTTAAATTTTATATCCCACTTTTCATCATGTTGATCTTAAAGCAGCTTACAACAATAAAACATACAATATAGAAAATTTAAAACATTAATTAAGCTTCCAGAATTCTAATCTCAAGAATTTAAAATCCCCCCGAATGTAAAACTTATGGGACTTTTAGCCAACAGAAACAAGTATTTCTGAAGGGCTTTTATAGATGACTGAGACTAATTTCTCTTTAATAGTTAGGTGGTCATTTGGCAATTAGAGATCCAGAAAATTATTTGTGACAGAGAATAAATGGACAAAAACATGCTTACTCCCACTATATTAAAAGGGTCTTCTTACTCTGTGTATTGGATTGCAGGCTTAATGTCTTTTAAAATACGTTTGTTTCTCTTGCCAGTAGTGTGACATTTGGTTTACTAGAACCTATTTAGAATTAATTTTACTAAACAAATGTGCTCTGGTGTGCAGAGTATCTAGTTAATATATGTTTGCAATTAAATTTCTTTCTTTCTTTTTTTTGTAACAGCTGTGGCCACTTGTACCACTCTCTCTGCCTCCTGAGTAAAGAGTGTGGCACTGAAACAGAGGGCCAGATGAGATGGACTTGTTTTAAATGCAATGCAAGTAACAAAGGAGGAAAACTAAGTGGTGCTTGCTTAGAAATGAAGAAGGGAACTCCTGTATCTCTGGCACAGGTAAGATTTGCAGAAGTGAACCTTTCCTAGAAGGCTGAAATTATACCTGAGTTTAGGAGCACCTCAGTAAAATGAAGCTTCTTTTGTCTACACTCCATCATTCAAGAAGCTTTTGGTGTGGCTTGATAAGTTCTTGCCGTGTTTGAATTGAAGGTTTTTTTAAAAAATGGGGCATGCATTTATTTATGGAACAATGAAAGGTAAATGATGGCTTCTTGCCATGTGCTGTATGAGTGCTTTCCACACGTGCCAGCAACCTAAAAGTCTTCCATGTGTCGTAGTAGACAAGGCATTCGTTCAAATTGTAGGCGGACATGAAAATAAATACTGGGGAGCAGCAGGAATCATTATGTGCACTGTACCTTCAGCTGCCACTTTGGTGTGTTTTGAGGTCTGCAACTGCTGTTCTTGCTCCTCTGACCAAGAATCAGTGTCTGAGATGAGGCTATGGAATTGATTTTGCAGCTCTAGAAACAGCACGGCTTCTGACAGTCCTGCTTTTCTGTGTAGCATTCCTCCAGGGGTGATCAAGAGGTGGTGGACCATCCTTCCTGGAGGGATTTAAGCAGATGTTGAATGGCCATCTGTCATGTTTGATTTACTTGAGATTCCTGCATTGCAGGGGGTTGGACTAGATGACCCTCAGAGCCCCTTTCAACTCTATGATTCTATATGTGGGTCAGGTTAAAGTGGATTCTGTGCATGCTCATGTCTGAATTACTCCTAGTGGAGAGAAATCCTTCCCGTAGTGCAGTTTTCGTCATGGATTATTTGTGTGTGAAAGAGCACAACATCCTTATTGAAAAATTAAAATGTAGAAAATGCTTTTTAGATAGCTTCTACTAAATGCCTCCCAAAATTGCATTTGGCTTTTTTTTTTATCACAATGCTGACTCATGTTCAGTTTGCAAGCTGCTTAATGATAATTCAGAAGCTTTAAGTAATCCAGCTGCTAAAGCAAAGTAGTAGAAAATCCTGATTTTAGAGTATAAATGTTATACGCTTGAATTGGATAAGAGAGGACTAATATACAATGCAGCCAGAGGATGGTTGCAGTGGGAGTTGATGTTTGTAGCTATTGTAAGGAATGCCTGATGTATCTATCCAACAAGATCTCATGGCCTCGGGATTTGATGGCACTCTGTTTCCACAACAACTTGAACAGAGAACAGATTTGCATTGAATTAAGTGTCCAGACCAATGATTCTTCTAGTGACTTCATTGCTTTACTCCTTTGCACTGAAGTACAAGTAATTCAAATAACACTCTAATGGTCAAATAACTTCTTCCGATGAGCTATTTGTTTGTAGCATACATCCTTCAAGCTGCCAGCTTTAAAATTAATCCGCCACTTCAGCCCTGTTCAGAAACCTGGTTGAAGGAGAACATGGTCGGACGCCTTGACAGTCCTTCAGCAGTCTAAAATTAGTATATTTGCTGTTAGTATTGGTATTACCCTCATACAAAACATAGTATACACGGAGTTGATACTTCAAGTCATTCGACAGCCTCGCTACGTTACGCTCGTCTTGTCCATCGTGCTCCCCCGCAGGACAAGAGCATGCCAGAGCCAACCATCTCCATGGCCTGTGGAATAAACTTCAAAAGCAGTAGGTTACATTATACGCTCTCAGAGTTACATATGCTTCAGGTTACAGCTTCAGGTTACAGCTTCGCGACAGACTTCTAACCCAGAAATAGTGCTTCAGGTTAAGAACTTTGCTCCAGGATGAGAACAGAAATCGTGCTCCGTGCGGCGCAGCGGCAGCAGGAGGCCCCCATTAGCTAAAGTGGTGCTTCAGGTTAAGAACAGTTTCAGGTTAAGTACGGACCTCCCGGAACAATTAAGTACTTAACTCCGAGAGTAGACCACTGTACAGTATTTCAAACCCTTTGTTGTTTGGGCTTAGTGAATTCTGTGTATAATCCTGCTAGATTTCCCTTCTGTTATCATTCCATCAGACGCCTTTCTACAGATTATGGGCTTCCCAAAGGCATCTGATTGGCCACTATGGGAACAAAATGCTGGACTAGATAGGTCTTTGGTCTGATCCAGCAGGGCTTCTTTTTATACTTTAAGTATGTTTGTTCATGGTCAAATAGAGGGCACTCTTGGACTACCTGTAAAGTTCCGAGTTTGGGTGTTATATTTTCTTTAGAATGCTTTGAGCAAAAATGCATTAGTGCTGGGAAATGCCACCAAACATCTGGAGTATATTTCTTAGTACCATTTCTGCTCCTCTGAAATGGACTGTCAGCTTGAATTTTGAAGTAGTGTTGAGATTTATATGTGAACTGACAGCAACCCAACACACTCTGTTCTTTATCTCTCCCTCCCTCTCTCCTGTGAGCATCCTTTTCAGCAGCCATATTGAAAAACAAAGGGTATGCCAGGAAACGGGTGGTTTAAAGAAATGGATGTATGAACATTCAATGGCTTTAAGGACTCGGCGTTTTAAGTGTATTTCCAAAGCTCGCATTCCATTCCTAAGAGGTTGTCCCCAACTTAATTCCTAGGGCAGTTTTCTCCCAATGGCTGGGATGTGATGCGGCTTTTGTTCTTGAAAATAACAGTAACTGGACTTTGTGACAGGTGCAAGCGTACTAGCATTGCCCACCCTTCCTCTCCAGCTCAAGTGAGGAAGGGCAGAGTAAAGATAGAAAAGCAGACTGAGTTTGTAGCAGGTTGCTCCGGGCAAGAGCTGCACACAGCCAGGAACCGCCAGCAGGAACAATTTCGGAAATGACAGATGGCAGCACAGACCATTTCAGCCCAAGGCAACTTAGCCAGCAGCATAAATCTCTGTTGGAGGTACAGGAGGCAGCCTCCGTCCAAACACACTTATCTAGAAGAGGATAATGCTTACCTAGCCTTTATGGACTGATTGTACATGCTAATTGTGAGGCAGCTTCCCCTTAGAGTGACTGGAGGCCACCAGTGGTGACTTACTGCAGTGGTCTTTCTGTCTCTTTTCTTAGGCGTCTTAATCTGTGCTTTGTGTGCATGTTAGAACATTTATTTCAACCTAGTTACTGATCCTAGTAATTGAAGGTAACTGCCACTTTCTGAAGAGGATATACCAGAGGCTGAGACAGAAAAAACGTAAAGGCATGAGAAACTTTGCTAGTTCTCTGTGCTTTTCTGGGGCCTTTGATTGTTAATTTAAGCCAGATCTTCTTGGGCTTTATGTGAAAGTGCCTTCTTTTTTAAAAGAGCCTTTGGAGAGTTTTCCAGATTAAACCGAAGTATAAGTTTGTCAATGCAGTGACGGATGTTGCCTTGAGTATAAATTCCAGGCCTTTCATCTGTCACTGTGTCTGCCATTTATCTGCAGTTTGCCAAATAACATTGTGTTTTTTTCAACTCTGCCATTGATCTTTACAGAATTGACATGGCTCTAGGTTGAAATAATTTTTTGTTTGCCTTTGCAATCTTGACTTGAAGAAGATCACTGTGTATGTATATACACCTTTGCTGAAGGCAAGAGTTCACTTGTATATATATATATATTAAAATGTAAGCTTGACTGTCTTGGTATGTATATGACTGAAATACATTTTACATGGCTGTTGGTTCATTACTCACCAAATAATAAATTAGTAGTAGTAGTAGTAGTCCTGCAGCTTAAGACTGAAACATACGTCACCTCTGTGCAGAAAATTCTGTAGAATGCTTAAAAATTGTAAAGTCTCATGCATGTGAGCTGCCACTCCATTCATATATGAAATGTACAGTCAGTCATAGGTTCCCATCATATGATAATAGGGCACATGTTCTTTACATCTTGGAATCAATGTAAAAAATCATCAGTGTGCAACCCTTCCTTAATGGTGTGTGAATAAACAAAATCCTGCAGCCACTCTGCTCACTCTACACAGTGTGGTTGAGAAAACAAAAATGAATGAAAGGGGAGAGAAGATACCGGAGCTGAAATGAGACATTGGCTGTAATCCTGTACATAGTTATCTGGGAGTGAGTCCCATTGAACCCAGTGGGATTTATTTCCAAGTAAGCATACATAAGATTGCACTGTTTGTCACATAACCAGGAAATGGGTACATGGAGGAACAGCTACTATTCCCAGCTTGATCTCTGGCATTTGCTATTAAGAGAAGCTGGTAGCTGTACTGGGAAAATGTTTTCCTGACAGACTAGTGAGCTAGTTTGAACCTGCTGCTTGTCAGGATGATTGACTTCTGGGCTTCAGGATGATTGATGTGACTCTGTAGACCATTTCTTGTTCTCACTACTAGAATTGTGTAGTGTAACATCTAGCTCTAGTTACTTAAACCTATTCGCATGAAACATAGGCAAGTAATCCTTATTTTGGCCTTACTGCTTATTGTATTTCTTTAAAAGGCAAATAGAAACAATGTGTGTCCAGAAAGGAATACTAGCCTTCCTAAACTAGATGTGTACTGCATAATAATAATAATAATAATAATAATAATAATAATAATAATAATAATTTATACCCTGCCCATCTGGCTGGGTCCCCCCAGCCACTCTGGGCGGCTTCCAACAAAACACTAAAATACAATAACCTATTAAACATGAAAAGCTTCCCTAAACAGGGCTGCCTTTAGATGTCTTCTAAAAGTTTGGTAGTTATTTTTTTCTTTGACATCTGGTGGGAGGGCGTTCCACAGAAGGCCCTCTGCCTGGTTCCCTGTAACTTGGCTTCTTGCAGCGAGGGAACCGCCAGAAGGTCCTCAGCGCTGGACCTCAGTGCAAAACGCTGCGCTGGACCTCAGGCAAAACGATGGAGGTGGAGATGCTCCTTCAGGTATACTGGACCGAGGCCGTTTAGGGCTTTAAAGGTCAACAGGAACACTTTGAATTGTGCTCGGAAACGTACTGGGAGCCACAAAGAAGTGTTCACATCTTTTGAGATTTGCATATACTTGTAGGATTAGAAATTCTTATCTCTAACAGATTCTTTGAATCTAGACTTTAGAAACATTGAGGCGGGAACTTCTGTTTCAAGGATTACATGTCACATTTGCGAGATTCCAAACGAACAAATAAAACCTCTTTAGAATGACTTACAAAAGGGGCTGTTAAGTCACTTTTGCAAATAGGATGCAATCCAATTCAGCCCGATTCTGAGCAAGCTAATATATCTGCATCACCTGTTGTTAGCTGCTTAGCCAGCTCCTTGCGTTTGAAGTGAAAACTGCAGCCTAATGTATGCATGCAGGTTTCGGCATTTATACTCTGTGTAATGACACAGATGTCAGATTGGCTAAGAGATTTCCAGCAGCATTGAATAAAAAAGCTTTCGTTTAGTTAAAAGGAAGAAAATGCCCTGCAGTGCTCGTTTCCATGACAACAGGAAAATTGCCCGCAATATATCAGCTCAATCAATTTGATTGATGGTAACACACAAGTAAGAAACAGCAAAGAGGAGATAGTTATGTTACATTTTCTTGTCTTTGGATAAGAACAAATTACCTTCCACTTCTGTGTGTGTGTTTGTTGCAGGTCTCTAAAGAGAGACAATAGATCACATAGCAGCAGTAAATTTGTAGTTGTTAGTATCTGTGATTTGGAAAGCTACTGGCACATGGAGAGTTAATGTGTAGTACAAATTCTTATTCACTCTCCGTTTTAAAAAAATTGTGGAAAATGGACCTGGAGAGTTGTGAAAGTAAATGTCAGCAAATAAGCCCTTGATAGTTCTTTTTATGTTGAATTCTTTATTTTAACTGTTTCAAAAAGATCAAGCAGAGCCTTCAAGATTGCTCAAAAGAAAGTCCTTATTCATATTCACAATACACTAAGCTGAAATAAAAGAGAAAGGAGAGGGGAGAAAATACATAAGACATAGAACAGTTGAGTCCCAATACTTGATCATAATTTTGTTAGTCAGTATTATAATATTGATAATCTGTGGATATAAATCTTAACTGGAATTGCTCTGTTAAATGATGGGTTGGATCCAGAAAAGAATGGCTTATTCCGCTTGTACAGTGGAGCTTTGCCTGGTCTCCCCCTTCAGCCACTTGTTCTCCCCTAAAAGCTGTTCTTGAGGGTCAAAACAATGTGGGATGCGATGAGCAGAGGGGGTCTGCAGCAAGATGGAGGGAGGAATCAGAAGCAATTGGGGATTGCCTTATGCAAATAGAAGTGCCTTTGTGCTCTGACAAGGAACCTTTTGCACCAAACCGGTAAATTTCTCCCAGTTATCCTGAAATTGCAGCCTGATTTTTAAATGTTCTTTTTCCTTTATAATTGTACATAATTTTCACGTTAAGGTTGCAACCCCTGTGCACACTTTTTCTGGAGGAAAACTTCATTCAGCAGTGGGATTCACTTCTGAGTAAGCACATGCACAGGACAGGACAGTAGCTCAACAATACCGTGTTTTATTCTGTAAGATCAGGCATAGGCAAACTTGGTCCTCCAAATGTTTTGGGACTACAACTCCCATCATCCCTGACCACTAGTCCTGTTAGCTAGGGATGATGGGATTTGTAGTCCCAAAACATTTGGAGGACCAAGTTTGCCTATGCCTTCAATCTTGATAAGTTATTGGATCTTCTCTTGAAGATGTTAATCAAATGCAACACTCTTTCTTCCTGCTTCAACCTGGGCAATTGAGTTCCCTGGTATTGGCCAAGCCACTAAGTTGTGGAATTCCCTCCCCAGAGGTACACCTGGCACCTTCAGTGTGCTGCTTTCTTCAAATGCGGAAGATGCACATTTTTACCCTAGCCTTTGACACTTCTTGAGATGTGTATTTTTAGGACACATCCTATTCCTGTGACTGTATTTTGTTTTAACTTTTTAATTCTGAATTTTAAATTGTTGTAACCTGCCCTGGGACCTGCTGGAAAAGAGTGATTAGTCGAAGCAGTAGTAATTCACTCAGTATCCATCCCCAATTCCAAAGCAGGGATAATAATGAGTTTCCCAACAAGAATGTTGGGAAGATATAAAAGATTTTGTTTGTTGTTTAGTCGTTTCCACCTCTTTGTGACCCCATGGACCAGAGCACGCCAGGCACTCCTGTCTTCCACTGCCTCCCACAGTTTGGTCAAACTCATGTTAGTAGCTTTGAGAACACTGTCCAACCATCTCGTCCTCTATCGTCCCCTTCTCCTTGTGCCCTTCATCTTTCCCAACATTGGGGTCTTTTCCAGGGAGTCTTCTCTTCTCATGAGGTGGCCAAAGTATTGAAGCCTCAGCTTCAGGATCTGTGCTTCCAGTAAGCACTCAGGGCTGATTTCCTTAAGAATGGATAGGTTTGATCTTCTTGCAGTCCATGGGACTCTCAAGAGTCTTCTCCAGCACCATAATTCAAAAGCATCAATTCTTCGGCGATCAGCCTTTATGGTCCAGCTCTCACTTCCATACATCACTACTGGGAAAACCATAGCTTTCACTATACAGACCTTTGTTGGCAAGGTGATGTCTGCTTTTTAAGATATTGTCTAGGTTTGTCATCACTTTTCTCCCAAGGAGCAGGCGTCTCTTAATTTTGTGACTGCTGTCACCATCTGCAGTGATCATGGAGTCCAAGAAAGTAAAATCTCTCACTGCCTCCATTTCTTCCCCTTCTATTTGCCAGATGCCTGTTGTCTTTGTCCATGGAGTTTTCTTGGCAGGGATACTGGAGTGGCTTGCCGGTTCCTGCTCCAGGTGGATCACGTTTAGTCAAAACTCTCCACTATGACCTGTCTGTCTTGGGTGGGCCTGCACGGCATAGCTCATAGCTTCTCTAGTTATTCAAGCCCCTTCGGCACGACAAGGCAGTGATCCATGAAGGAGATATAAAAGATAGGAAGCATAAAACACTAGGTATGGCATATTGGAGCCTCTTAACTGTTGTTTTTTGGATGTGTTCCACCCAGTTACATAACAAGGGTGTCTAGCAAGCTGCTAGATTCAGGAAGGCCAGGAGGAACACAACCCATTTTTCCATATCTAACACCCAGATGTTGTATAATTCCAGCTCTTGCTATGACTCAGAAGGTTTCTTGGCTAGTGGCCAGTGAGGTTGGCCAGCTGCATTCCAGTCCATGCACACTCTATATCCAGCTAAAAGCAGCAAGTTGAGAATTTCCTAGAGCAACAGCTTTTGTGCATCACTTGTATATCAGGCAAGCACAGTTCCTGTTCCTGCCCTTGCCTGTTCCGAGCATGAAATAAAAAGTGATTAATGAAAATGAAATACTACAAGAATTGACTAGAATACATTTGTTACTGCAGACATAAGATATCATTTTTCATTGTAACTTGCTTACCTTTTAGTTTAATGAGATATGCTCTGGCTTTGTTTAGGTCAAAATATAGGTGTCCTGAATTACTATATTTGTTTGGTCCAGGGTCAAAGTTAGAAGCATGTTTTCTCCAACTTTCTGTAATTGAACTTCTCAGTTAGGTCTGATAAGACACTAGAGTGTAGAAGCCCTGGTTGATGTACATATTTTGTCTTGGTGACATTGTAATACTTCTTCATAGACCAATTCTGAGGCCATCTTGGATCCACAGCAAGCTCAAGCTTTTGACCAGCTTTGTCGTCTGTACCGAGGAACATCGAGGGTAATATAATTTTATGTCTCATTTTTAATGAAGTAAAACTTGAACTAGTTTGGAGGTGTGTTCTCATATACCACAAGGATGATACTTGGGGAGGGAAGAAAGGGTATTATCCCCTTCAGGGGTAAAGTAAGTTCACACACTGGAAGTGTGTGTTTCTTTGATTATTCAAAAGAGAGTCTCGTTTCCTCAAAGCACACCTTTCTTTCACAGCTGACTTTTGAAAAGAGCATTTCCCCTACTTTTATAACTCAGCTGGAGCATTTTCTGTGATTTGGTCAATGCTGTCTCAGTAGATGAGGTTGTGACCTGGTAGTTTTTGATTAGCAACTTGCGCTATTTTTTTATTTGTACTAGATTATTGTTTGCCCCTTTGAGCAGGTCAGTGTTTTTACTGCCCACATCACTCTCTAATATATGTTTCTCACATGATTTCCGTTGCCTACACTATACCAAGTGGTGTTTTTTTGTTTTGTAGTTGGCTCTTCTGGCTGAACTCTCACGGGACCGTGGTGGAGAAAAACATGGGCTCCTCCATATCTCCCAGGGTGATTCTGCACTGAATAGTGTCTTCCAGAATGAGACCTTCCAACTTCACCTCACTCCTCCTCCTCTAGTGGAAGACTAATCTCTATTTGATGGGGCTCCAGGGCATGAGAAAAGCACCGTGGAAAGTACTTGACAGTACTCCTGATGGTGGAACAAGCTCCCGAGAACTTCACTTTGTATTTAGTAGATGAGAGGTTGCAACAATGCGGAAACTTTGTAAGGACCAGCTCTTATTTTCCCTCTGTGACTTGCTTAACAAAGCAGAAGGGACATAAAAAATATCTCTCAGTCTTGTTTCCATTGGGCTTTGCTGAAAGCTATAAACTACTCTGTCAAACCTATGCTGTTCGTCACTGGAGCTGAACACAACAGTACTTGGGGCAGCTGCACTAAGCCCCAGGGATAAAGTGTCTGCAGCCAGAGCTTATTTAAATAATTGGAGTCTGTTCCCTTAGAGAAGAAAACCAAGGGAATACAACAAATGTCAGTCATCCAAAGTTGACATTTCTCTCATTTTAATTTAGAACAAGCTGTGAAACTCTACAGTCAGTATTCTAATAGGTAGCTGAATGCAGAGAACCCAACTGAACCCAAGCGAGACAGAACTGCCAAGGATGCCCCAATTGCATGGTTTTCCCCCTGAAATTGCTTTAGCTCTTCCTCTGATTTTAGCCATTGCAGTAAATCTCTGTTGGCCCTTGTGCTAGTGGCTCAAGAAGGTCTGCTGTGACAGATGCTGTTCCAGGAAAGTGCCACTCATTAGCATCCTGAACCAGAAATTTTGCTAACCAAGCACATTGTAATGTAGCACTCAGCCAACTTGAGAGTGGCAAATATTTGGTGCCAGCTTGTGTGTGTTGTAAGGCCTGCACTAGCTGTGTGCCAGCATTTCCACAGAGCTCTCACTGTTTCTAGTGTACCAAAAGAAAACAGCACATTCATCATTATGATGGCGGCTGCTGCTGCCGAGTTACTGAGCTGCATGGAAAGGACATCCTCTTTCATTGTATCCCACCCCACTCCTAGCTCATTTATCTATTATGAACTCTATACTGAATTAAAGAAAAGGCTTCAGATGGTGGTTTATTATTCCCACCCCACCCCTCTCCCGCTCTCACTCTCTTCTGCAACAGGAATGGGTTTTAACATGAATTTAAGGTGATTTTTTCCCTGGTCCTACAGGATAAAGCATAAGCTTCCCACTAGTGTCTTGTTTAATGTCCTTACATCTCCAAAAGCTGGTAGTTGGCAGTTTTCCCTTGTTTGTTTAAGGGGTTTCCTGTCTTTGTGATAACCTGTCTAAAGGGAGAACAAGTGCAGATTGAAAAGCACATCAAGCATTTTTTTCACGTGACTTGCTACTGACTGCCGTGTCCAGAGGTTATTGCAGTGTGTATTGTGTTCCCTCATCTTTTCTCAGGATGCAAATGGTTCTCCACTATCCATTAATGAAATTGATGCACATATGGCTGCACATTACTCATATGCTAGAGGTATGTACATCTGGAGTGCACAAATTGAGAAAAGGTTATATGCATACAATTTTATTTATTTAAAACATTCATTGATGTGGGATTATTATGAAATGGGGCCTTAGGTACCCATTTTCTGATCTAATCCACTTCAGTTAAAGCTTACCTATTTAAATGCTCAGCATCATCCTTGATTGCACCCTTGATGGAAAGGGGGTTGTAATCATGCTGTGAATATATCATACTTCTTGTGCAAGTATTCAGGTATAAATATGTATGAACACTTCTGCCTCCTCTTGAACTGATGCCTCTTAGTCCTGGCTTATGTTTGTCCGTGCTATATAATCAAGCAAGATCTTTGGCACCTAGGTGACCACTGATTTTATGGTAAAGGAATATCAACTCCTGGTAAACAGGTTTTCTTGGTCTTAATCAAAATACGCTTACCATTCTAGTAAGAAAGGCTTCTGCAGCAGGTAAGTTAAATAAAAGTGCCAGTATCAAATGCTATTATATAAATGTATGGTATGAGCACACATTTGGTTGCTACATTTCAAAAAATATATTGGAGAACTGGAAAAGGTTCAGAAAATACAACCAAAATGAGAAAGAGCTGACCAGCTCCCAAATTAGGGAATGTTACAGTGTTAGGTCTGTTTAATTTAGAACATGGGTAGGCAAACTAAGGCCTGGGGTCCAGATCCAGCCCAATCGCCTTCTAAATCCAGCTCGTGGACGGTCCGGGAATCAGTGTGTTTTTACATGAGTAGAATGTGTCCTTTTATTTAAAATTCATCCCTGGGTTATTTGTGGGGCCTGTCTAGTGTTTTTACATGAGTAGAATGTGTGCTTTTATTTAAAATGCATCTCTGGGTTATTTGTGGGGCATAGGAACTTGTTCATTTCCCCCCCAAAAATATAGTCTGTCCCCCCCACAAGGTCTGAGGGACAGTGGACCGGCCCCCTGCTGAAAAAGTTTGCTGACCCCTGTTTTAAAAGATAGGCAGGTAAGGGGAAAACATAACAGAGGCTTATAAAATTATGCTTGGATAATAAGTGGATAGATAACCAGTTTTACTTGCGCCTTCATAATGCTAGAACCTGGATGTATGAAATGAAGCTGAATAGGACTGACGAAAGGAAATGCTTCTACACCACACTGTTAAAACTGTGCAGAAGATTCCTGCACTGCAGGGGTTGGACTAGATGATCCTCGTGGACCCTTCCAACTTGATATGGTTGTATGAAAAGAGATTATTGTGGGCTTCCCAGGACATAACTGGATGGCCACTGTGCAAAGAAAGGATGCTGGATGAGATAGGCATTTAGTTTTATCTGGCAGGGGTCCACTTGCGTTCTTACAGGACAATGCTCATAAGCAGGACCCATTGAGTGGAACTCAGCACCAGGCTTTTCCAGTCCGATGGAGTGATCCCCGCTCTCCTTCCACCTATGCACTGTGCTCCCGCCCTGAGCCAATTTCAGGTGATGCACCAGGAGAGGAGAGGGGGAAAGCCCTGCTGCACGAGCGGAAGTCCTTGTGCAAGGCTTCCACCGAATGAGCTCATTAGGTGAATCCTGCCCATTCAGTTCAATGGAGCTTTATCCCTGTTAAGGCATAGTAGTGTGATGTCTTAAATTTGTTAGTCCTCTTGTTCAACCAAGCACTTGGATCAGAACCAGCTGCCAAATATAATGTTGCTATTTGGAGACTGTAGCAGAAGGTTTAACAACTGGAGGCCCCTGGCCCACTAAGTGATGCCAACTGTTCTTTCAGTTGCAAGGCTAGATGCCAAAAGAACTGTGGAGGAAATGACAGTCGGGGCAACAGAATGTGCTGGCAGGGGAAGGATTTGAGGTGCTAGTCAACTACTTCTCTAAGCATCCCTCAAAAAATAGGCTTTGTTGTGTGTTCTTTGTGCCTCTCCTCCCCTGCCCCAGCAGCCAAGAGTTTGGCTTGATTACTGTCCCTTTTAAGTGGGAATGTGCTTTATTTATTCAACCTTGGTAATGGAAGTTCAGGAGGAAGAGCGAGGATAGCGGGCAGGAGCAAGCTGACAGCATGAAATGGACAGCTTGCTTACAAGAGAAGAGTGTTTTTTAAGCAAAAGGAAAATGGTTGAAATTTTTTATTGATGCTGGAGGTCCTTAGGGAAGCTCGCACTTCTCAGTGTTCACCTTTAAGCTGCAGACATTGACTCCAGATTTCATGCCCTGTTGGGCCAAACTGCACATGGGGAAGGTCTCTGCACCCTTCCTTAAAACTCTTCCCTATTGGGACTAGTTTTTAAGTATTTCCCACTCTGAGCCTTTGCTATAGACTAGCAGGCTAGCTTTGTCAGAATGTAACTATTTAAACTCATTCATATAAACACACAAAACAATTTCTTATTATTATTACTGCTCACTCTGTGTGTATTTCTGAAAGTGGAATAATGGCTTCCTTCCACTTATAATTCACAAGGATAGTCTATTCAGTTTCTGGAGCATTAACTCAAGTCTTTGATGCCACTAGCAGTGCCAATCCCCTGCCTTCTAATCATTATAAATCATCCATTTTGACTAGTTCCTGAGCTTGTGGATTCTAATGCCTAAATCATGCTGAAAATACTTTATTGGCTTTGCATGTATAGAAGGAAGAGTACTCTGGCCTCTGTGTATGTAATGCATGATTCTCATGTCCCCTCCTGTTTCCTGCCTTTACAAAGCCCCCTCCCTTGCTCTTTTAGCAGTCAGGTTGTCTTACCATTCTCCAGTATTGTCTCTGAGAAAGTGCTGCTCACACTACCCATAACCATCCCCTCCCCCCAAAAAAGAACCAGGAGAAAAAGAACCTTTTCGCCAAATATGATCAAGCAATCCTGATTGTGTAGGATAGGCTGATTTGAATGTTTTCGTTGTAGGATGTTCATCTTTGTTTAATGTCTAGCACTCTATTAACTGGCGGAATAAGCAAGAACTCATTTATCTTATTTCATTGTAAATGACTTGCAAAGAGGAAAGAGAAGGTTCTACTGATAAAAATAACTTTGCTAAGCTGCCCAAGGTCTTTGCTAATTGTGCTAGAGCAGGGCGCTTTTATATTCAGGATGTGGAAGCACAGTGAGCTAATAGAGAGCTAGGAGATTAGCCAATCCTATAGAGTATTAAGAATTCCACCAATTTTTAGATTTAAAAAGCCCTATTGAGACTGGCAGCAGCACAATACCCTTTTACCTTCTGTTGCATTTAGAAATCTAAAAAATGCCCTTTCTTGAGGCTGCAGCAAAGCAATTTCAGCCATGTCCCAAAGCAAATTTGTACATGAACACACAGTTATGACCTCCTGGCTACAATGTTTGGAATATAGATGGAGAAAAGACTTGTGTAGGCAGAAGTTGGGAAACATCTATGGTGTGGGAGACATCTATTTTATGTCATCCTCATTCACCCATTTCAGTTACAAGTGTTCAGATAAGTCAGTCAACTCTTAATTATCCTATTCTTATATTACCTTTGGTGTGGTATTTCCTTAAACTTTTCTGTATCAGCATGGGTTAGCAGTAGGATTTGTTTGCCACTGACTATACTCTGTTCTGTGATTGGTATAAGCAAATAAGTAATATGTCTTTGTGTACTTGTACCCGTGGAGAAGAGTCATAATTCAAGTGATGAAGGATGCTCTATATGCAGCAGGTCTTAGGTTCAATCCCCAAGCTGACCCAGTAAAATGTTCTGATGTCACAGTGACAATATTGCATGGTGTCCTATTTAAAAACAACTCCTCTTAAGATGAGCTGCAATCTTTGTCCCATTTACAGAATTCATGATCAGGTCAAGTCTACTATCAACTGCTTTCAAACTCAAGATGGATATCTGTTAAACTGTTGCAAGACAGTCAGAAGTGAAATAAAGAAGACAGGAGAGGGTGCATTCCTTAAACAGAAATGTTCTGTTTGTGGAGGGGCAGAATTAATGGCCAGATGCTCAATGGAATATATTCTTGTTACTCAAGTCTTACAAGAAAGCAGAAAATGAGGTTTGGTCAAAGAAGAAAGTATAAATTCTCTTCTCTAGCTGTGACAAGAATGGTAAAGAACTTTCAGAGTTTACTAAGGGAAATCTGCTGTCCCTTTCAAGTAGTTTTACAGAAAATAATAACAGGCCTTGTCTAGCAAAACTTAAGACAACCACAGTATTAACTACATTGGAACTAAGGAATGAAGAGTGGTGCTAGTGTAGCAAGAAGCTAACAGAGACTGTGGTGTCATCTTTATTTCCCAGGTGATAGTTGCCACATCCAATTCAGCTACACTCCAGCAATTTCATGATAATGCACAGCTACACCTGAAGATAGCATCGAATCACACCAGACCCCATTTAGAATTCAACATCTTTTTGGGGCAGTACAGAATTGTGGAGAACAAATTTGCCTCGACGCTGTGCTTGTGCAAAAGCAGTCTTCACATTTATTATTTTGTGAGAAGTTTACATGAAACAATAGGGTACCCATGGGGGAGTACGTAGAGACACAGCATCATGTGCTAAATCATCTAACCCAAATCCTGCCATGGCCTGCACCCAGGCAATCGCCAGGGAAGCCAGGCGCTACAGGACTTTGCCCATTGTGCTTAAGACTTTCGAACAGAACAAGTTTAACAGATTAACATTGTATGCGGCTATTGCTAATTAACAGTTTGATAAAGAGTGTACCCATATAAGTAAATCTGTACTGAATTTAACCCAGCTCATGCCTCAGTTCAGAATGTGTTTCTCTAATCTTAGCCCTGGTTTGGTGGCTGCTAGTCTGCCTAGGAAGGTTTCATGATTCTTAAGTGTAATGAAAGAAACTAAGGTGTACTTTCAGAAGCTGCCCTGTTTCTGCTCTCAAGTGTAACTCACATTGTTTCTAGCCCCCTCTGCCATTGCCAGAGATCCTTACTCCTTTCATGCATAAGAAAGCCAATTGCCTAGCTAGAGTAATGCAATCTCGTTTTATGCATTGTCTTCCCGCTATAAAAGCCATAAGTATGCTTAACAGTACAGCACCTGAGAAAACACTTTAATAACCCCCAAATAATACTTTTTTTTTAGTAAACTCTATGAACTAGAATTTACTAAATTTATAAAACAGGACGTTTTTCTTTAAAAATTAGCAGAATATCCTATATCTCCAGAAATGCTAAGAAAGGCTTTACCAGTTGTGATGCCCAGAATTGAGTTCCTCAGCATTTTGCCAAGAAATGCATTTTCATATAATTCATCATAATAAATATTTCATTTTTCTTCTCAGGGTGTCATTTTTATATTTTAAAGTACAATATCAGTTTATATAGTTGTTCATAATACACATTGTAATCTAAACGCTTTCTAAAAAGTGTCTATGTCAGAGTGTAGAAAACTTAGTAATGTGTTAGGATAGTGTTTAAAGAGCAGCATTCGACAACACAGCATAAAATAATCTAATACTGAGAGATATATCTGTACATATTTATATGTTCATTCTCACCAAGACTTACGAAAAGTGATTTAACCAATGTCAGAAAAACTATGTGGTCACAGCATATTGTTTGGGGAGGTCTTGCGATATATCCATCGGCACTTGACCCTGAAGTGTAATCTATTTTTGACGAAAACTAAACTCCCCACCCCCACCCCAATCCTTAGGACTCAAAGGGCCACCATGCTTGAACTGATTCACAGAGCATCTCTCCCCAGAGGATAACCTGCCTCTGTACAACTAAAGCCGAGACGCAACTACATGAGGGGGTTGAAAGACCCTGTCTTACTCACTGTACACTTTTCAGCTGTTCTATATGTTACATGAGAACTTTCAATGTGAATTGGAAGGACACAGTGAAAGGAAGAAAAAGTTTGACCAATTAGCTGTGACTTTTTCAAGTAGACTTTGATTAAACCAAAGTGTTTCAGCAGCTGGAATTAGTATCTTTTATCTGGACACTTAACAGACATGGAAATGGCTTTTAAGCCAACCACGTCTGGACAAGTTTTTTTCCTCCTGCCTTTAATCACCATGGGAGGAGCCATAGTCCAACCCAGCAGGAAAGTTGCCCTTTTCCGAACTGATATTAATTTGGACCCAATACTAAACTTAAATCTTAAACCATTACTGGCTCAGAGTAAGAAGAAATCAATAAAGTAGTAAGCCGAACAAAACCTTTACACCCCTATTACAGTACTGAGCTGGTTTCTACCATCCATGTCAATTCATGCACAATTATTTGACTTATGAAATTAAGTTCAGGTGTACATGTATTGAACATATGCACAGCAGAAAGGGGTTGGGTGATTTATTTATTTTTACAGAAGCTGCTGGTATACCACTGATCAGCTGGACAGACTTTTCTAACTAATGGGCTCGTGACAGCTGTCTGCCATGAGCAGATGGCAAGGGCAGATTCGCATAATCAGTTTTGCCATGGGTGTGTTCAAACCCCAGGCAAAAACATCTGGCTGGTTTGGAGAGAGAAAAACAAAGTTTGACATCATGAACCTATTTCAGGTTAGAAGCTCTTCAATCTATGCCATACCTTTGCAACCCAATCCAATTTGGCCTCAGTTGGTAACACATGAATCAATTTAAGTCAGACTGATGACCAAATGAAGTTGGTCAATTGGCAGTGTAACAACTCACCCTAAAAAGATTTTAAATCCAGGCATTGTTATCATTCTTTTCCAACAGGATTATGATTAATAAGGGTATATTGTGCTTATTCTGGGAACCCCCTGAGTTACTCTGCAGCTTGCAAAAGGGTGGTGTGCATGCAGGTTATTTGAAAAGGGGGTACACTGACTGCAGAACTTGTGGGTCTTGGTCTCCTACATAAAATAAAAAAACTAAATAAAGGGCTTTGTTCACCCAAACATTTGGTGTGCTGATGAAAGGCTGCCTCCTTGCTCTGAAGGAGTAATTTGGAACTAATAGGAACAGCTCACAATTTGACCTGATTTTTGCAAATTAAGTGCACCATACCAAAACCAGGCACAGTCTAGAACTAAAAAATACGTCAAATCTGTAACTTTAAAAATATACAATAGGGCTCTTGAAAATTCAGTGGTTTGATTAGGATCAAACAACTAATTCACAAGTGACTAAATACGGTTAACTACATTCCTCTGTGGGTTGTCAAGTGCATTGGAAAAAAGGACCTGTCAGAAAAAAGCTAGTATAAATGCTAGAAAACCGGTATTGTTTTAAGTATGCCTAGCTAGTTTCCAGCTCAGCACTTCACACTGTGGTTTCTATGGTCTCAATCACTTCTAGTTCGCATTGTGAGGGTGATAGGAGGGGACACTCATCCGGTTCCCAGCTACTGTCTGGACTATAATCTTCTTCTGAACTTAGCTCCGCCCCTTCCTCTGTGTCCTCATCACATGACTCCATATAGTGAGCCCCAACAGCATTGATCCCAGAGTCCTCAGAGCTGGAGGGGGAAGAGCAATGATCTATTTTTGGTGTATTATTCTCTCTCAAAATTAAGGCATTGCGTGTGGTGACCTCCTGAGGCTTCGTTTTATTGGGGGGAGCAGGAGGTTGCCTCTGCACGTAACACATCTTCCCATTGATGCATTTCACACGGTAATTGTCAATAAAGAGGTCCGAGATTGTGCAGAACCGTGGGGAATCTGGGGGTAACGGTGGCTGGAAGACAGGTGCAAACTTCAAAAAGTGTTCCGTGAGTGAGACAGATATCTGAATGGTGTTTGTGGTTCCCCGAGGCCGAACAGGTATTTCTGTGCTTGGAAGTTGTTCTACTGGAGTCATAGGCTGATAGACGTATTTGCCTGCAAAGGATATGAAAAGATGAATTAGAAGCCACGTTCTGCTGTGTAGGAACTAGGTCAGGAACAAAACAGGTATTAGGCCCTGAATATCAGTTGCTGAGAAGTAACGTAACAAGAAGGCTAGGAACATAGGAAGCTGCCTTAAATGGCGTACCATTACGTTCACCTAGTTGAGTATTTATAAAAGTATTTATATACTGTCATTAATAGACTAATATCTAGGCAGCGTACAGGAAAAAGTCATTTAAAATAGTAGCGTTGTCTGCAAAACGAGTGGGGTACCTTTTAAAAAATGGGCTACATTCCCATTGAGGGGTAGTTAGGGGCTGCATACTGGAGGTGGGTGGGAAGACTCCTCTCTACCCAACCCCACTTTTCTCTCTCCTCTCTTTCACACCCACACCATATTGACACCATTTCCTTCCAGCCACTTTCCTTCTATGCTAGGGTGCGTGAGCAGGCTTTTCTTTTTCTCAGCCTAGCGCAGAAGGGAAGTGAGCTGCTAGAGCAGGAACAGAGCAATCTGTTCCTCCAGTGGCAGCTGACTTTCCTCCTTCGCTGGATAAGGGAAAGGGTTTTTTTTTCTCCCAGTCTAGCACAGAAGCAACGTATGTCACTGCTAGGCCAGTGGGAGGAGGGTGGAACCATTGAAGGCTCTGTGCCACACTAACTGGCAGCAGCCCTCGGAGGTCTTTCCCAGCCCTTCCTGGAAAAGCCAAAAATTGAACATGGGACTTTCTGAATGCAAAGTATGTGTTCTACCCACTGCGCTATGGTCACACAGGTTTCCATGAGGCATCTGCATAGCCACTGTGGGAAAGAACCCTGATCTAGATGGTTTCTTGGTTTAATCCCTCTGGGCTCTTTCCACATTCTTATTTGTGGCTTATTTTTCTTCACAGTCAACTGAAAGCGAGCTTTCCATAAGTGCCATTTTCTAGGATAATTCTTCTAAAGAAAAGCAATCAGAAGATGTTTCCAGAATCATCAATGCATTTATTTTGTTTTCCCTACTACACAAATATGTCTTTTGGGAGGGTGTTGCATTTTCCCCTTTGGTAGTATTGGACACAATTGTGGCTGCAGCTGGCAACGGAAGACGTTTTAAAGCAGGATATGAAAGGACTCCAAAGCTGTGACTGCCACTGGCACTCTGATAATTCAGCTAAATAAGAAGAAAATAGGATTATGCTGGCTGTAAAATGGGCTCTTATGCTGTATTGAACAAGAAGCTTGAAAGCGCTGCTAAAGGAAGCCATATAGAATTTTAAAAAGCAAAAAGACAGAGCTTTGTTGCAGTGAATGAGAAATCTGAGCCCAATTCAAAAACCCAAAAGAATAGAATTTAAATGTCTTCTAAAATGCATCATGAGCAGCTGTGTGACAGAAATGTTATAAACATGGAGGACTACTGTTGTGCTCAGATGCCACTGTGGTAAACACTCAGTGAAAACTTTCTACTATTCTGGCCCACAACTAATTGGCTCTATTTTGAGACAGCGCTTTTCTTTCTCTGACTCTCCAGGTTCTCAGTAATGAATTAGAAGCTAAACAAGTTGGCAAACAAAGCAGCCATGCCTTCGTTAGCATCTGCTTCCTTTTCCCATATATGCACTTGCTAGCACAGCTAACATCTTCCATCTTCTCCATCCTTCCAAAGCTCTTATTTTGTAAGCCCAAGGCACAGACCTTAGGAAACCAGTAGTTATGCATTAATGTATCCTCCTAATTCCAGTCAATGCAAAATGATTGACAATTATCTATTTTCAGTGCTAATCTCTGTCAATCACACACGTTAACCACTACAAACAGTGTAGAGCAAAAACATTAAGCAAATGCCTGACAACCCCAACCTATCTTTAACCACAGGGAGTACTTGAGCTTCAGAATCTGGAGGCAAGTGTTGCGGGTGGACCCTGCATCCTAATAATGGCCATTCTACGATTACAAACATTTTCCAACAATAGTGTTATCCCCATGTGTCTCTATTATGTTTCTTGCAGAGCTCTTGGGTAGAGGGGAACTAGAAGACAGACATTTGGTCGTATGGAATCCAGGAATTCAGCTTTAGCTTCAGGTGGAGATAAGCGCATGCTTTGCAAAAATAAAATGTGTGGCTAGATTATGGGAGTTGCTCCCCTCCTGCTGGCAACAAAATCACTTCAGACCAGAGTCAAGGCAACCTGGAGCCCACCTCCATTCTAAAATTAATCAGGATAATAAAAACAAGTGCTAAATTAATCAGCATAATAAAGCAAGTGCTACTCCCGAAACTTTCTGTTCAGTATTGTGGACTCTATTTTATGAAACAGGCCACCCTCCCTGTTGCACTTCCGGCACCTACTGAAGACCTTTTACATTTCAATTGGCTTTTAAACCAAATTTTGATTTTATAGTTCGAATGCATTTTTATTTCTATTGCATGCCACATAGAGATTACTGTGATCAAATGGCATACAAACTGTAGAAGTAAAAATCACGTTCCTGGGCAGTCCTATTATTGCCTCTAGACCAGTGTTTCCCAACCGGTGTTCCGCGGCACACGAGTGTGCCGTGAGACGTTGCCTCGTGTGCCGCGAGATGCCTGGAGGGAGGCGGGCGAGTCGGGCGGCGAGAGGCGGGGCGGCGGCGGCGAGGAGAGGCCGCGCCTCCTGCTGCTGCCTGGCGCTCCTCCTCGCAGCCGGCAGCGCTGCCTGGGCGCCTCCGCGCGACTCTGCCTCGCTGGGTTTGGTCTCCCAGCAGAGACGGGTCACACGCGCCACTCCCTCCCTCAGCCTGCGCGGAGGGAGAGCCAGAGAGAGGCATCGCTCCTGCGCGGCGGGAGAGGGAGCTTGGCGCGGCCGCGGTTTTTATAGGGCGCCCGGCGCGCACCAGCTCGATAACGGGCACCGGCGCGGCGGGGGGCGCCGGGCCGGGGAGGGGGGCGGCCGGCCTGTCTCCTTGGCAACCCCATTGAGCAGCGCCGGCTCCCCCGGGAGGGCCATCCCCCCGCGCCGCTGATCGCCAACACCGCCGACGCTGTGGCTGCCCGAGCCCGAGCCTGAGCCCGAGCCCGACCCGGAGCCCGAGCCTGAGCCCGAGCCCGAGCCTGAGCCTGAGCCCAAGCCCGTCAGTCAGTCAGGAAGGAAGGAAGGAGAAATGGGGAGGGAGACGAGGGAGGAAAATTGCGCGCAGGGTGAAGAAAGGAGAAGGGCGAACGAGACGAGCTTCCAACCCAAAAAAGGGCTGGAAGACTGGGAGGATGCAGGATCGGGAAAGAAAGCGACGCCTTCCCCGCCCGCGACGGCGCCCGCTTGTCATTGGCAGCGCAGCGGGTGCCCAGAGGGGCTGGGCACCGGCGCAGGGCCGCTCCGCAGCCGCAGAGGACAGCTGCGCGGCTAGCAAGGTGCGCCGCGTAGAGCGCGGCCCTTGTGTGGCCCGGTGGCCAGGCAAGCTCGGGCGGGGACCCCCATGCGAATCTAAGACGGGAGAAGAGGGCAGAGCAAAGGGGCTCCCTTCCCCAACCTCCGGCTCTGAGACTTCCCTGAGCCCCAGAAAAGCGAAAGGATTTCCCCTTTTTTTATATATAAATATTTTATTAAGTTTTCAAATACAAAGTTAGAAACATACACTGAAGAAAAAAGTAAAAGAACAAGAAAAAGAAAAAAAGAAAAGAAGAAAAGAAAACCAACCATTCAACACATTTTTTATATAACTAACTGGACTTCCTCGCATCTCCCTTACCCTGCATTCTTTATAATAAAGATATCAGCAAATTATTACCTTGTTTCGTACCTTATTTTGTACTTTTCAAATACTATACCTCTAAATTTAACATACTTTTCATCAGTTACTTATATCTTAAATTAAACATAGTATTACCTTAGATTTTGACCTTTTCTTACTTAAAATATAATTTCCTGTTTCCCAAATCTAATTGCTGAAGCTATAGTTTCCGAATCGTGTAAATTTTTAACATTCATACAACTTATATTGCTTTTGGAAATAGTCCTTAAATTTTTTCCAGTCCTCTTCCGTTGTTTCTTCTCCCAAATCTCGGATTCTGCCAGTCATTTCAGCCAGTTCCATGTAGTCCATCAATTGCGTCTGCCACTCTTCCAGTGTGGGCAAATCTTGTGTCTTCCAATATTTTGCGATAAGTATTCTTGCTGCTGTAGTTGCATACATAAAGAAAGTTCTATCCTTCTTTAACACTTTCTGGCCAACAATGCCCAAGAGGAAGGCCTCTGGTTTCTTGGGAAAGGTATACTTAAATACCTTTTTTAACTCATTATAGATCATTTCCCAGAAGGCCTTCACTTTTGGACAAGTCCACCAGAGGTGAAAGAATGTCCCTTCAGCCTCCTTACATTTCCAACATTTATTATCAGACAGGTGATATATTTTTGCAAGCTTGACTGGGGTCATGTACCACCTATAAATCATTTTCATAATATTTTCCTTCAAGGCATTACATGCCGTGAATTTCATTCCGGTGGTCCATAACCTTTCCCAGTCCTCAAACATGATGTTATACCCAATATCCTGAGCCCATTTTATCATGGCTGATTTGACTGTCTCATCCTGAGTGATTTTCTCTTCAACCTGCCCTCCATCCTCTTGCGGAAAACTCTTTGCCTGCCCTGCCCGTATCTCGTTTTTGCTTTTTAATTCCACACACGCACCCTTCAGACTTCGTGGCAATCGGGCGCGCGGGTGCGTTTCCTAAGAGAGTGAGGACCCCCGCCTCCTCCCCACCTGCTCCCTCGCCAGCCAGCCAGCCGCGCGCCCTAGCCGGAGAGCCCCGGCCGTCCCCGTCGCGCAATCGGCTGGATCTCCCTTCAGCAGGCCGTGCTCACAACTCGGCCCAGGGACCCCCAGCAGCGGATCTCCGGCCCAGCTGAAGAATCCGGCAACAAGCCCCCTCCTCCCCAATCGCTCCGCCGAAATATGCTCCAAAACCCCCCAGATAGGCCGCCGGCCGCCAAGTCTCGTGGCGCCCTGAGCGAGGGTCTCTCCCC